AAATTATTTGTTTTCACTTATAATCTAGTGATTAAAATTTATAATATACTTATAGATGAAATATTGAGAAAAACGGAAGAGCAATTGTGCCAGATGCATGCTTTTTATCAACTCGAAATTTCGAGTTACTTACTTGAAATTTAGACTTACTGACTCGAAATTTCGTCTTGCTAACTCAAAATTTCGACTTACTTACTCGAAATAGCGAATTACGTAACACGAAATTTCTACTTACATTGCACGACTTTCATTGGTTGTCAGTGAAAGCAATGATTGAATTCAAGATACTTTCTTTCGTGTTCGTGTGTAGCTGATGCACATTGACAGAGCCCCTATATATTTAACAGAACAATTTAAAAGGGTTAATTGTCCACACATACTGAACATATCCTTAGCTTTTTTTGTGGAGGGGTTGGGGTGTAAAATCACACTTTCCACATTTCCGTGTTAACCGGATGTTTTTTTTTCTAAAGCACGCATACAACCATCAAGTAGAAATACAACAAGTCCAAAACCCACCCTATTGTAAACTGTGCAATATTCATGCGTAAATAAGTTTTAAATGGCGTGTATACGCCAGTTAGTCTGTCACGTTTCTTTATACTAATAATGTTTTTGTAACATTATTCATTATTTACTAAGAATTTGATCCATACTGTGTTGATAAAAGTTGATAAAAGTGCAACTTGTTGTTATATACATGTTGGGAATACTATAAAAGCATCTAAGTTTACAAGAAATATAGTCCGTCCAATTAATTTTACAAAGGCCTCAGCACGCCGTATTTTAGCCGCTCCGCGATAGGTTCCTCAGATGTCCCACACGTGAAGTATAGGATCGTTTTATTCACAGGGGTGAGAAGAATATGATTAGTGAAAAGATATGTTCGAACAGGTGGGATACAATACAACGTCTGAAGAACGCATGAACGTACAAATTAAAGGAAGCCTTGTGTTTTTTAGGTCCGGCGTGTACATGCCATTACTAAGTTTAACTTTAACTTTAATAGTTTGTCCAGATACACGCTTCTCCATCTCCATCGTTCAACCGCACTCCGTACCATATCTTATATTATCTAAACTCTTGGTAACTCATAACTTTGGCCATTCTAGTAATGTTAATAAGTCGAAATTTCAAGTAACTAAGTCGAATGTTTTAGTAACTTAGTCGAAATTTTGAGATAAGTAACTCCAAATCTCGAGTTAATATGTCGAATTTTTGGGTTAGTAAGTCTATATTTCCACTTAGTAGCTCGAAATTTCGAGATAAGTAAGACGAAATTGCCAGTTTGTATGTCGAAATTTCGAGTCAGTAACTCAAAATTTCGAGTTAGTAAATCGAAATTTTGAGTTAAAAAAATACACACCTGACACTAATGCTCGTCCGTTAGAAACATTGAACAAATAAAATGCATTCTAATTTTCGTATTTTCACTGATTTTTAAACTGCAGTGAAACATGTTTTCCTTTTTTCACTGGTGTCTTGCCGGACTACATTATTCTACATTCAGCCAAGACCTCAATTCTAATGGAAAATTCTGTCAAATCGTAAGGTCAAAAAAAGAGAAAAGTATATAATAAACAGAAGTTCATGTTTCTTTTTCTATAAATAGAGGATTTATTTCCATTTCATGGTATAAAAATTATCATATTTCAAACAGAAAATTTGAGTTTCTTTTTCTATATATCGATGATTTATTTTCATTCCGTGGCATTAATATTATCAGATTTTACGTGTGGCTACTTTTTAACATTGGAATTAAAAGTCGTTGCTATTTTCAGTCAACGGGAATGCGGTACATTATTTGCTTAAATAATATCAATTATGACAATTTCTTGGTATTGTATCGGATATGTTCTTACTTGACAAAATAAAACGTTTGTTTTATCAGGTAATCTCCAAAATCATGTTGATAGAATATACTTTCAAAGAATACTAAACGAGCTTTAAACTATTAAAGTGAATTACGAGAAATTTATTAATTAAAAATTATTCCAATCTTTCTGATAATGTAAATAATTTGTATTAATGTTTACACAGAGAATTTGTCATAATTCTACAATTTTTTTTGCTGTTGTTTTAAAGATGATGCTGTGCTGAATAAAATAATTAATTTACCAAAGGATATTGTTTACATTTTAATTTTTGCATATTAACGTTTTAACCATTAGAATTATGCAAACTTGGATAATTGACTTTTGTTCATTTTGTCCAAGAGAAAATATGTTGAAGCAATTTGATTTTGAAATCTCTTTAGCCTCTTTTTTCGTATATCACCAAATGTCTCGGTTGTTTATTTTTACGTTATCTAGATTATTGAATAAAACCCATTTCGGTGAAGAATTTACAGATGTGCCTAGATCTTTTTTTGTTTACTTTTCAACATAATAAGTTTGGTTTGAGAAATGGATTTTATTTCGGCTGAAAACCGTAGATAGCTATATAATTAGCTGGCATCTATGTGTCGGACAGTCAAACAAAAACATTTTTGTGCTATATCAATAAACATTGTCATATTTAAGAGTGTGAATATTTTAATAAGTGGCAACGGCAACGCGTTTTTTTTAATTAAGTTATACCTGTGGAAAATGATAAGACGAGTCCTTCAAAATATTTACCACGGACCTCTATACATTTTTCAAACCTCAGAATCCTCTCCGAAAAAAAAGCATTTTTAAACTGTTCATTGGGTAAACTGTTTATAAACTGGTAGAGAGTGATTCCAAAGGCAATACGGGCGTCGGACCGGCGACCGCCAAAGCTAGATTTGATGTTTGGAATTAACCAAAAGTCACAAGGAGACAGGTCAGGACTGTAAGCGGGATGTAGCAAAACTTCAATTATCTGCCCCTCTAAATAAGCTTGAATCAAGACTAGTCGGTACGTATGTGCATTCTCATTGAGTTATTTAATACTGTGCATCCGGACCTTGGGTTCTTTGAAATGTAGTGATTAACTACAATAGTGAGAACATGGTCACGGTTAAATGTTCAAGTGATACTACCTCCCTCTGGCACAGCGACACAGGCCACTATTCCATCACTGTCAAAATATAGCATACATAACTTTTCTGCTACGTCGAGCAACAACTGGGCTGGTTTTCACCTAGTACCTACATTTTCTTACTGAATTTACAGTCGGACTAAAAAAACATAAAGCCACGTTTCTTTCCCTGTGACAGTTACTCTCAGGCGTCTAGGGTCTTGATCTTTGAACCAAAGCAATTAGGCATAGGCTTTATCAACTTTTGTTAACTTGGTCCCTTTTCTGGTCAGAAATTAGAAAACATGGGATCCAACGGGTGCACACTTTCCTTAACTTTAACTTTTCTTTCAAGGTGTAAAACAAATATGAGGCACAAAGGCCCGATATGTCACTCCACAGTATATATTGCATCTTCATCAACTATGGTTTTGGCAGTGCTGATGTTATTTTTTCCAGGGACAGCAAAAATTTGTCTCACAGGGTGGGATCATCCTTAACATTACTTCTACATTCCTTAAACATTAACGCCCACTTGGCAACTGATCGATATGGAAGAGCATTTCCTCCATAAACACAATACAATCTAGATTCGTCCTTTTTTTAACGCGCATTTACGCAATAACCCACGAATTTTGCAATAAGCTATTTGCTCTTCTTTCAATCTACAGTGCAACTCAGACATGTTAACAACCAGTATACAAAACCACACGTATCTAAACGACCTGCTAAAATTTTATTACACGTGCAAATCGTGCGATAATCGAGTGTTGGATAAAATATTATCTTTCCAACGATATATAATACGTGTACTTTCACGTGCAAATCATTGTTAAAAGGAGTTGTTGCATTTACAGTGAACATTATTCATGTGCAATGTTGCGAATAATATTTATTTATTTTCCGTTTAATATAAAGACAAAATATAACTTCCAGTTCAGTACCACTGTGGAAATAGTTGTATCTAGCTTTTTAATATCTTATGTTCGTATGTTTGTTTGAATGAAATAATAGAGGAAACATTAAACCGATATGTTTGCACTTTGTGATGGGTGGGGAAGAAACAGACATCACCTATTTACTAAATTAACATTACGTCGATCTAAGCTTTCTATAAAAAAAAGTTGAAAGTCATATACTTTCAACATCCATGAATCAATTTGTCGTGTTGTCATGGAGGTCTGAATCACAAACAATAAATCATACATTAAAGGGGCATGAGTGCATCATTTAAGCATTTAATTCACATCTTTAGGTATTTCTGCATAACAGTTGTCAACATTTGCTTTGCTTTTACCAGATGAACTCATAAGTCATTTTTGCTGCTTAGGTTTTTCGGACTTTACATGGTATGACTTCTTTTACATTCTGGACTGATTTTGATATAGCCTAAGAAAATAAATCATTATGATCTCTTTTGGCAATCAATCTTGTGAGGCCCATGGTGAATTCTCCGTATTAAGGAGATTTTCAATAGAAGGTGCTAAAGTTTAGAAAAGAATATTCTTGTATTTCAATTTTACCAGAGGAACTCATAAGTCATTCTTGCTGCATAGATTTTTCAGACTTTACATGGTATGACTTCTTTTACACTCTGGACTGATTTTTGTCAAACCATGTTTCATGTTCTGGACGAAGTAGTTTACTTTAATCAACTTTGTCCTTTTGATCATTCCAAATGTACATCTATCATATTGACACTTGAATCCATTTTTTACGCCATTTCGATACTGTTAAAATAATCTTAAGTATTTTAAAGCTTTATTTGTATCCACTCAATCAAACTGATCATATGATGCGTATTTGCGACATTTCTGTTCCTATAAAAAACCAAAATGTTATTAATTTTTCAATTGCTGTGTCAATATTAAGAAATTTAAAACCTCTTTTATGTAGGTTTAGGTATATATTTTATCTTTTTTATCAAGTGGTTGTCGCGAGCACTCCACATTGGTCATGTTCATCTAAAACTGGTACCATATATAAAGGGCCGTGTAAGAGCATCGGTATAACCGACGAAAGTTTTGTTATAAGAAAGTCTGTGATAAAAATTTCAAATGTTCATTGGAATAAGAGTTTAGAAATAAGTTTATATCGTTAACTATATTAATAAGACTGTACGCTTATTTTTGTAGCCTATTTTCAGATGTGGGTGTTTATATTTTTATAATTTAAAATGAACTTAAGAGCACTTGTAGCTCTTCTCGTGGTACTTTTCCTAAAGACATCACAAGGTATGAAATTTAATTTTTTTCATATTAAAACATTGTTCTTATTTTAGATAATCTCCCTTTTAATCCGTTTAATCCATTTTTTTCATAAACTTAAATAAGATAAAATTACTTGTTGAAAACGAATAGCTGAAAGTTGTCTGAATAAATATTTTAAATGTTTTTTTCGAACGATTGGTGAATGCACGAAATTATTGTAACATGAACCTACTTAAATAGCAGCTTAACATTTTTTCCGGAACATTATAAGCTATTCTATTTATATGTGTTAAATAGCAGAGACATTCAATGTTTGGGGGATATACTTAAGAGTATGGAATAAACATAAACTTGCCGATCATAATTTGTATAATTCGGAGGTTTGTCAGCATTAATTAAAGATTCATTGTAATGTGTTTTAGAGACATTTTAAGAGAGAGTATTGTATAAAGAAACATTATTAAATTGATTTTTAAACGTCTATACTTAGGTAAAAATGCAAAGATAATACTTTTAATTTAATTAAACTTTTCTTTTCTTAAAAAAAATAAAATCATTCGAATGAAAGCAACACAAAACAAAATTACAGAGTGGACTTGATCTATTCCTTATTTCTATATATATTTTTTCAACTGTACATGAGTCTAGGATAGATTTTGGATATTGAAGTGATCATTCTATTGTTTGCCTTATACTAAAAGGTAATACCATCAAACGAAATAAACCCTTCTGGAAATTTAATAATGCTTTATTCAAAGACATCAAATACATCGATCAAATTAAAAAAAAAAGACTTTTTAGTAATAAAAGATATAAAAAAAATTTATGCGGAAGAAAACCAAAACTTAAAGATTATTTCTGATACTGACATAAAATTAAAAATAAACGATCAACTATTTTTCGAAACATTACTAATGGAAAAATGCGGTAAATCAATTTCATACTGCAGTTTTTAAAAGAACTTAAACAAACTACAGAAAAACGAACAAAATAATAAAGAAGAAATTCAAACTAAAACAACGGAACTGAATAAATAAGAGAGAGGAAACAAGAGAAAAACCTAATAAAGAAACAACTAATACCAAAGAAAAAATTATAAAAAAAGTTCGGAATTTTCACAAAGATCTTTATTCAGGAAGAAATGTCACAGATATAAATCTTCAAGAACATTTGAAAACCAATGATATTCCCAAACTTTGTTAATTAAACGAACTTGATTGGCGTAAAATTTCGAAAGAAGAAGCATCTCTTGCCCTTTTAAATATAAAAAAATCTAAAAGCCCCAGTTCAGATGGATTTACAGCTGAATTTTACAAAGGGAAAAGGGTTAAAGATTCATTAAAAATTGGCGCCCAATCTCCTTATTAAATAGCTTTTACAAAATTGCGTCTGCTTGTTTTGCAAATAGGCTTAATAAAGTTCTTTCTTTTTAATAATCGAGGATCAAACTGGTTTTATTTCTGGTCGCTTCATAGGAGAAAACACAAGGACCTTATATGACCCTTTTCATTATACAGAAAAGAAAATAAAATACCAGGCATATTATTGCTAATTGATTTTGAAAAAGCTTTTGAATCTTTAAAATGGTCAGTCATATATAAAACGTTAGAATTTTTTTAATTTGGTTCCTCCATTAAAACTGGCTTAAGGTTTTCTATGCGAATATAGATTCGTGTATTTAAATAAACTGGCAAATCTCAGAATGGTTCATTATAAAACGAGGCTGCAGTCATAGAGACCCCCTATCCCCGTATATCTTCATAGTCTATGCAGAAATATTGAACCTCTTAATACGTAAAATGAAAATATTACTGGTATCAATATTGGCAATAAAGAACACCTAGTCTCACAAAATGAAGACGACACGTCTTTGACCTTGGATCGTACAGAAAAATCTTCGCAACATGCGATTTTGGTATTGAAATTCTATGTCAATGCCTCCGGTCTTTGCATCAATATAGAAAACTTAAGGTTATTTGGTTTAGAAACATGAAGGGTTGTGATATTTAATTTAAAAAATATATCATGGGAAAATTAAAATTTCAATGTTATTGGAAGTAAATACTCGCTTAATTTGATTGAGATGATCAATCTTAACTTTAATGATAAAATAGCAGATATGAAATCAAAAATCAATCATCTACTTATTTCTCTTCCAAATCCGCCCAACGACATAATCAAAAAACCAGAAACTTTATTTTTTAATTTTCTTTGAAATAACTCAAGAGACAAGATTAAACGAGAAGTTATTTTTAGACGATTTGTGAAGGTCGCTTAAACATGATTGAACTAAAATCCTTCATTCAATCTTAAAATTGGATTTGATCAGACGTAGACGTATTATTCAATGAAAACAAAAATGGAAAAAACATCATCGAACATTCTTTTCAGGATATATATAAACTTAGGTCCTGACTTTATATAAAAAAATCGGTAACATAGAATCGATAACCCATTTTGGAAAGATGTTTTCTTATCATGGTCTATGTTTTATCCGAAGATTCAAATAACTAATTTGGAACAATATCTTAATCAACAAATCTGGTTAAATCTAACAGTGAATGTCGGAGTCGATTTTTTTTTATAAATTTTATTTTCAAAAGGGTATAAAATTTGTTGCTGATTTGATATATAATGATGGTCAATTTCATTGTTTACAATCTATACATAATATTCTACAAATAAACATAAAAGTCCTGCAATACGAGAGACTTTAAAGATCCCTAACAAACTTGAAATATTTACTGAACAATTTAATGCTTTGAAACCAATCATTCCCAAACAAATTAAAAAAAAAACACACAAAATATAAAAGGCTGTCATCCTATTTTTGAAATATTAGTTAACAATAACAAAACCCAACATCTCAAAATAAATGGAACCATGAACTATTATTACGCAAGACTTTTGAATGGAAAACAATTTATACAACAAAATTACGTCAGATACTTACTTAAGGTAATTCAGGATCAAATTGATGAATAGAATCCTTGCAAGAAATACTTTTTTTAACTGAGATTGGAAAAAAAGATTACAATACGTGTTCTTTTGTAGGGAAAATAACGAAACACTCTTGCATCTATATTATGAATGTCGGTATGTTAGTCAATGTTGGCAGAAGAAAAATCATCAAATCTAAATGTCCGAATATAACAGATTATATACTCTCAATAAATAAATTCTTTTCGGTAAAACTGATCCAAAGAGAACGGATAAAACCTTAAATTTTATTTTTTCTTGTTGCAAAAAGATATATTTACACGTGTAGGTGTGATAACCAAAACTTCAATATACAAACTTTCCATAATACGTTAGTTTTTCATCATAATGAAGAAAAGTATATCCAATTTTCTTCCTGTAACTGGGATAAATTCAATAATACATGGTCTCCTTATCAAACTCTGGTCAATATAACAGCCCCTAATTGAGTAATTATCTGAATTAACTCTCAACTCCAAAGTACTCACTAGCTTCATTTAAACACAAGGAAATTTAATGTTTATAACAATCTTAAAAATAATAATAATAAACTTTAATACCATCCAGTGTCAGTGAGGTTTAATATACTTGTACATGTAAAGTATTTTTCTTGCAATCTTCTTTCTTTATAATGTAATACATAAATTTCTGTGACACATCATAAAAAAGGTTTCGGGCCACCAGTACATACATATTTAACACTATACTCTTTATAGGCACTTTTTAGAAGAAAAATGTTTTAATTTCAAACAATTACAGGTAAGAAGTTTTACATCAAGATACAAAATTATATTGAGATTGAGATTGATGGAGCTTTCACATACATGTTTTACGCTTCGTGAAGTTGGGGCTATTCCTGACTCCCCTCCTTCATTAGGGGTCGAGAATTTGGAGTGCAACTGGCACGGCCTTGGGCGCGCGTTGACCGTTTGAGCTTCCAGGCCCCAGGTCGTGCTCTGGTTGAGTTGAGGTCCACAATGGAGTAGGCGGAGACAGTTCTTGCTGATTTTAATATAATTTGTTTAAATAGTTTTATGTAATAATATGTATTTGTGTACACAAAATATCTTAAACCAGGAAGAAAAACTCAGCAATTTTGTACTTATAATAAAGGGAAGTAAATGTGTTAACATATGTAAGGTAAACTATAGCAGTTATCCTTCTTAATCAGACACGACTGACACTATTAATACATATAAATTTTTTCTGATAATAGAAACATGTCTATAAACTATTCTGTTAGGAGACATGAAATTGTGGTTTATTTTTTAAAGATAACCGTTGTCCATGGTGTTAATAACTCTACCTACTATATAATTCTACCTACTATATAATTAATTATGTGAACTATACAGTCACATTATACTTTTTTACCTATTTTCTAAACCATAATCCAAGGGAAGACCTGATCTGTTTTTCGTATACACTTTTCGTTTAGGTTTATGTAGCTGGGGGCACTATGGTGACAAGGATGAGAAAATAATAATATATAAATGAATGTAAAAACTATCTCATAAAATCGTCACTTTATAAAAATTATGAAATAGAATTATTAATCAATAAATAGAAGAAGAATTTTTATTTCAAAATCCACATGTAAACAACAACAGTCTGGTTTAGGCTAATAAGCCCTTGACCTGACACAAAATAAAAATTACAACATTCTCAGAAATACAATACATTACACAATACATTACAATACAATGACGGACATTGAATAATAATATTACTCACTTTCAACATATAGTTACATTCGTATATTATCAAAACTATATGATGTCATTTACATTTTAATTCATATCAATTATAATTTCATACATATTTATCTCTTTGATTATTTGGTTTGTTACCTTGTTCTGTATGTGTTCTTTTTACTAAACATTAATGGTTATAAATATTTACTTGTTTTATCATAATATGCTCATATATAAATATTTATAATATTTGGTATCAAATTTATATATATATATATATGATCGCATTTCAAAATTATATTGTAATGTAATGTGAATTTTTTAAAATTGTATCATATCACATGTTTCCTTTTCTTTAAGTTTTTTAACTGCTCGTTTTTATATGATTGTATGATTATGTACAATTGTATAATTGTATGTAAGTCTTTCCAATAAATGGGGTTCCACATTTGTGGACCCGAAGCTGAAAAAATAAAACAATAATAAAATTAAAATAACAATAATGTTTTGAATATTAAGGGGACCAAAGGCTTAACGTAACTGGAATTCGACTAACTGGTGGTACTGGTGCATTTGAAGGACGTGTTGAGGTGAATGTCAATGGAATTTGGGGAACGATTTGCTCCAAATCATTTAACATGAATGACGCGATGGTATTGTGTAGGACGATGGGACTTTCGTAAATATTTTTTTATTATTTACTTCCATCTATCCTATTTGACACATCTTTTATAATTAATAAAAGAAGTGATAGTTTTGAATTTTGAACAAATATGTTTCATGCACTAAAGCTGAAATGTTGGAAATATATTTTCTCTTTTTTACGTATCTCATAAGTTTTAATGGCAAATAAATGATTGTTTACTTTCCTGCTCGTAATATACAGTATTGTTATGTAGTGAATTATATACAGAAATTAGCCGATATATAAAAATGCCAGTTGTGTAAACATGAATCAAATAAAAGAGAACTTGGTGAAAACATTTGCAAGCTGTAAACGTGTGTGTATTGAAACATAATAACCAATGACCTGAGATGTATTTCTTATAAAGGGGAGGTTTAATGTTCAATTTGATAAAGATCTAGATCACTAACTTGTGTGCAGAATTAAATTTGCTCTGTTTACCCTGGATAATAATTTCAATAGTGAAAAATGATTTATTGAAAAAATATATTGAACATATTTTTTTACGAAAGTGTGACATCGCTTTTCGCTGAAATCGGGATAAAGTAAATACGACATTTGCATATTCTTCTGTTTTAAGTCCCCCAGCTGATCTATGTAAGAAATTAAATTTTGATTTAACTTTTGGATCTCATTAGAGTTGCTTTAATATCTTATATTTTACTTTTATTTCGTTATATTGAAAATTCAGGGCGACGGCATATTTCTCCGCTACTTCATTTGGACAGGCATTCGGTCCTATTTTTGCGGAACAACTGAGCTGTTACGGACATGAGTCACATATAAGTCAATGTCAGTATTTTCCACGATTTAGTTGTGTACATAACCAAGATATCGGTCTCATCTGTACAAGTAGGTATTTACGTGATAATAAACTTTATTTCTGCAGATAGAACATATTGACAGGGTAGGTAAGAAATACAATTCAGTTGTCAATATATTTTGATGAGAGCAATAATAAGTGTTTCATTTCAAAACTTAAAGTCACATTATACTCATATTTTCATACTCAAGTTGAAGAATTGAATTTTTATTTCAAAAGATTGACTGTTAAAATGGTGTTTGACCAACAGTTTATTTTGGAAAATGTCAAGGATAAAATTTAAAATCTGCCTAAATATAAAAAAGACTGCCCAAGTCTTTTTATAAACTGAACGTTTCGGGTAAGTACTTATTTATATTTACAGAAATTCCGCTTCTATCCAGGGGTTATTTATTGTATATGTAAAGTAAATTATTACATTAAAATTAATCATGGCATTATAAAAAAACTTATTTTGACTTTCACCTGTTCACTCACTGTACATACCCTTGAATGGACGTAATGTCACTTTAAAATTATCATTTTGAGATGCAGTATAACGCTAATTAATTCTAATGAAACATTGCTAAAGATAAACATTAAAATAATAAATGCAATTGACATTAAAAGAGTGTGGACAGTTTACCATCACAAATGGAAAAGTGACTTCAGTGTCGAATAACGGACAAATATTGACCACATCGTGCAACAGCGGATACAGAGCTGACACAAACACTTATACGTGTAGTGACAATGGCAAATGGTCCCAGCAAAGCGTTACATGCTCTCAAATAGGTTCGACTAAACACTATAATAATCTATTTCTCATAATATATATGTATATGTTTATAAAAGGTATAGTTATTAGAACACAATTTCACTTAGTTATATGCATCACGTCTGCATAATTGTTACATTTCAATGATAAGTTTTTACAGAATTTATGTAAAATATGTTAACCTTGTTTTGGCTTACGAGATCAATATTTTTGTAGACGAATAGTGCAAACTGTTGTCATGTCCTCTTCAACACTACATTTTCAGGTTATCCACTGAATGTCACGGATATTAGATTAGCCGACGGGATAGGTATACATGATGGAAGAGTAGAACTACTTGTCAATAATACATGGGGGACAATATGCAGCCGTAATTATTTTGGTAGTAATGAAGCGAGAACAATTTGTTCAATCTTAGGATATAGGTAAAGAACCCTTGTCGTGATTATTATCAAATTTTGAAAAGTTAGTTTTAAGAGTTAGTTAAGTAAAATGCTTAATAACAAATGACAGCAGACCGAGATGTTTTTATTCCCCCAACACACAATGTGTGTGTGTGGGGGGGGGGGCTATAATGGATTCGCTTTGTCGCGTCGGTCGGTCCATCCGGCCGTCTCCATAATCGTGTCCGCTCTATAAATCCTATAAAAATTGAAGGACTTTCTTCAAACTTGGCTCAAATGTTCACCTCAACAAGGAGGTGTTCAGAACCCATATTGCACATGTGTCAGCTCCATGTCAATGTCACAATTCTGAAATAATATGCTCTTAATATTTGAAATATTTTGTAAAAAAAAAAATAAGAAAATTAATATGATATATAGAGGATCTTGCATGAGTGTCTTTTCATATTGAATTTATTAAACGAGTTGAATATGATCAAATACAAGGCTCTGCCATCAATCTGTACAGTATCGCCGTCGATAAACGCACGGTCCGCCATGTTTGTTTAATTTTTTTTGAAAGCGCGTATGAATAATTAAACATAGTGATCAGACGCTTAATTTGCATAGTTGTTACACTAGTGTAATATCGGTTTTATTAAATGGCTTTATAACACTCCTGCACCGCAGTTTATGTGATACACATTTGTAAGAATAGTTTTTTATTGTATACATTTAAGCGGCATGTACACATATTTCACGTCATCATCACCATTTGGATATGGAAAGGGTCCAGTTTATATGAACAATCTTGACTGTACTAGAATCGAAACGCATATCAACAACTGCAGTTATACAGTTAAAGTATCATCGTATTGTAGTCATTCTTATGACGTAGCAGTTATTTGCCGTAAGTTAATTTAAAAAAAAAGATTAAATGCATTAAACTACTGAATGTTTATATCATATATAAACAGGTCGACCAACGTTAAAATGTGCATTATACATGGAAATATGATGGGAATGAAAGTCATTATATTATAAATAAATCAAAGAAAATAAAAAACGTCTCCATGATGATGGTGTGAGACAGATTTGAAATATTCCATGGTTTAAAATTAAGACATAACCATAAACATTTCTTTGGATATTTTAAATAGTAATAATTTGATAAAGTCAAACTGATTTGTAATCTTTCGTGAATGAAGTTACTGTGTGAACGTGTATTTTATCTATATAAATAAACAAACATTAAATTCCATTATGTTGGAATAAAGAAGTTAAATGGGCCAAACGCATAGTAGTTTAGTATTGGCACTAGTTCTTGTAAGTTGTCTTTGTTAATTACAGCTGTACATTGTAAAATGTATAATTATGTTATGCTAATATTTCTTTCATCTAAGGATATGACCTAAACGTCACAGATATTAGGTTAGTAGATGGTACAGGGCCACATGATGGTCGGGTAGAAATCCTGATGAATGACACCTGGGGAACAATTTGCAATAGAAATATAGATGACAATGATGCAACAACGCTTTGCAGGATGCTTGGCAAAAAGTAATAACTGTAATTGTTATAATATGATTTCAATTGAAGGACATTGATTTTCTTTTCTCCTTTATGGGGCGACCATGTGTAAAATAATGCTTAAGTAATAGTTTTATTGCAAATTAGATTCTTATCACCGGAATAAAATATCGGTGATGTAAAATAATTTTTCGTAAAAGTAGCATTTTAGTTAGTTTTTTTTATTTCCAAACAAAATGCTCAATCAGTTTAATTGGGCTAATGGTTAAAAAGCATAAAAAGTTCATATAAATGGCCAATATGTACTTTGAGGAAATTATCACAGGTCACCAAAGAAATAAAAATAATAGCAGTTTAGAGGGTTTATTGAGCCTTTATTAAATTATTTTAGACTGTCGAGAGATTATCAAAACAAAATTCACAGTTGAATAATGTGGCACAAATAAAGATCTGTTCACTTAATTCTAATATTTGTAGCTATACCCATTTCTTCAACACGGCTAAGTACGGAAGCGGATCTGGTCCAATGTATATTGCAGACCTAAGCTGCTCAAGTAACAAGAAGCATATAAATGAGTGTGCCTTCAATCCACCAAATCGCCAGACTTGTAATCATCAAAACGACTTGTCATTAGTTTGTACAGGTATCAATGTTGACATTGACTTACATCAGTGCTTCAAACAACAGTTAATTAACACTACTAAATACTGTTTTAATACTATCAAACCCATTTTGAGCTGTTGATTTTAAATTACTGACTCAATAAAGCACTGTGTGATTTTTTTTTCAAATTTGTATTTTCTATTTGATTGATTTTTACTCGTGCCAATGCTTATATCGGTAAGAAGGTGGCAATAATAGTGTTATGTCTTTTTCAAGTATGTGGACCTCTTACCTTAACAAACGCTATTGTGACGTCGTTTAATGGTTCTATTTTGACTGCAACGTGTTATGATGGATATTTACCAGGGACATTAACGTTGGAGTGTTCGGATGATGGTACTTGGCAAGGAGAATCCATTTGTAAATTACCATACGGTATTGCGACATTTAGCTTACACGTTTATATAAAGTATCGGTATATTGTAGGATCACAAGGCGTTATCATTAACATGAAATATGAAAATGTATGAATGCTATTTTAAATAAAGTATTCTACATCTTAAGTTTGTCTACGACGTTTCAAACTTTATAAAACTAATTAAGCCTTTAATTTAATTTGATACTTAAATTTTGCTGTGAATAAAATTCAACGAAATTTCACGAGAAGATGAGTTTTGTTGAAAACATATAACATATATAAATAAAAGTATAAACAACCAATTTGATTATTTAAAATCAGAATACCCCCTAAATATAACTGGCATTCGCTTAACTGGCGGGAATCAGCGAAGTGGTATGGTCCAGTTGAGATTTGACAATAAATGGGGTTATGTTTGTGGCAAAAGTTACGATCAGCATACTGGGAGTGTCATTTGTAACATGTTAGGACTGCGGTGAGTAAAGAATCTTATTAATTGATAGTTTTTAATAACTATTGATAAATCTTCGTTTGTCCTATTGTTCTTTTATTGTTGTTGTTGTGTGTGTGCATGCATGTGTGCGTGTATGTGTCTGTGTGCTTTGTTTTTTATTATCATTATAAATGACCAAACATATACCTGAATGAAATAAATCATAATTGTATGTGACTATTCATATATGAAACAGATTTCAGTCAAGTAGTTCAAGACAGTACAGTGACCGCAAACTTCCAGAAGTTGTTGATCAACTCCAATGTAATGGGACAGAATCACATATTAACAACTGCAAATATGAAATACCGTTATCGTGTTCATCTCCAAGATATTATGCTACAATCCAGTGCAAAGGTAAAGCCTTTCGAGAACAATTTAACTTTCCTACTCTATGTTTTCTCGTTTAGGAGACACTCCTTCTCTTACTTGGAACTATACGGCGTTGTTTTATTACTCACGTCCGTAAACGTCAATTAGACCGAGCCTACATTACATGTTTTTTAAATTTTATTCTGCCTTTGACTTTATATATGATATTATTTATCGCTTTCCAGATTGTGGACGGCCTAGCGTTATAAACGCTGCTGTTTCATTATATAACTCAACGGACGCCATAGCAAACTGTTTCAGTAGTTATAAACCAGACGTTATTTCACTGCATTGCTTAGTAAATGGAACTTGGGCAGCAGACACAAAATGTTCATTGCCGGAAGGTATTTCCTTTCTCAATAAAAGGCGTTATTAGCTGAGCTCATTATTTTATTATAAGTTGTGAATAAAATTCAAAATATTGAAAAAAGCGTATGGTTACCAATATTGATATTTATTCTCAGAAATGCTCTGCTTAAGTCGTATCTTTATGAGTCTCTACAAAAGCTCAGTCAGTGTACAATAACAACTTATTTGCTTTAGATTAATATTCCTATAATTTCTAAATAATAAATGAAAAAAATATATATATCTTATTTATTAACTAAGTAGTAACGTAATATGACGTAAAGGTATCAGCTACCGTGGTAAAGAAGATGAAAAAATGTATTTTGTCGCAAAAACAACAACTATACCCTTTAATATATTTTGCCTGTCGTTTAAGATTATCCGCTCAATATCACCGATGTTCAGTTGATCGGAGGATACGGGCCTTATGAAGGAATTGTTCAGATTAAAGTAAATAACCAGTGGGGTTACATTTGCGGCAATAACTTTGATCAATCTGCTGGAAATGTAATATGTCACATGTTAGGATATGAGTAAGTTTAGTATTCTTATTATTCGCATTTTTTTCAATTTCATGGATGTTAAGCTCGGTGTTTCTATTTATCGACTCGATAAAGCAATATCAAAATCTTTTCTTTAATTTTAAATGAATTACAAGGAATAATTATGTGACAAAAACAACAATAACATGGAATTTGACATTTGAGAAATATGTTGAACACACGAAAGTACGGTCTTCACGCAATTCATTGTTTGACATAAAGAGTGAATGTTACTTCCAGATTGAAAGTAGGACAAGTCCATTAAAGATATTTAACGTGATGAGGGTTGATATGGTTACATATATTACTTTATTTACTAACTGATGCTTTATAATGCTGTTTTATAGGCTTTTAAAAACGCAGTCCACGTACCTCTCACGTTCAAATATGCCCGAATACATTGATAGCATCCAATGTAATGGAACAGAAACGCACATCAATGATTGCAATTATGAAGTACCGCATTCCTGTTCTTCTTCGAATACTTATTCTTACTATGCATATGTTGAATGTACAGGTATGATATTTTAACTCAGGTTTAACTTAAATATTTTTTATGAAACCATCTTCTGAAAACGAAGTAGATATTTCATATGCGTCTGTTTTAATAATAAAATTAGCTACTCTATGAATTATTTGTTTCAAAAGTTTGCCTGAGCATTTTGTTTACATTAATTTATCCGAGTTATCACTTATTTTTCAACCATATCAGTCAATAGAGATGTAAGAAAACAACCCAGTATCATCCGATCTCGAATTTCTTATTGAACATATTTTTTATCATTAAAAGTCGCTATTATTATATTTCTTATTTTATTGTTTTTAATTGTTCCATTCGTCTTCAATTTTAAGGCTACCAACTTAATATATCGGGCATCAGATTAGCAGGAAGTACCGGGCCATATCAGGGTCGTGTGGAAATTGAAGTCAATAACACATGGGGAACTATATGCGATTCTAATTTCGGCCGCGATGAAGCCATGGTCATTTGTAAGATGCTTGGACTCAAGTGAGTGATTACAATTAAATCTGGGTTGATGTGTGGTGCAATATTGGTTACATTGTGTATTTTATATCTTTTTCTGATTATTTATAATTGATCATTTTTTTTTATTTTTTTTACAGTCTCTTCACCCATTATAACCGGGCCCATTATGGTCAAGGCAGCGGACCAGTGTATATTGCAAAACTTGAATGCTCTAGCTCTCATAATCACATCAACGATTGCAAATATTTAACAGAACACAACTGTCAGCATCAAAACGATATCTCTGTAGTTTGCTACGGTATATATTATTATCTACTAAATAATATATACTGCTTAGTTTCTTAATATTGAATTATTGTTTAATAAAATATATGGTGCTTTGTTTCGTCACATTTTAACACAATAAAATGGCAGATATGTTATAATCTCATTTCTTTACTTGAATACATAACTTTATTACGCTTAATATTTTCAATCTTAAATACTCTCATTAAATATTTGTTTAAGTCTCTAATACGGATAAATGCATTCAACGTGCAACTACAGCTAAATTTCCTCAAATGTGTCTGCTATTCACATACGTTTACTAAATAAGGAACTAAATATTAATATCTAAATGTGTTAGCTACTTGTGCGAAGAAGATGAATAAGTAATGCGTTTTGTCTTTAGCAAATGTTTTTATGCACAACCTCGTTTACTGCCTGAATGCATTAACGTTTGTCACACAATCTATTTAAAACTAAATAGAACTATATATATCCTGTTCGTAGTTTAAAACATTATTGTTTGATTGTGTGTATTATGAAAAATAAAGCTTTTAAAATATCAGTTTGATAAAATACGTATATATATTCCCTTAGAGCGAATGACGCATGCACAAACCGCTGCTAAACGTAAAATATAAGTAGCATAATATTTTGCTCCGGAACATTTTGTTCTATTTACATAAAATATGCATATGAATTAATCGTTCATGATTTTAATAAAAAAAAATTTCTAATATAACATTAGACCCTTTGATATGTTGCTTCTCGTTTAAGATTATCCGCTCAATATCACCGATGTTCAGTTGATCGGAGGATACGGGCCTTATGAAGGAATTGTTCAGATTAAAGTAAATAACCAGTGGGGTTACATTTGTGGCAGTAACTTTGATCAATCTGCTGGAAATGTAATATGTCACATGTTAGGATATAAGTAGGTTTAGTATGTTTTAGCTGTATCGATTAATTATGGCACTATTTATCAGATTGATTAAACTGATATCAAATGATTTTCTGTAAATAAATCGTGAATGAAAATTAAACGTACATAGAAATATAAAAAAGTGAACATTTGACTTTTGAAATAATTATTGAGCACACAAAAGTTTACATGCATTTAGAGTAAAATTTGTCTGCAATATTCATTTATATATATTGACAAATATTTTTCTGAATTGATTGGTCTTCCTTATTGTTTTCTTTTTTAACATTTTAACTTAACAACATTTTAATGTTGTTTGAGATTTATCTTTCAATTATTTATGAAAAATATTTCATAATTCTCTTAACTAGCCTTTCAAACAATTGCTTAAAAAGTACCAAATAATTTGCCTTCAACACTGTGGGGAGGGTTGTTGCTAATGTTGTTATAAATTGTAGCACGAGCCATTTGCACTATATCTCTTTGTGAATATTTGTTTTTGTATTATTAATGTAACGTAACCTTAAATTAACATACTAGGTTAGTGACAGCGCGATCCAAATATCACTCATCAAATCTTCCAGAATACGTTGATAATATTCAATGTAATGGTACGGAATCGCACATCAATAATTGCAGTTATGAAGTACCAACCTCATGTTCTTCTCCGAACTCTTACTATGCATACGTTGAATGTACAGGTATGATAACTTAACTCGGGTTATTATTTTTCATGAAAACGTCTTATTTGTATGTCACATATATCTATATCTGAAATGAATTGTTCCCTCGGAAGCAAATTAAATGAAAAGTGCAGTGTCGGTTTGATGAATACTGTACATGAGGGAAAATGAAGAAGTGCAACATCCGTCATGCCCACTAGCATCAGCTTGAGTTGTACTCAATTTTCAACACTAAAATGTGCTTGAATCAATGATCCTGAATGACCAGAAAAATATAATAACACTGAAAGTGAAAGCGTCTTCTCATTGCTCAATAAAATAATTTACAATACTAATTATCAATCCACTACATTTCCTTACGCATTTTTCTTACAGTGTTTTGTGTCAGCAATCATATATTTTTTCAACAGGATCGATTGAAAATGAAGAAAAATATTCAGTATTGTCTTATATCGAACCATTTATTTGAATATTTTTATCATTTAAAGTTGATGTTAATGTTTTAACTATCTTTTCATTGTATTCGTCTTCAATTCAAGGTTACCAGCTTAATATATCGGGCATCAGATTAGCAGGAAGTACCGGGCCATATCAGGGTCGTGTTGAAATTGAAGTCAATAACACATGGGGAACTATATGCGACTCGAATTTTGGCCGCGATGAAGCCATGGTCATTTGTAAGATGCTTGGACTCAAGTGAGTGATTAAAACTTAAATCTGGATTGATGTATGGTTCAACCTTGGTGAATTAGTGTATTTGTGTACCTTTTTCTGATTTTGTTTTTACAATTGGTCAAGTCATTATCTATTGATTTTTCTTTTATTTATTTATTTATAATTATTATTCTTTTTTTTGTTACAGGAGCTTCATCCAATATAACCGGGCCCATTATGGTCAAGGCAGCGGACCAGTGTATATTGCAAATCTTGAATGCTCCAGCTCTCATAATCACATCAACGATTGCAAATATTTAACAGAACACAACTGTCAGCATCAAAACGATATCTCTGTAGTTTGCTACGGTAATCTTTACTTATTTATTTATTGATTATTCGTAGACCTTTGTAGTCATTTTACTCGGTTCATAAAAACAAACTGGACTGATATGAATCGAAAGAGTGTCTTTATTTCTAAAAGACATTTTATGGTTTTACAGTAAAATTGTATTTCCTTTACGAAATAAGTGCACTTTAATGACCTTGTCAGGACGTTAGTAACGTCAATTGCAAAAGAAATACTTAAAGATGGACAGTTTGAAACGTTTGTGAGCTTTCCGGCATGTTTAATGTCTGCATTGAGTCGGCACATTCAATTCTGACCAAACAAATTTGTTTAAACAATATTTTATTTATTCATCAGGATATATGCGTATTTCCAACAAATAAATGTGGTTACTATTAGTATTTACCTTGATTTGTTTGTTGATAAATGCTAACCGGTGTACTGTAAATTAACCGTAAAGAATAACTGTTTGTTGATCAAATATTCTTTCTATTGTAAATATTAATCGTAATGTTTCAAAACATCGGACGATGGCGTTTTTAAATTGAAACTATAAATCCCCAATTGAATTACTACATAAGACTGCCCGTTAAACTATAAATGAAGCACACGGATATAAATTTGAATACTTAATTATCCGAATGTATGTTAACTATATTAAGCAAAGTCTCAGACAAGACACAACCACGCAATGTGTTGGATTTATCCGTTCTTTTCCCTGTATTGTATTAGGTAATTATTATTGATACGCCCAAACAAATTTTTACACCTTATATAATCATTAAGTGATGCACTCACATGTTTAAGTGACTGTCTATTATTATTTATTATTACAAAAGTATTTGTCTCATATTTTTGCATTGTAAATATGCAAATTAGGATATATATTCAATAAAACTGTATGAAAACTACATATAAAGTGTCGAGATGACTAGAACATTTCGATACAGAGCGGAAAGTGGCCGGCTCTCAAAATGGAGCGAAAAGGTGACTTTCTTTCTCGCTCATTATTCGAACAGAACAAGTGTTTATGGTTATATGATGCGGAGACAATGACACCCGGAAGAGTACGCTCAAAAATATTGACGCTGGTGACATTTTTTTTAAAATTATATTTGGACTTCATGAAATCTTTAGCGTGCGCCGGGTGGCGCACGCTTTGAAATTTGTCATGTTCACAGTAATGTTATTTGTTAACATATTGTATTATTTTTTTCCACTTTATATTCAGGACAGGTTCCAATATTTGGCTCTTGTAAAATCATGTACGCAAATTAAAAATTGTGATCAGTAGAGCCGCAGTCCACGAACTTTTTGAACACCCCTCGTATTTACACAGCTTATTTTCGTATTTTTATTTTCTAATTTACTTATTATTTAAAGTACATGATTTCGTAATCTTTAATTATTTATTCATAATTAATAGCGTGTATTTTCTGAATATTGGTTGCATTTCTTCACCTGAAATTAAATATCAATTAATTACGCTTTATATTTTCATTCTGAAATACTCTCATTATATATTGTATGAGTCTCTACCATGTCTACTATGCGCTAAACTAAAGATATTCTTGTCGAGAATTGACAAAAATAAAAAAATAAAAAAATAAAAAAACGATTAAGGAAACAACATGACTTAACCGTTCATACTGACACGGAATTATATAATAAAAATCCTCAATAATGATAATACTTTTTTTCATTGAATATAACCGTTTACCCTTTAACATATGTTGTTTCTCGTTTAAGATTATCCGCTCAATATCACCGATGTTCAGTTGATCGAAGGATACGGGCCTTATGAAGGAATTGTTCAGATTAAAGTAAATAACCAGTGGGGTTACATTTGTGGCAATAACTTTGATCAATCTGCTGGAAATGTAATATGTCACATGTTAGGATATAAGTAGGTTAAATATTCTTATTATTCGCATATTTTCTGTTTCAATATGTAAAGCTCGGTATTATTATTTAACAACATGATACAATATCCTTTCAAACCTTCAAGAGAATACATTGATAAATGGAAAGGTCCATTAAAGACATTTAGAATAATTATCACACAAACTGCAAAACAGGAGTGTAATAAAACCATTTATTTAATAAAAACGAAATTACACTTGGTTTAAACATATTTTATTCAAGGTAATATATTCATGCTTATAATTTACAATTTAAGCAGAAAGGAATTGGACTGAGAGCTACAATAGCTCATGGTAGCTCATGGACATTACACTTGTGTAATAACACTGACGTGAAGCTTTTTGCGTTATAAACATACGTAGCGTTAAAACGCGCTGATGTTAGCGTTGCACTATAGGCGCGTCCATGAAAAATACTCTTTTTTACAGTTAACCATTCTTATTTTAGATATGTGATAAATAGAATATCATATTCGTGTACATTCAATATAAATTTATTGAACTCATTGAACAAAACAGTATTATGCTCGCCAGAGTCTCGCATACTATGATTTTATTTAACTCGTTCAATGAAATTAGTATTAAATAAACTCTCATTCAATATCATCTATTTATATGCTTTTAAATAGTATATGTATTTCTTTCTTTATAACCTACATAGGTTGCTGAGGACGCAATCCAAATACCACGTAGCACATCTTCAAGAATATGTTGATAAGATTCAATGTGATGGAAATGAATCTCACATCAATAATTGTAGTTATGAAATACCATATTCGTGTTCTCCATCGAATACTTATTCTTACTATGCATATGTAGAATGTACAGGTATGAATATCTATTTCTTATTATGTCTTCCGAATGTTTTCATTTTGCCGTCTGTCTGTCTGTCTGCCGGTGTCAAACTGCTGCCCAGATTTCATTAAAACTTCACAGTTCCCTGGTTGTGCAAATTGCTGGCACGATCCACTTGGCGGCACAAAATGGCCGCAAAGCTATGAATACAAAAAAGAAATATTGTCCAGCTATCACAAGTTTAACTGCAATGTGGGATTACAATGAAACTACACAGGAATGATCAGTACCATAATAGTTGTGCATATCGCCGGCACGTTCCTCTTCGCTGCACAAAATGACTGCAAGAGCTGTTGAAAGAAAAATCTTGTCCGGCTTTCACATGTTGAGCTGCATGTGGAATTCTAATGAAACTACACGTTCAACTCCGCTGCACAAAATTGCCGCCAGATCTATAAGTATGAAAGTCTTTTCCGGCTTTCACTGGTCAAACTGCTGGGATGATTTAAATGAAACTTCATAGAAGTGGTCATTGGTCAGTACCATCCCTAGTTGTGCATATCGCCAGCACGTTCCATTCCGCTGCATACAATTGCCGCAAGAGTTAAAAATAGATAACTCTTGTCAGGCTGTTACAGGTTGAACTTCCTGTGGGATGTCACTGAATCTACACAGGTGTAATCAGTATCCTAGGTGTGCATAAGACCGCCAAGTGTGCTTCACTGAACAAAATTGTCACCAGATCTATAAATATCAAAATCCTATCTGGCTTTCACAGGTCAAAATGCATGTTGAATTTCAATGAAATTTCAGAACTATCCCTAGTTGTGCATATAGCCGGAAAGTTCCTCTTTGCTGCAAAATACAAAATAGCCCCCAGAGCAATTTATAGAAAAATATTCTTTCGACTTTGAAAGGTCAAACTGCTGGTAGAATTGAGCAAAATTTACAGAAGTTGTCAGTACCATACATTGTTTTGGGGAACATATGTTTTTGTGACAAAATCCGCTTTAAGTTTTCTTTTGATATTGATTAAACATGTCTGTTTTACAACTACTTGCCAACAGTTATGACCATTACATCATTTCATCTATAAATTCGCATTTTGTTTCAGTAACCGCTTAGTATTTTAACGGCATTGATTATATAAGGTATATTATCCATCAAATCTTATTCAATCGTGAAACTTTAAGCAGCTGTAAAACGTTGCTCCGTACTTCACTTCAGTGTTGTTATATTTTTCTGGTCATTCGGGATAATTGATGCAGCACTATTAAGTGTTGAGAGTTGAGTACAGCTCAAGTCGGTGCTAGGGGCGTGAGGGATGTTGCACGTATTCATTATCCCTCATGTACAGACTCATTCAAACCGAGTCTGCAATTCTCTAGTAATTTTGTTGTGATTAATGCTTCCGAGGGATCACTTTGTTTCCAGATTTGTAATGTAAAACCTTAATTATTTCAAAATTTCTATTTATATGTTCATTTAAATGCGAAAATATTTTCATTGTTTTGAATTGCTCTATTCGTCTTCAATTCAAGGCTACCAACTTAATATATCGGGCATCAGATTAGCAGGAAGTACCGGACCATATCAGGGTCGTGTGGAAATTGAGGTTAATAACACATGGGGAACTATTTGCGATTCTTATTTTGGTGGCAATGAAGCGATAGTCGTTTGTAAGATGCTTGGACTCGAGTGAGTAATTTTTCTAAAGCTGAACTGAGGTTCAAAATTTGAAAATATTTCGTGCGATTTTTACAAAAGTTTGAGTTTGTACAATAAAAAATACTTTTCTGGAAATACTGAGTGGATGAATTATCTGAATTTTTGCACACATCTTCTTGATAAAAACGGTTGCAAAATTGGTCGATAAGCCCCATAATTTACTAAACGGTCTCAACATTAACCAGTCCGGTGCTATTTCAATTGCTTCATATTTAATTTTATTTCATTGTTTTGCTTTTGTCAGTGATATAAGTAACATCTATTAAGTTCATAGTATAGAACAGTCACAGTGTATACACATGTATAGGAATTATGATTATGTTTAATGTCTTCAAAAATCCTTGTATTTGCAATGTTTTTTACTAAATGTTTTTTACATATATTTTTCTATAATGTATCTACATGTATTTGTTTTATGCAATAGCACAGAAGTGAATTGATTCAATTGTGATCAGAAAAACGCGACAGACAATTAGAAGTCAATTAATAAATAAAATGTAAGGTGAAAAAAACAACAAATGTTTCTCTCTTTACAGATCCTGTAACTCATTTTTTATGGTTTTATATCCTACGATGCTCAAATTAAGATTGATCTTCTATAAAGTCTAAGTCAGATTTTTCACAAATATTTTAATGATTACATATAATGTGCACAAATATTTGCAGTACATGTTTTACATATTCATATTGATATAATATTTCACTTAAGTGTGGTAAGAACCTCAAATACAACATGCATGATTTTTAACGATTTTAATGTATCCGTTTTCTAAGTATTAACTAGATACTTAGTTCATGTATGGATATTGTGAGGTTCTTATACATTGTTGCGTTCAATATTGAATTTTATTGAACGAGTCCATAGTTTTCAAACATATTTTGCACCTGTAAACAAGTCCAATTGATTTTATTAATGGCCAATTTATTTCACATTTTTGATATTTTGGCAGAACACTTTTACTTCAATACAATAAAAAATTGATATAAAATTTGTCCGTGAAAATTTAAATGAGGCTAGATGGGATACGATTTGAATTTGATATAGATATTTTGGATTCTGAAATTGAAAACGAGGCGATATGGTCAACTTCACACTAATAGGTCAAAGGTCAGTACTATGCATCTTTTGTCCTGTAAAAATGTTTAATTAACTTGGCACAAAAGGGTAGCATGGTGCGTCATGCACAATATTCAAGATCAAGGACATAATTAGAGGTTATAGCTCAGTAGTAAAATAGTAAAAATAATACATTAAAAACACCATCTTGAGTCTTATGTGCTGTTTATTTAGATTATTCAAACACATAAACTGAATACTTTTAAAAGTTCAATAGATCAATCAAGAATAGATTTAATCTATTGCATACAGTATCTTGTATGTTCCCGGGTGTTGGTCATAATATTTTTATTTAACAACACCTTTTTAATGAGGACCACAATAATGAAAATAAAAATATTTGGCCGGATCGACTTTGGACCAGATTGACTTAATTTTGACCTATGTAACTTGAGGCTGGAATGATATTTGTCCGAGGTGACTTGTTTCTGTCAAATGGTATAAAAATATTGAGAAAAAAATATTGTCAATTCTATCATGTCAAAACAATTGTAGTATCTCTTTTATTATATGCAATATTACTTTTATGTATTTTTTGTATTATTTCTTATTTTCTTATCTATACTTTTTGTTTTAGGAGCTACACATATTATGGCAATGCCTATAATGGCCAAGGCAGCGGACCAGTGTATATTTCAAAACTTCAATGTTTAAGTTCTTTTAATCATATCAACGAATGCAAATATTTAACCGAACACAGCTGTCCCCACCGGAACGATATCTCTGTAGTCTGCTACGGTAAACATCAATTTTCTACTTATTAATTTATTATATATTGTATTATTATTATCATGTGTTATTATATATCTAATAAAAATAAAGAGCCAACGTAATACACGGAACTAGCAGACGACAGACTTCTTTGTAGAATTGCGAGTAAAGATAACCAGTTGTGTATATCACTGTATGAAACGTATGCAAAATGGTATGACTTGTGGTAGGTTTAACCGTAAATTTAAATACATTCAGTGTCAAACAATGTGTTGAAATATATACTAAGACGAAGCTAAGATCAAAGCTTTTCATTGGTATAATACATGTAGATTTTAAAATCGGACATTAAATCGCCACAAAAGATATCGATTTTACTCGAAGATAAGGGAAACAACTCATGTTTTTTTTTCACTCGATATACCTAGGTTATTTACGTAGTTCATATAGAAACTGTCAATGGATGTATTTGTCTCTTAGTGCTGTTTCGGAAATCATGTGGGATTAATAGCTGGAAACGTGCGGAGAAATTTGTAGTTACTGGTAAGTTATCCAGGAAAGCCTTTGTTGAAATATAACCATAACATTATTAAAATCTGTGTAAAAAACAGACAAAGAATACAGACAACCGGACTTATTTCTTTGAGAAAGACATTATCTTATATTTAGCTAGTCCTGGTGTAGGGGAATTATTATCAATTATAACATATTCAATGTGAACGTTGTTTTTAAGGTCCTAAACTTAACATTACCGAAGCTCGTTTGTCTGATGGTACAGGACCTTTTGATGGTCGAGCTGAAATTAAGGTCAATGATACATGGGGTACTATTTGTGACAACAACTTTAACATAAACGATGCTGATACGTTTTGCAAGATGCTTGGTTTAAAGTAAGGTTTAAAACTGAATATTAAGCCACAATTACTTCAATGTGTGTCTGAATCATAATGAGTTGTATAAAATTCTATTTTTAAAATATTTCAATCGCGACTTAATTGCCACTTGCTAACGAAATATCAATTTTATCACACTCTATTTCACTTCAATGTATTATCTTTACTATTTGAAAAGGAATTTTGTAATTTTTGGTTTTTGTGCGGTTTGTAAGTGTTTAATCATTTTACTTCTGTTGTCATTTTACTGTTTCTGATTAATCATAAATGCATAAACAAAACATATTTTGATCACTTCAGGGGAGCACAATATTTCACATGAGAAAAGTATGGTGAAGGAAGTGGTCCCGTACTCGTGGACGAGTTCTTTTGCAATAGTAATTACAACGATCTCAATGACTGTAAATACCTGTTTCGTAACTCATGTAAACACGACAGGGATGTTTCGGTTGTTTGTAACGGTTGGTGCTTTTTTATTTAATCATTTTCTTCAATCTTTCTGTACAGTCTTCAATCCTTTTGTACAAATGCTAATCGTTGTATGTTTTTCTCAAGTCTGCACATTTGTTTTTTCTTATGTTTTGTAGATTCATGTAGACTATAATTTAGGGTTCATGCTATCTTTTATGATAAGTTTTTTTGTTCTATAAACAACTCATATACGTATCTGTGAAATATAACTTTTTATTTAACTTTATGTCTTATATTTTTATTAAATCTTTTCATTAACTAACATCTATTTAAATTTGATACAGATACAAATCATAAGAATGCAATTTAGAGGGGACCTTTAAATACAAAAAGGTACTGATTAAGTAATCATTAGGATTCGCCGAAAAAAGGTTTTCAAATCATTTCCATATAAAACTATAGATTCATGACATACACTTTATTTTGGTAGAGATAGTAATAGCGACAAAATTGCAAAATTAGGCACTGGTTCCGTTTAACCATTAAATAATGAATGTTCTTTATTCTAATCATTTGTCTATTTGTTTCAAGAATGTGGACAACCAAGCATATATTACTGGGATGTTGGTTACTTTAGTTACAATGGTACAAGTTTATACGCTGATTGTTCGTACTACAAGACATACATAGGGACTCTAAAAATGACCTGTGATAATGAATCAAAAACATGGGTGACTGAAGGTCAATGCAAGGAATACAGTATGTGAAACAATTTCCCTAAATATCGTCGCTTAATAACTTAAAAAGCGTGTTCTTTGTTTAAAACTTGCCTACAGTTTATTAAGGTAACATAATCAAGCAACTTTCAAGGGGTTAAATGACATTTGATAATATAATATTATTGAAATATTGACAATTCTAAAATATGTGTTATAGTGAAAGATTTATATTTAGCATGTTCGATATTGTATAAAACACACTTTCATCGTTTTGTAGCTTTTCCATTGAATATAACGGACATTCGATTGACAGACGGAACTAAGTCCAGTAATGGCCGAGTTGAACTAGAGGTAATGGGCACATGGGGAACAGTATGTGATAATCATTTTGGAAAACATGAAGCTGATACAATTTGTCGGATGATTGGATATGCGTACGTAATAGTGCAATTGTTATATGCAAAAGGCATATTAATGTTGTTGAATCATGTTAGAACTACACACATATAATTATAATTATAGTAAATTGTTTGTTCACAGGGTATGAATACAAAAGCTGATTATGTATACATTAAAATGATTTATCATATAAACCATGACATAGGAGTGTAATAAATATTTAATAAAAACGATTAAACAGTAGTGTAATAACTCTTTGACGTAACATTATTTGCGTTATATACAAATATAGAGCTAAAGCGCGCTACTTTTAACGTTAATCTATAGGCGTATCAACGAAGTAGACTCCCTTTAATTCTGAACAGTTTTTATTTAAGATATGTGATTTAAGCAATATTATATTCGTGTAGATTTAAAACTAGATTTTTGAACTCGTTGAATAAAGCTATATTATGCTCGCGAGACGCTCGCATTATATGGGTAAATTCATATTCTTTTTCAATAAAGTTAGTATTAAGTCTCTCATTCAATATTCTCTGATTTTAGTTTACGTCCGTGATTTGAAGTATTGCAGGACTGATTGATCAGTTGAAATAACAATCTATATTGTCAGATATTATTCTATTTTTAGGCCTGCCTTTGAAGTTTATTCTGGTGCTTACTTTGGAGAGGGAAAAGGTCCCATCTTTGTTGATGATCTCAAATGTTCACCGACTGCTTCTCATTTAAACAATTGTACATACGTTACCTACGATAATTGTCAACATTTAAATGACGTGTCAGTCGTTTGTACAGGTATGCTGTTTGCAACTTATACAGTTGAACTGTCTCTTGTTTTCATCATACCATTCAAAGAAATTAGTGTGGGTATATTTAAATTAAGGATTTAAATCAAAGAGAGATAGGTAGATGTTAACTTTTAAGTCCTCTGTTCAATTTCATTATCTTATTATATATGTTAACCGGCATATAGCTTTTAGGTTGTTTATATGTTTGCGGCTTTCGGTCAGTCTGATATGCCTGACTGTCGAAGCAATTCGAAAGAAAACTTAAACATTTTCGTTCGTCTTGTAAACTTAATTGTCACTCTTATTAAATGTTTCATTTTTTGATCCCAATTATTTTCCAAAAAGGTGTGTTACGACAATAATCTTAAATATATTTAACAATGTGTTGAATAAAAATGATATTCAAACTGTTACAGTTTTTCAAATTTGAACTGTTGTTATTTAAGTTACTTGTAATAAAATAACATATACATAACTTACATTTAATGTATGCTTTCTCATTAGACTGTGGGGATCCAACACCAGCAAACGGTCACATAAATTAGTCTGAATCAAGCTATGGAACTGTGATAGAAGTGATCTGTGATGACGGATATTTAATCCTTGGTGATGCAGTGATTATGTGTACACTTGATAACAATTGGACCGATAACCCATCTTGCAAATTAATAGGTAAACTTAAATTGACAAAATGCTCAATTGTTTGTTGTTATGTTGAATGTTTCAAGATCTTCTAATAACTTTGCATGACCAATAATTGACTAATGATTAGATAATCAAAAGGCTCCTGCAATTTATCTAGTCTGCAACATTGATAAGTCTGTTGTTTAAGATTTCCAGGTATTCAAGTGCATAAGTAAATCAAGGTTTAGCAAGCCTGTTACACAGTTTTTATAGTAATTAATTTATTTATTGTATCGGAACTGTATCAGTTGATTTGTAAATGAATTATCTTCAGATTGTCAAAACCCAGTTCCAGCAAATGGACAAATTAACACTACTGAAACTGCAAATGGGACAATTGCTAAGATAACGTGTGATACTGGCTATAATTTGTTAGGAAATGACATTATTACTTGCCAGTCAAATGAAACATGGACAGACTATCCGTCATGCAACGTAGTCGGTGAGTACTTTGAAAATATATTTGATTGCAATATTGCATTTTTTTAAATTTATTTTTTCTTTGTTAAGGTAATCTATCATTATGGTTTATGTTTATCTAAAATTGCGTGTAATTATAAAGTATTTAAGATGCAATAAATGTTTTTATTTACAACGAAAAAATGTACGAGAGTTGTCCATTTTTTTTTCCAAATTATAAAAGATACACACCATACATTTTAATGATTGTAATTTTGATTTACTACAGTTCTAACTTTTGCTTTGTTTTATTTTTTTAAGATTGTGGAATACCATCGCCAGATAATGCAAAAGTCGCACTCTCAGATAACAAAACAATGTACGGTGATGTAGCTGTTATCAGCTGTAATATAGGTTACAGACCAGACGGAAGCACGCCTGTTTCTTGCTCAGCAAATGGCACGTGGGGGTCATGGCCCCCGTGCAATATCATAGGTACTTGTTTCTTATATCGTGTCTTTCTACATTTACATAAAACCATTTATAACCATTTATATCATTAATGCCATGTTATATTATTGAAAATTATGCCTTAGGAAATGAACTTGCTGTATACAACAATTTTAATAATGATAATAACTGTTCTAACTTAATTGTTAATTTTCATTCAGATTGTGGTGATCCAACACCTAATAACGGTTATAGAAATTCCACCGTCACAATTTACGGCTCAGTAGTATCAATAACATGCGATCATGGATTAAACATCACAGGGAATTCAACAATTATATGTCAAGCTGACGCTACATGGAGTGATAACCCAGTTTGTGACGCTTCTGGTAAGTATAAATTGACAACAGATACTTTCCTTGTTTTGAAGGCATTAAGCAATGGGGTCCTTTATCCAAATCTTCTATTGCCCCACTATTTAGGACTGTCTAACTGAAGTATGTATTATGAATAAGATCAACAAGGCACGACGACGTTCACAGACCCACATGTACGTCATTTGTTAAATTGATTTTAAAAGGGTATCACTTAGATATAAAGACGGTAATTGTCTTTTGAATAACATACGCAATCGCTGCTAGAGCAAAAATCAAAATTAAAGCATATAAGAATATAGAGCCTTAAGAATGGCGACCTTCCCGAAGGCCTACCGCTGCTGCAAGCTCAGAAATAAGTGAAGGATAATGTGATGGGTGACAGTTTAATTGACATACAGAGGATGTACGATAAAGATTAAACAGAGTATTATTCATTTTTGCCGATTTTGGAATATGAAAACTCCGACCGTTGGGTACCAACAAATTCTGACTGTCAGTTAAGCAAAAACATTATATTATGTCAATCTAAAATTTATAGAGACATATCTTGTTAACTGGTGACTAGATTGAACGTGAGTTACTTTAAAGATAGGCGAGAAAGCATACAATGCAAGTACCTTTGTTCACCCTTCAAAACACCCAATGGCTTTTTTTCTGACAGATGATCATATCATATATGCACAGAAGAACCTTCTGGACGGGTTAGACATTGACTTTGGCATATCTGTCCTGAACCATTACTTTAAATAGAATATTTGTTCTGAAATAATTATAAGAACAAGTTATGCAATTTGTCCGTCAAAGAGACCTACGAGACTACAGAATGTATAAATCTTACTTTCCAAGATGACATTTGAAAGAAGACGTGTTTAAAATGTTTATTATTCAAATCTTACAATTAGCCATGGGTTTCGAAAATAAATATCTTTATCTAGCCAAATTACATGATTATCAAGTATTATAGATAAAAACCATAAAAGTTTAAATCTTTGAAAATTATATTTCAAAAGAACAAAATTAAAAGAAATCAATCAGTATAGTTAGTTTGTATGTGTCACATTATAACTTTAACAGCCTGCTTTTATGGTGCAAGTTTGCAAGCATATGAAGTAAATCATTTGAAATTTCGGATATTTATAAGAATTTTTCTGTTATCAGATTGTGGTTTATTGTCGGTACCAAACGGCAAAGTTAATGCATCTTCTGGTACAACAGTTGGATCTTCAGCTTTTGTGACATGTAACAAAGGTTATAGTTTAGAAGGGCCACCCATTGTTACATGTATGTTGGACGGATGGAATAGTAGCGTCACCTGCCAAAAGCAAGGTATGTCGGGGAATTTCTTTAAAATTACATCATTGTCAAGAAGCAGTTGTGGTTTGAACGCTTATTTTATACTAATGATATTCATGTTACATTTTGTAACACAATTTTTAAATATTCCATAGATTGTGGTGATCCAACACCAGAGAATGGAGAAAGGGTTGACAACGGTGGAACTGACTTTGGCAGCAGTGCAACTATACAATGTAACACAGGGTATGAATTGAAAGGGAACAACATTTTAACATGTGACGACGGTGGTGTATGGGGCGATAATCCGCTGTGTGAAATTAAAGGTAAGCGAGGAAGGATATGTTTTATTTTTACACTCCATTATATGATTTTGCGTTAAAATCTTCTATTACATATACTCAATGGGAAGCAATTATATAACGAAGTAGATTTCAAAATTGTAAACCATAAATTATATACATCGTAAATAGTTGTTGGCTTGTCAATCAACATAGCTTCAGAACAACTGCTTATTTACCTCTATCAGGTTTATATACTTTGTAAATTAACAAACATGAATATTGAAAATATGTTCTTGACAAACTGATTTGTACGCATCACAATATAAAAATAAACGACTGATCTAAAGCAGGGAATAAAGTTCCAGAAACTCGCGAAATCCTTGTAAGGAAACCTTAGCCAATATAGCCAAAATTAAATATTTGCCACAAACATAACAACTGCAATACGGTATTTTGGTTTCAAATACTATGAATTTCTTTCTAAAATGTGGCATTATCTCCAACATAACTAATCAATATATTTTGTATTGAATTTAAGTGCAACTATTGATATATTAAAGATTGTGAACAACCTAAGCATCTACCGGAAAATGGGAAATGGGATGATGCAAAAGGGACAAAGTACGAAGCGACAATTACTTTTCTATGCAATGAAGGATTTCTTCTTGTTGGGAATACATCGATCAGCTGCCAAAACGATGGAGAATGGAGCTCATTACCGCCTTTATGCGTAGAAAAATGTAAGTTGTTTTGATTTTAATATGATGTTATACACGTGTCGAATATTTAGTTTAGTATTGTTGTGAGGCACTCCGTAAATAAAATAATACAGAACTGATAAGTAATGTCTAAGTTTTAGGAAAAATTAAACTCGTCATTTCTATATATGTTTATAATAAATTTAGTTTCAATTAGTAAAAGCATTTTCTATTAGATGAATATTCTTTTGTTTTGATAAACCCATTTACATGATGTATGATGATATTAATTAGGCAATCAGTGACACACTTTAATAAAAAACTCATTAAACGATTAGTATTTCAAATGATTGTTCTGTTATATAGCAAATATAGGCGGTGCCTGTGTTACACGAGATTATTGTTATACGGAAAAGGCCAAGTGTACCAATCAATTGTGTTCATGTGTGTCTGGAATACATGATAAAAAGGCAAATAAATGCGATACAAGTAAGTTCAATCTGTTTGGTACTTTTTTTCTCTCTTTCAGATTTAATACATTATTTATGAACATTTTCTTTTCTTTAAATGAAATAAACTGCATTTCAAAAACGACGATCGCCAATCTTTTTTTGACTATTTCAATTTTAGAATATAAACATTAAAAGTTAATTTCAATTGTATCCTTCTTTGCAGATGTGATGATCACAATAATACTTACTTATAGCTGTAAATAACATAATAACATACTACTACATTTGCTCAATTCTCGTAAATTTCTTTTTTTTTCTTTCTTTAGTGCCACTGTTACCATATGGACTTAAACATAAAGATAAAGAAGTACCAAAAAGCAGCGTTTGTGGGGAGAAGATTTTATTTTCTCCGGGTATTCCAATGTTTGATAGAATACATAAAGAGTTATATGTAAGTTGTAATCAATCAAAGGTCATATGTTGGTTTAATTAAATTGTATTGTCAACAACGAGTTGTAGCAGATCTATTAGTGAAATTATAACATTTCTTATGATTTTAAGACTTTTAGCCCTGTTGAATTAGTTCTTTCAAATTTTTGATTGCCTGCTATTTTTCTTGGTTTTATGATTAATTATTATTTAAAAAACTGTATGTTCTTCCTAGTATCTAAAATGACAATAATACTGTATTGTAACATTACATTCTACGGAATAATTTGCCTTTATAAACAATTGTTTTTAGTATAACGTTGCGTTTTAGGTATGTTCAAATGGTATTATAAGCTTTGATAGTAAATATACAAATCCAACACCTCCGAGGAACAGAGACGGTGTTTCTGAGTTTGCTAATAGAACACTTATAGCACCATTCCATGCACCAATCAATTCATCATCGGGATCTGTTTTCTTCCGCATCTATGACATTCAAAACAATTACAAAATGATGAAAGAAGATAGGGAGTCTCCGTCTAGTTTGGTTACTTACCTAGAAGACATAGTGACAACATTTTGAGACATCGACAAGTTTGATGCCAGTTTTGTACTGCTAGCAACTTGGGACTCTATGAAGGCATCTAACAATGATTACGATAAAACACAGGTACGTTGTATTACCTTATCGATTAAAATTTAAGATATTGAAGAAAAGATTATATTCGGGCAACCCCCCCCCCCCAGTGTAGATCTACAAGAGAGAGATATTTTTCTTAACGTAACATTTTCCATTGTAACAGTTTAGTAATACCGCAGACAGTATTGATTTCTAACACGCATTATTTGTAAAATAATACCATAATTCCTAAATATATTTTAGTTTTGAAAAAAAAAGAACTGAGATAAAAGTAAAGATTATGAGGTTGTTTGAAAATTGAACAATAATTAAAGAAGTCAATACATAATAACTGAAAGTAACGAACAATAATGAACCAAATTTAGAAGTAATACATTCATGTCGGTATATATCTTCATATTTTTTTCAGGCCGTTACATTTCAAGCAGTACTTATTTCAGACGGTTCTGTAACATTTTCATTCTTCATTTATGGCCATGATGTAATGCAGTGGAGATACAAGGGAGCCCAGAACCCCACAATTTGGGTTGGATATGCGATAAATCAAACTAAACCATATACCCACCCATTTTCATTCTCTGACTCATCATTGGGGCTTGATAAAGTAGAGCAGAGTTTGCCTTCATCGTTTGACGGTACTGTCATTATCATTTATGTCTAATGTTGAACTAAAATGATTTACAACAAACCTAGACATTTATGCATTATAAATCGAAAATATATAGTTATTGGCATTAAAACATTAAAAGACTTATTACGAATGAATATTTAAAAATGAGGTGATAGAGGCACATAAACGATAAGAGATAATGATAAAATTCTAAGAGGGTCACTTATATTTTAATGTATTTTGTGTTTTAGGAGTAGCTGGTTTGGTATTTAAACCATTGTCAAGTATGACTGATTCCAAACCAAACTATGATGTTGAATGTATCACGTGGTACAACACAAATCTAGAAGAGAAACAGAAAAATGACATTATAGCAAGTGGACTTCCTGATTGTCCTTGTGACATAAGGTTATCAAGGACTGATCCATGGTTTTGGAATATTAGACGGTGGTCGCAGACACCTTACACGTGCGTCGATATGTTTCCTGGACAAATATATCAACCGTATGGAAAGGTCAGTATTGTTCAATCCGCATATTTATCAGTTAATTCACGTCAGAAGAAGGGGTGATCTAAAATGTTGAATAGCACAGTCTTTTTGTAGCTTTATATTAAATGTTGAAAATATATTCTATATAAAATCAAGATTATGTATTTGACCATGTATTTGAATATTCATCAATCGCATTATATTTCAGTCATGTTTTATTTCAGTCATGCTGTTACGATCTTTCAACACAGCTTTGGACGGACAGAAGACCTGTAGCAGGCGGCTTTTACCGATACCATCCAGACCATAAAGTGGATCATTATATAAATGACGTTCATCCAAGAAAAGTATGCTGTGAGATTTCGAACTACTGCAATCTTTTCTACGATTTACGTCCAACTGGTGCATGTTACGGGAAATCACCATATAATTTTGGTACGTAAAATATTATTTTAGCACAGGCATAGAAAAAAAATGTTTTTCATGTTTTTGGGATGTTTTGTGGTTGTTATATTTTTAGTTGTTGTTTTTTATGGGTTTTTTTTGTGATGATTTTGGTTGTTTTTTTGGATTTTTATATGTTTTTGTGTTTTTTTTTTATTATATTCTTTGTTTGTTTTTGTTTTGTTTGTGTTTGTATTTTTAGTTTTAGTTTCTGGTAACAGAAACAAATCAGAATATTAATAAATTAGTAAATCATTCAGGAAAAGATTGGTATATGTTTATCTTATTTTTTTTCATATTCACCACAAACGTATCCGCTACTATCAAGTTTTTATTTTGTATATTATTTATTATGCTCTCATTATTTTTAAAGGAACATTTTGGGGCGATCCTCATTTCCAAACATTGGATGGTCTTAACTTTACATTTAATGGCCTTGGAGAATACACTCTTCTTAAAGTTCAAACAGAAAATATTTCCTTTGATCTCCAAGCAAGAACAGAGCGGGCAAGGAAACAAGATGGGTCGCTGTCTGACGCAACACTTTTTAGTGCGTTTGCTGCAAAAGATTCATCCAATGCTTCATTCTATGTGGAACTGAACAAGGCCAAGAATGGTAACTTCCATAAAAATCTTGTATGCAAAAAATGACTACAAAAATTAAACATTGGTTTGAAAATGTGCTGACCTTGATTATGTAAGGATATGTAATAGAAAGAGCATCGAAACACGATGCCAGCTGGTTTGTAGCCCCCAAGTATTAATCAGATTGCAGAATGTTTTGATGTTCTCTGTCTTTTGTATCATAGTCAGACATAAAATCACGTTCCATGCTGTACAAAATGAAACCCCAGAAAAATAGAACCAATGAAAGAGCATATAAATATGATATTTCTCTGTCGTCACTGTCAGTAAACCCCAGCTAAAATGAGCCAATCAATGGGCATGCTCTAGAGTGCGGGTAACTAATACCTGAACTCTAGTTAACGCACAGTACATGTATATGTGTATACGATTTAACTCAGACACATTTTTAACAGAAAAGTCCTCAAACTATGATACAAATAATAGAAACATTCTGCAATTTCCTTTTTAATGATATACTATGCTCACATTTGATTTTTGAAAATATTGATAATTGCTACACAGTCTCTTTGTTTGTATAAAATAAACATGTTTCGACTTCATTTAAAGTAGATATGTTATGTTTTGAACTTTACACACTATTGGTGGTCTCAATATGAATATATAGTGTCGTTAAAAAAACTGGCAGTTTTTTCTAAGAAGAGACCAACTTTACTTGACCCTTAATAAAGAATGCAGCTTCCCATTCATAGTTTATTCATTCTTTATTCAAATTAAACATATTCAATAATAATTCATGGATTTCAATGCATTTCTAAAATAAAAAATATTTCACCCAAAGATAAGCATAGTATATCTTTAAGTATATAGAGTAGTTTTTGGTGATTTATGGGTATTCGTGTCATAGAAATTTAAAATATTCCTATTGTTTTTTTATCGATAATGGCATAATGTTTAAAGTTAACGTACATTGCCTCTTTAAGATTATCATAAAATGATATTAAGAAATCATAATTAGAGCTAGTTAAACTTGATTCATCAGATACTAACTATAGTTATTTATTTCAGGTCTTAATCTTTACGGAAACAAAATAGATTTGACTGATCAGTACATTTCCCATGATGATAACGAAACACCTTTTTCATATACAACCGAAGAGAAAAACATTATCATATCTAAAAGAGACGATACGCTAAGTGCACTGTTTACATTGAGTGGTAACTTGGTTCAGATATTCTTATCATTAACTTGATTCATAAAAACTCCTTTTTAATTATAATTTGTTATGTATACTTTACATACCAATTATCGGTTCTTTATTCAAAAATATTTTGTTTTGATATTGTTAGTGTCTTATTCCAAAATCTAGAATTGTCATGTAATAATGAAAGATGCTAATGTCCATATTTTTTCATTCCGCCTAGGCATTTATAAAAATTAAAACAAACTTGGCGAATTGTTTTTATATTATTATACTAAGATATGGTCAATACGAAAATTCGTTTATTAGTTTATCGAAATGATTGCTTTCTCTATTAAAGTGAAAACGAATGGCACATGTTAAAGTCTGTAACAAAAAACTTAAATGCTCACAATTTGTTGTTTCTATTGTGTTGTAGGCATAGAGTTGAACATATCTTATAGTGCAGGAATGTTATCACTGAACACAATAGTTCCTAAGACGTTAATTAATGCAACAACTGGTCTACTTGGTAATTATGATGGAATATCCAGTAACGACTTCATGATGCCAAACGGGACTGTTCTGTCTTCAAACGTATCAGAAAGGGAAGTGTTTGCTTACGGAAAAACATGTATGTTTTTTAATTCTATACGAGATATCCATTATAAACTTTCTTAATGATTTAAATGAGGATTCATGTTTTAAAGGTATACTCAGGCAAATTAATGACAAAATAATAAATGATCTTATGTACTCCAATCACGCTTAAATGACGTTTTTTTAAAGTCCCAGTATGAATTTCTGTATATATTCTATATATTTTTGGTTTGAAGCGTAAATATATCAACATATGTTGATAAACATTTAGCTGCCGACAGAATCATCGAGTTGTTTTAAAACAAGCATGTGACTTAAAGAAACCATGGAAGCTATAATAACATATATTGTGGATATTTTATGATTGAAACCAGATTAAGCCATTCATTTGACATGTTCTTTAATAAATTAACGTTTCCAGAGTTCACTGTGACAACAATTGTGACATCTTAACGTTCTAACCTGATCCACGCGGGTCAAGTTAGGAAACCACCATTATATTTTTTTAAGGAGAAAAATTTTGTTCCTGTGACTGCCTAGTGTATTCATTTTGAGGACATTTACAGAATAATGAATGAAAAATTCAAAAAGAAAAAATGAAAATTTTGCCTGTGTCTCCCTTTAAGTTTTAGGCCACATATAAATTTGATCTTGCTGTACTAATATAATACAAAAAAACGAACAACGTGCTCATTATTATTTCTTTTATTCGATCTTTGAAACAAGATCTCAATTGGAAAAGGAATAGCAGTTTAAGCATTTATCCATTTTATCGTTTTTAGAAATGTGAGTTAATTTATTTTAACACAATGTAAACTACTAATTTTCTTTTTTCAGGGGCAATTATCATGAATGATTCTGCATTTGTATATGAAGACGGAACCACCCATTTTGATTATCATAATGACAGTTATGTTCCAAGATTCTTAGATGAAGTTGACGAAGAAACAAGGAAAAATGCAGAGAAAGTTTGCAATGGATCACAAAACATTGAGTGTATATTTGACTTTGTTTTCACCGAGAAGACAGAAATAGCCGAGGAAGCTAATCGTATCAAGGGACAGGCTGATTCAACTCGTGTTGAACTAGGTAACACCATTTTACAGTTTGGGGTACACTGCATGCTGAAAATGTACTGTCTCATATATTTTATTCACTCTTGTTGAATTTATGAAAAGTATTTAAAAATTATATACATAGTGTGAGAATTGTTCATTTTATATAGTAAGTGAGATAATTGATACATTTTTATTTTCATAATACCTAATACCTTGTATATGTTCTCTTTATCTTTTAGACGAAACAGTGCCTTATTTGGTTGGATGTGATACACTTAATATAACAAAAGGAGATGACGTAAATTGCCAAGTGACTTTTGATGACGAAACAGAACTTCTCTTTATTGAAAACAACGTCGATGCTCAGATTGATTCTGAAACTTCTACTGTATCTTTCAAACAATTTGATGAAAACCCATCAGTAGTGCGGTATATCATATCTCACATTTCATTTAAATTTTAAAATTGTAAAATAAGTTACAAGGAGAAACATGTACACATATATATTTTCTTTTTATATCAAGCATCCTCACATAATCGGAAATGTTTTATAATGTATAGCTTGTGAAGCTGACAGAGATGTTGCACTTTTACATTATCTGTCATGAACAGGCTTATTTAAACAAAGTCTGTATTTTTTAATATAGAATTGTTGCTCTTTCAACTTCTTCCAACATATAACCTTTGCTTACTTTACAGGCTCAAAACGCTTAGTACACACAAATCTACATAGTAACTGTTTTCAAAACAAAAACTATAATTAAATAGAGCCAGCCAGATTGACAAAGACTAGCTAGAACAATTGTGATGAAAATATTTTTAACTTTTCAAATCATAGTTTTATGCAATTTAGGAAGTCAAAAAAATTTAATTTGAAAATACAGGTATGCTTAATGGAAATGTAGATTAATGCTATTGCAAACGTTAGGAAGGTATTTGACATTTGATTAAAATATTAACATATCGTTGCAGGTTTTATGCCAAGAATGCAAAAGATAGATCTTCGCCTTCATTTATTGTAAGTATCATATTATGCACCGGTTGTCATGGAAACGGGTACTGCACGGACGAAATACGTGAGGACACTCGAGAGACAGAATACTTCAAATATGCAACTTGTGTCTGCAATACAGGATATGAAGGTTAGATTATTTGTATCTCACATATGTATGACCATTTTTTATTGAATATAGATACAAGGTCGTAGAAGATCTTCCTTGTCATTTCATATTGATTATTATGATATAGAGGATATTTGTTTGTTTGTGTGTAAGATGAAATTTTATTTCATCGAGTGGGCTTTAAAAACAGTATTCTCACGAGTTTTTAAAGTTCACGAGATGAAATAAAATTACATCTTACACAACAAACAGACAAATTTTCTTTTTATTTTATGCTTAAAAACAAGTTAAAACGAAATTTCCATAATTTTAACGTTAATATTAAAACTGTTTCCCCCATTGAGAGCCCCATTTATTCGGAAATTCTCATTAAAAAAAAGAAGTCTTGAGCTGAAAAATAAGTCCGCCAATCAACATTAAATGACGGTGATATTTATTAATTTTATTAAAAAAATATGAATGATCGCTTGTTTTGATAATAAAAACAAACAATTCTTGTAGGAGAAAAAGTCCAACCATCCATCCATATTTCTGTTACTTAGTGCGAATTTATATTAGACCTGGCTTTGTAAATTGTAAGCGGCAGCCATTTTTTAAAGTTGTGTATTTCATGGGAGGAAAATAATTGTGTAAGATTCAGAGGATATAATTTGGATTTGTTAGTCATACACATTTTTAAAAGAAAGAAAACTTATTTGAGGATTGTAACAGACAAAAAATAAGTGTTGACAGATGTGAAAACATTCAGAAAAGGAGCTAGGAAAATGGAAAACTTGGAAAACTGCTCAAGAACGCTGGGTTGATTTAACTTATTCTTCGAGTTATGGCTGTCAATGCTTTCAATTTTTCATAAAGCATACGGCAGTTATTGCTCGTAGGATACTTTAATATGCCCAAATGTCATCAAGAGCAGTTTTTGCATGGGGAAGGAATGTATTTTTGAGACTGTCAAAATGAAACAAAAAAACGAAATTTGGTGATTGGAATTTCATGAATTTGAATGAGTAGAAGTAAGTTTTCTTCTTTTTATTACTTTTGACATTTAAGTTATTAATCAATTTCAGTTTTGCTTTTTCTTTAAACAGCCTGACATTGTCAGAATTGTCAACAAAAATAAAATTGAGGTACCACATGGGGAAAGTCTTAAAAAAGTAGTTTCGTCATTGAAAAGAGTGAAATTATATTTTGATAATTTTCACTGTGAAATTACCAAATATAATTTTCACGGATAAATCAGTAATCCACTGAAAAGCATAAAATAAATAGATATATATTTGGGTGCAATTGTCATTTTCAATTTAAATAAAAAGAAAATATTGCATTTTTAAAAACCATTGCAAAAAAATGCTTATGCAATTGGTTCTAAAAATGTCATCATACGATACATTTTGAAGAATGTTTTAATATTTGAAATATGATGAAATTTTAATAAAACTCTTTATATGTCATTCTTTAGGATCGGATTGTGAGAAAGAATTTGATGCTTGTTCAGAAAATCCATGTTCATTAGGAAGAAATTGTACAAGAATTCCAGTTTCAAGCCCGTTAAACAATGGTAAAGGTTATACGTGCGGTAAATGTCCACGTGGATATCATTCTCTCGATGACGACAATGAAGAGTGTTTAGGTATGAAAACCATGGCACTTGTCCTTACTTTTATAAATGTCTATGCACGTGTAAATATATTAATTACATGCTTTTCGGTGGTTTATAAAAATATATCAGTAATATAAAACTGATAATTTCACTGTTTTAAACAGTGAAATTATCAATTTCACTGTTTTGAATTTAAGCCCCTTACGTTGTTTCAGTGAAATACCAGCGTGCACAGTACTGGGAACCAACTTAATGACAAGACGTCGTAAATGTCGTCACGTGGTGTTATTATTTGGCGCGCTTTTATGCATGTGTATATATATGTATGTATACGTGTTACAAGATGACACTTATGTTGCATTTTTTTATCCTTTTTCTTAGGCAAATACGGAAAAACATCTTCAAAAATATCTATCTTTGGGTATAATATACATAATGGACTAAGAAAAAACGTTCAAAACCGTCGGTTTTACAAGAGTAATTACGCTTGGATTTAAAACAACTAACTGAGTATTTAATCTTACATCACTGTTTAAAAGTTTAAATGGTTTGTTGACAGGGCTATCACACTGTGAGTTTTTAACAGGATCAAGTACAGAGACACTTAAAGTATCTTTCCTGTTTATTTGTTTATAGATATCGATGAATGTAACCATAATGTGTGTGACCATAATTGCATAAATACTGACGGAAGTTACATATGCAGTTGTAAAGCAGGATTTAGAGTAGATTATAAAAACATCAGCATATGCCGAGGTGAGCGACTCTTTTACAACACGTATATTAGACACAGGTTTTAAGAAAATTCAGATGATGATTTTGGAGTTTTGCTTCGATATAAAATGCTAAGTCTTCTGATTTTATTTTTATTTAAGCTCAGATGGTACGTTAAAATCTGTTTTGTTGCTATATTGTGTAATTTTGAAACGCTCATTACAAATTATTTTTGCCTAAACTTTTATCTGATTTAAGTTACGTTCATTTGAAATGTATGTAATTCTGCCAAAGCACCATTTCAACAAGATCTTAACATCAGGTAGTTCTTCATTGTATATATTTAGCCAATCGCATTACCTTAAAACTGCCAAAGACGTTAGTATGTATTAAATTATTCCTTTTATATTTCAATCACACGAGTGACACATACTTAAATTAAGCACAACGTCATTTTTATCGACGACGTCAAGTGACGTTCGAGAGTGTTTCGTGCAACCAACCATGAATGTGCAATCAAAAGCATTGTAAATTCGTTTATATGTTTTTATAGTTCAAATGTTTAAAGCATTTAATAGTAAACAATATTTATAATTTTCTTATCGTACATTTTCCTATCATACATTTTTATTTTATTTCGTGCTTTCGCGTCAGTTCAAAATATTTTCAATAGCTCCTACTACAAAATATTTGAGTAAATGTTGATAAAAAATGTAATTCTATTTAGTTTAGCGACTAATACGAATTCAAATCAAGTGGCTGGTTTACGCATCATTATATAATATATTTCGTGGTTCAAAAGTTTGATTGAAGCTAAATTAACTATAGAAGTAATACGACTAGCATCACTGCCCTTATTGCTTTGATTTCACTACCTGAAGTCTTGTGTTAATAACTTTCAGTGTTTTATAAATATTTCAGACATCAATGAGTGTAACGAGGCCAGACACAACTGCTCACACATTTGTAACAACACAAATGGAGGATTTACCTGTCAATGCTTTCCTGGTTATATTTTCAACACGTCTTCGTGGAGATGTTATGCTAGTCCCGGTATTGTTTTATTGTTTGCGTAGAAATTGCCATTTCATCTACTTCTCTGACTATATGAATTGTCAGAATCACAATATGAGTTTAGATCTCAACCATATTGCACATTGTTCTGCTTAACAATTTATAGAAATCTTTTTAATATAATTTTACATTTTGACAGCGTCTATGTCAGTCATGTTTCATATTATTATATAAGGAGAATTATTTATTAAGAAACAAACTTTTGTGCGCTTTTTCACAACGAATTCAACAAAAAATATAGTTTTATCTGATTTTACATACTCTTAAAATGGTAGATGTTTGCACTAATCTAGTAACATCACTTATAATGTTATATAAATAATCGGAAACAAAATGATCCCTCGGAAGCATTAATCACAACAAAATTACATAAGAATAACAGACTCAGTTTGATTGAGTCTGTACATGAGGGATACTGAATAAGTGCAACATTCCTTACGCTCCCTGGCACCGGCTTGAGCTGTGCTCAATTCTCAACACTTAAAAGTGCTAGCATCAATGATCCTGAAGGACCAGAAAAATATAACATCACTGAAGTGAAAAAAAAAACCGATAAAGTGTTGGTTTTTTTCTAAGGTTCACCTTTACCATTTTGTTGCTATTTTTGATAACCTTACGAAAATAACCCTGCATTAAGTTTTATTCTGTCTTTTTGGGAGACGACGTTTAATGCTTTCTGTTTAAAAATTTTATGGTATAACATGTACAGTGTTGTTTGTCCCGCATCCATTACCAGTACTTTCAATAACAGAGTGCATATTTCTGCTCCTTGAGGGTCGTTGAGCACCAAATTCCTGTTGCAATGTAGTATATTTGGCTATTTCAATTACAATTTTTATTGCTTAATTGTTCCATTAATCCTGCATGAATAATGTTCAGTCACACGTATGTCCGCATTTTCAATTTGTTTTTTAAACACTTAAACACTATGACAGTTAAAGTTTAGTGTGTTTTGGTTGAGGGCGCATTAATAAATAACGTTTGGAGCAAATACCGCTTTTAATGATTCTAATCATTGGCATCTGTAGATGTATCTGAATACCATTTCTTTTATAATTATTTAGTTCTATGATTCTATCGGAGTTAAAGGAAATTTATGGTAGCAGGTTTTTACAAGTGTCGTTCAGGAACATACTGCAATAAAGCATTTTCATTATCACCGTTTTATGCGACTTCTCAGATTTATATTTTGTCTATTATTCTTATGCATGTTGAAATTGTATCACGACGTCAAATTCACATTGTCGGTGTTTTTTCTCTAACTCTGTAAATAAAAAAGGTATCCTATGGGAAGAAAGTTTGACCTGATTAATGATTATATCGAATGTAATATTCTTTAATTGTCAGATTAAAATCCTTAAACATAGGTTTACTCCTTTCTATTTTGACAGATGAAAAAAAGTCATGTAGTAAAAATGAAATTGCCACTTGTTATCAAACTGCCGGATGTGTTAAAGACAACAAAGGCAACTTCAGTTGTTTCTGTGAATCTGGTTTTGAGCTAGATGATACGGGCAAGCTATGTAAAGGTAAAATAGTATAATATCTATGAACTTATAATAAATGAAATGTTTTCAAGTTTCTTGAAGCCGTATTGTTGAATATTTCTTGCCAAGGACATTCATAAATAACAGAAAAAAAACTTACGTAGTGTTTTAACATAAAGACACTGGTATACTACAGAATTGTGAACTGTTTATACTTTAAAAGGAAGAAGAAATATTTAACAGGAATACAAAAAGTCAAGTCCGACAACGCTATTTGCAAAATACGTTTTGTAAACCGTTTTGAAAGCTCACAAATGTAAACATAATAGACCAGCTGAACTTGACTAACGTCACTTAGTATTAATTTCGATTATTTCTACTTATACATCAGAAAAGAATACATTATTTCTTCATTAGTAATTGAAAACATACATTTCATTAAGTTTTAATAATTATTTTTAATAATGTTTGATGCTTATCACCTGAATAATCATTGCTTGTGAAATGTTTTGGCAAAAAAGTATGTATAGAAAACAGTTTTGTCACTTTGAAAAAGAATCTCAAAAATGATTTATCAATTCTCAAATAATTTTTAGAAACATCTAATACATTGTTACGATCAAGCTCTATTTTATATTTTGATCTAATTACTTTTTCTTAGATATTGATGAATGTGAAAGAAGTGTCTGTCCACAAGATTGTTTGAATACAAATGGAAGTTTTAAATGCCAATGTTTTATTGGATACCAGTTACAAGAGAAAACAACATGTAAAAGTAAGTATATAGTTGATCAGATATAATTCATATATAAACTTCAATCTTTAATATAATATGCAACTTAAAGAAGCATGAAGTTGTTGTATCAACTGTTTATCAACTTCTTACTTTTAATTGATTTGTATTTGATGTATGGTGTTAATGAGTAATTATCAGATATTATTACGCAAACTACATGTACTACAACTTGTTATTCTCAAAATTTATTCAATATAAAAGGTGATATAATCATTACCGTATCAATACTGTGCTTAAATCTACAGTGTTTTTAAATCTATTGTTGTTGTTGTTTTTTGTTGTGTGTGTGTGTTTTGTTGGTTTTTTAATTCTTGTTGTTTCTTCTTCTTTGTTCTTTTTTGCTGTCGTTTGCTTTTTTATTGTTTTGTTTGTTGTTGTTTTAATATTTTTTTATTTGTTTTATTCCTTTTTCTTAATTCAATTTAACGAGATTTGCATTATTATTTAAGATCATATCATGATATGGCATATAACAGCATGTAAACACATAGGCTTTAAGCTATATTGGAAGCTATATTGTGACTGCCATAAGATAACATTTGTCTTTTATTATAAACGCCCTTATCGTAGCAAGTTCATTTTTCAGTTGTGAATTTTGTTTAAGAAAATCCACTGAGGCTTTTGTTCTTATCAGCTGATAATTCGAAATGCATCTCATATGGTAAATGTTGCGTTAAAAGATATAAATGATAATTATTATAAAACGTTAAATAGAATGCGATATCCCAAATTGGGGAGAAAACTGTTCCAAGAAATGTGAGTGTACTGGTCAAGGTGCCGATCGATGTGACCCTGTTAAAGGTTGTATATGTTTACCTGGGTGGACTGGTAAAAAGTGTAACATTGATGTTGATGAATGTAGAGACATTGTTGGTGATATCTGCAAAGACTCCCGAAAAGAATGTGTGAACAATCAAGGATCATACAGCTGTAGATGTATAAAGGGATTTATTGAATCATTCGACGGAACTTGTACAGGTATTGTCTGTTTGTGAATATGACTTGATTTAAAGCCTATTAAAGTATTTTAAACAGCTTATCTTTTTAATGTTTGCATTTGGTTTAAAAAGAAAACGTAGGTCGATATAAAACATTTTTTTCTTCAAAAGTCATCTTTTCATTTCGTCATTTTATAACCATGAAATTAAAAATCATAAAAAACCTATAAAAGTCATCTTTTCATTTCGTCATTTTATAACCATGAAATTAAAAATCATAAAAAACCTATAAAAAAATGCATTCCTTAAATGCATAAACTTCTTTTTCCAACAACAGATTTTGATGAATGCTTAAACCCTGTTACAAATGATTGCACGCAATCGTGTTCAAATACCATCGGTGGATATACGTGTGGGTGCCGTAAAGGATTTTCAAAAATTAACAAAACACACTGTGAAGGTAATTAGTTTTCAAGTATAACTAGGCTTTGAGCTATATCGGAAGCTATATTGTGACTGCCATAAGATAACATTTGTATTTTATTATAAACGCCCTAATCGTAACAAGTTCATTTTTCAGTTGTGAAGTTTGTTAAAGAAAATCCACTTAGGCTTTTGACATGTCGGGACTAGACTTTTTTTCAAATTAATGCGCCATTTGGTGTTGATCTTGACAAATAACTTGTAAAGAAATTTCAGATTATTCGCCCAATACTTTTTTCAGAGTGATTTCTTAAACTGGGAACTTAAATCGGGATAAGCATATCACAAAACACAATTTATTTCTGAGAATATAACTTTATCATATATTGTATATGTTTTTGTGTTGATATATATTAGTACTTGTAAATATATATTTTTAGGTTTTTCCATGTATTAGTCTTTTTAAAGGCTTGAATGTTCACGAGGAGAAGGATTTTATAAGACTTAGTCTTTCGTTCTCATCCTTTTCTTTGAATATATTATATATTTGTATTCTGATTGTATTGTATTATGTATATCATGTAAATATTCGGGAAATAAATATGTTTAAACTAATGTTCACGAGAAATTAAAACTTGTTAAACAGAGAAATGATAAAGTTTTTATCAGGCTTATTATTTACTCTGTTGAATGATTGAATTATTTTAAAATTGCATTGCGGATCATTTTTCTAAAACTTGTTATTTTATATTGTTTCAGATATCGACGAATGCACACTTGGAACAGCAGGATGTGAACAATTTTGTGAAAATAGTCCCGGTCACTACAGCTGTTACTGCTATTATGGTTACACACTTAATGATGATAGAAAAACATGCTTAAAACGTAAATTTACTGTTTAAACATGCTTTGATTAATAACATTATTTAGTTCACAATGAACAAGTACTATTTCAATTATAATTATCTTTCTGTAAATGAATTAACATTTTTTGGTACGGCAGTTACTTTACTATTTAAAATACTTTATTATATAAAAAAGTTTAATTTTAAACAAGAAACAACAAACAATAAAAAAATTCTTACACTTCATATGCATACATGTATTTACCTTTTCAATTAGTTGATACAATCCATTACTGAATTGCTAGGCTATAATAAATGTTGTTATCGTTTATCTATAGTATTATTTTATGTTATTAATCAATTGTTGTTTTTTTTTTGCTATTTTTCGGGGGTTTATTTTTGCAGTAAAAGATCCATGTAAGGATTTAAACGACCTTGACTGTTCTCATTATTGCTATGTGAAGGATGGTACATTTTCCTGCAAGTGCCGTCAAGGCTACAAACTACTCCGAGACAACAAGACATGTATAGGTAGTAATTGTTCCTTGACCAAACAATTTATATGCTTTTCTTTTATATGATTTATTTCTATATAGCTGTGTCTTATGTATCTCTTACATGTGATGTACAAGCTTGATTAAATAGGGAGGAATAAATAAAAAACAATCCCTGAAGTTATTTGTTTAGGGAGAATATTTTTCATTATGACGAAAATCATACATTATGGATAAATTACAATAACATTTTTGACAATTACGTTTGTCAATTACCGAATGAAGAAGAAACAAATCTGCTTAATCATAATGAGATAATATTTTCAGTTATAACTGTTAAATGAAGATTTATTTCGTTTGTTTTGATTTGTGGTTTAGTTCGTTAAATAGCTCATGAATAAATTTTATAAATTTATAGATATAGACAATTAAGTATGTAAATATGTAAACAATGAAAAAGTGTTTCAATTTCTGTATTCTGCTGGAAAAATTTGCCCCCAGTCAGAGTTGTATGTTTTGTCTTCATCATTTAGATATAAACGAATGTAGTGTTAATACCTTAAACGGATGTTCAGGCGGCTCCACATGCAACAATACCAATGGTTCATACGTTTGTCAATGTCCTATCGGAACAAAACTTGAAAATGACGAACGTACTTGTTCAGGTGAGTTTAAAGTACTGTACTTTTAAGAAAAGTACAACAGATATATCAAAAAGAATTAAAATATTTTTATTGATGGCAACCCAAACAGAGTTTTGAACAATTCAAGCTATTTTGAATTCAAAATAAAGCTAACTATTGTGTTTTAAACAAACTGTAACCATTTGTATTTTATAGTCTATATTAAAATCTGATTAGTTTTTCATTTTAGTATATAATTATGATTTAAAAAAAAAGAAATAATTATAATGTTTGGATTAGTGCTTCTTTATTATTGTTTAGTATTTATGTGAGACAATGTTTAAGAACTGAGCGATAATTTAGTTACAAAATAATCATATTCATGCCAATGTTACGTTCTGTTTGACTATCAATTGCCATTTTTGTCATTATATTTTGAAGTATGTGATGAATTTCATTTTGGAGCTGGATGTTCAAAGAGTTGTAGTTGTCTACATGGTCATTGCGACAAGATAGAAGGTATGTTAGCAGCAGGGTCCTTTATTTCAACCGTTTAATCTTATTTCATACTTCTACTTTACTTGTGCAACAATTTTATTGATTCTATTGCACAATCAAACTAAAATAAAACCAAAATGTTTGGATGTATTTTAAAATAAACATGTTTTCTTTCTGTGATGACAAAATATTATTTTATATTCAAAAGGAGACTGTGTAGCAAGTATAAATAATTAAGAAAATTTGAGCATAGTATATCTTTTGCCGTAAATTTATCGCCAATTTGGAATTGTTTGTACCGTTATATTATGTCTCAGTACTTTATCAGAAAGACACGAAGTGTTAAGAACTTTTTTGAAGTTATGGAAAATCACTAGCTACTTCTTATTGATATTTTTCTGTTTCTTCGGAATCATCGAGGCCACAACATAAGTGTTGAAGCCTTAGAGGGTCTACGGATTTAAGGGATAAAGCATCTTTCTAGACTTTTAACAAACATTATTAAAGTCGATTATTGGGTATATTTGCAATGGTCATCTATTGTAGAATCTGTTAAAATTGGTATATGGTTTGTTTGTTGAATTTCTATTCAACACTATTATAATTCTACTTTTTAATCAAATTGTTACTTTCAGGCCCTTTGCATATTAATAACCTTATAGTTGATTTATTCATATTCCAGGATGTATTTGTTCTCCTGGTTGGGAAGGCGCTAACTGCGACATTGATTTAAATGAGTGTACAAGGAAGGCCAATGTGTGTAAGGGTGATCACATTGAGTGCGTTAACCTACCCGGAAGTTCTGTTTGTAGATGTAAGACAGGATTTCAAAACGTCTCTGGTCATTGCCAAGGTAAATCTTGATGTTTCAAATGAAGGTTTCGTATCATGTTAATTCTAATTGTCCACTTTTTCTCATAATTATAATTCATGAAGAATTTCCTATATGTATTTTAGAAGTAAAAAGCTTTTAAACGTATGGGCGTTACCAATATTATCGCGATGAACTAGTTATTTAATGATTGTTTCTTCAAACGCTGTTAGGGCAATCCGTTGTATCCTACAGAAACACATTACACTTATTTTTAATTACTTGGTGCCAAAAAAAAAACGAAAAAAAAAACAAACAAGAATGTGTTTACAATCATTAATCACATGCACAATCGATTTTAATCAATTTTAAATATATTTTGTATAGACAAACGATAACGATTCCTATCAGTAAACCTCTTTTGGTAAGGAAGCTATCCAGCTAGCTTACGGAACGTCGGTGGTTCTTCTCAGGTGCCCGTTCGGAAGGGCACTGAGTTCTTCCTCCACCAGTAAAGCTGGAACGTCGCGATATGACCTATACTGTGTCGATGTGACGTAAAACCCCCCCAAAAAAAACAAACAAACAAAACTCTTTTGTTAAACCGATTTTATTAAGCAAGGTTTAAAAGATGTTTTGCAACCACGGTTCACCAAGACAAATCCAAGCTAGTATTTTAAACGTATGTTTTGTTGTTTTTTTTTTTGTTGTTTTTGTTTAATTCCGTGTCTTTTCATTAAATATACATTTTGTATACCATGTTATGAAATCACATCTATCAATCAAGCACAAGTCAAGAGTTTTCAATTTTCATCTTATAACATTTGGTGCAGACATTGCGAAAGGTTTTTAAAGTGCATCTATTTTACAATGTACATACCATGCTTGCTTTGAAACGTTATTAACGGACGTTGATAAGTTACCTTGTTATGATCCACAGCATTCATATGAACAATCTTATAGTATTAGTTCTCCGATGGTGATTTTTTGTACACATTCATGCATTGGAAGTTAACCTTTTACATGTTTTACTTGATGGATGTTCCATGATATAATTGTAATATCGGTAAATTGTAACTATAATTCAATACCTGCTATTGTAAAAAGTCAGGTTATTGCAAAATATGATCTAATTAATAAAAGGTATACAACATATGTGATTGACGAATGGCATGTTCATAAGAAATGTACTATTAGGAATCATGTTAAAAAAATATTGAAAAGGAAATATAAAGAAATGTCATTGATTTGTCAGTTGTTAACTACACTTATATAACCAGATGTGTAATTGATCAAGTTCCTTTCTAGACATAGATGAATGTCAGAATAGCACCTTAAATACTTGCGATCAGAAGTGCATCAACAAAAATGGCAGCTACGCATGTGCCTGCGAGACTGGCTTTGTATACCGTGATGAACAATGTGAAGGTAAAACACGTACAATACAAATCTGATTTTGTTTCATTGTTCACTCTCATTCAATTACTATTATCATTTGTCATCGTGACATCTTCTTATCCTTTACAATGTACCTGATAAAACTAGGCAGACAAGTCACTGCACGTTATTTTTCCATTTAATGTTCATTCGAAACAGAGGTCAGTGACACAAAAAATATGTATAATATTTCTGTAAACGTGTTGTAAAACTATGTAAAGTTTAAATATATTCTATAATACATGTTTCTTTTTGCTTTATAGATATATACAAAAAATATGCCTTTACGTTATAGGATACAAATAACATTCATAAATTGTCATAGAACAAATCACTTTGTTATATATAAACTTGGCCCCTATTCGGTATTGTGTCCTGTTGGGTTCATTGCCGTTGGTCCTGTGTTGGGGCATGCGTTTATAAAATTCCACCCTTCCTTGTTGAGCTTGTTGTTTTAATTTTAATTATAAACAACTTTATCTTTACAATGGTATTGACAAGTTGATAAATTCGGGAAAGGGTTAGTGACTTCTTATACGTGAGATAAAAGGTATTATAGTAATTAAACAAAATATTCGTTTTCAAACCTGTTTGTATTTATATTCTATATTTTTTAACATTATTCTATCTAAAAACTTAATAGAATGGTGTAACTATAAATAATAATAATGCTTTAATGAAATATTTTAAAATGAACAGATTACACGATGTTTGTTATATTCATTGTTAACTGTAATTTTAATTATATGTACTTTTTCAATCTTTAACTACCTGTCATATGTCCATCGAATTAAAGCTTGAATACAATATATTGTGTAACTGTAAATGTTATGTAAAATTTAGAACAAATGTTTATATTTAATAGATATCAACGAATGTCTACAGGGTGATAGATGTGACCAGGTATGTGAAAATACAGTTGGAAGCTACAGGTGTATATGTGAAGAGGGATTCGGCCTGGATCTGACGGATAGAAAGTCATGTAAAGGTAATGGTTCAGTTGTAATTTATTTTATGCATGAACATCATTATCTTTTGTAACCTCATATTATTAAAACCTTGTGTTTCAAAACACCTATACAAATAAACAGAGAAAAAATAAAACATAACTTGTAGTTTTGAAGAATCTTAAAATAGATAAACTCATCAGAGGAGAGTGGAAATCCCAAGACAAAATTAATGTCAAAATTTTAAGAAAGACGTTATGCATTTGAAAATGTCAACATTTACTGAAGTAAGACTGACCAAGCGTCAAAGGTACAACACAAACATTACATTGCAAACCTGTACAAGAAATATAAGGATTTAATTTTAATAACATAATTGAAATTTCAAAAGCTTTTAAAAATCTTGATTTCATCAAATTTAAATAACCAATAATGACGTTATTGAAAAACAAATAAATTGAACTATAATTTGTATGACTTTGTCCAAAATATTTCTACAGTAAACAACAAATGTACAAATGAAACCAATACGTGTGGGGATCATGCAACGTGTTTTATTGAAAACGACAAGCCAAGATGTATCTGCAGCAAAGGTTTTGAGAAAAATGGACCAACTTGTGAAGGTGAACATGATAAAAGTCAATAAATTTAATGTGAATGATCATGAGTAATACAAACAAATATTTCTGAAAGTGCTATGTAAAACTTTTTTTCTATTTTGAAATGAAATGAATTAAAATGCTTTCACATGTTATCACATTATTTATAAAAATAGAATATATATGTGCCATAAGAATACAAATTACTTAAAATAAGACCATGAATTGAATTTTATGTTTGTAGTTTGTACACATGTTCTGTCCGTTTTATGACGACGTTTTTTTTCCATTAAAACTATTTAGATGTGTTATAGTAATATGTTATATTTAGAATATAATGAATTTAAAGTCAAATTTACTCCCACTATAATGAATATTGTTTTGTTTTTCTCTGACAAACTTTCAACAATTGTTTTAAAATATACTAATAATGAACATAATACCTGCTTACTGCATCAGAAAACAACTTTAAATGAGAAATATTTTGTCAAAAAATAGCGAAGTAGTCTTTTGTCTTTTACACATACTAAATCACTGATAATGGCCAAAATTCGTTTCCATTTAGGGAAAGATATCAGATTTTTTTTTCAGAATTAAAGTAGCCTAATTGGCCATTTATAGAAATAGCTAGTAACCTAAATGTTAATTTGATATGTTTAAAGACATGTGAAAAGATGAACGATCTCTATTTAGGAAGAGGAAGATGACCCATTTTTTACAATACATACTTTACGATGTGCTAGATTTTATTTATTCTTTTAGAATAGTCATGACAATATTTGCATTTTTAGATATTAACGAATGTGAACATTCAAATGGAATGTGTACTCAGATTTGCGACAACACTCTTGGTAGCCACATATGCAGTTGTAACGTTGGCTTCGTTCTGCTGAACGATGGAATAACATGCCAGGGTAGTTAAATTTAGATGAATATTATACAATAACAATCAATGTTTTTAGATTATATGGCATTTATAATTTAGGCATAGGTCATGATGTTATTACATGTCATTTAAATTAGGCTATAACATGGGAACACTGAAAATAGGCAAATATGCTTTCTTTTAATTTCTAAAAGAATCGTGAGGATTTTTATTTAAGCTATACTTTGAGGGGTTGTAATATTTTATGAAAATGTTCAAACCACATCTTTTGTGTGTGACGTAATACAAAAGTCCCAATAAAAACACTATTTTCATTTTGTAAAGGTATAATCACATGCCAAAGTGACACACTTATTAAAGTTCATTACAAAATATGTCTGCTTAAAACATTTTATAAATAGAGGATCACACACCGTTTGCATCGTTTTAGTGTTAATGAGTTGAAAATAGACGACTCAAAATATACGTGAAAATTAGCTTTTGAAATGTCTTCGAAATGCTTCAGAATGCCCAGAGGGGCTGTTTGGAGAGGGATGAAAGCACAACTGCTCTTGCAACACATTAAATACAAACAAATGTGATAACGTAAATGGAAGATGTATTTGTCATCAAGGCTGGGAAGGCAAATATTGTGAGAAAGACATAAATGAATGTACAAGTAACAGTGACAACTGTCCTGACAACTCAAAATGTGAAAATAGTGTAGGGAGTTACAGCTGCAAATGCAACTCTGGTTTCATAATGGACATCAAAGGATTATGCAAAGGTAGTTATTGCTATTGTATTTTTATAAGCCACACCATGTCGGCTTTTCGGCAGTAAATTTATCTTTCTCAAAACTTACTTATGAAAATTAAATGCGTGTTATTTTATTCTTCTTATTTTTAAATCTCACAAGTAATTAAAAAAATACAGCATTTTCTTAAGAATTTTTAAGTCATTTTTGGAAAAAAACAAAAAGAAAATCTACTGAAGTCCAAAAGCCTAAATTTGAATTTCTTACATAGATAAACTATGGCACTTTAAATGGAAAGGTATACAACAAATGATAAAGAAACATGATCTAACTTTTGTGCTATACCTTTATAGTAAAAACATAAAAACGCTTTTCATTTCTTTTGGCATTTTTGGACAGTTTAAATAAAATTTGCAAAGAAGTATTTGGTGCAGTTCTTCACCAAATGGTACATGAATCTCAAAACAAGTTTTCCGTCACGTCATGTCCAAATAGATCAGTGGAGTTTTAAATTGTTATACCCCCGAAACGAAAGTTGAGGGGTATATAGGAGTCAAACGGTGGTCGGTCTGTTCGTCGGTCAGTCGGTCGGTAGGTCCAGAGGTCCGTTACATTTTCCTTGTCCGGAGCATAACTTGAAGACTGCAGTGCACAATAATAATAAATCTATCTAAAGTAATTATAGAGTCACTGCCCTTTGTTACTTTTCCATTGCTTTGCCGGAGCATAACTTGAAGACAAATGATTGGAATTCAATACAACTCCATACAATGGTCAAGCACATTGGGACAAAGGGCAGTAAACAAGACCTATTACTCCATCTTGATAAATAACATAGTTATTGCCCTTTTTTACATTTCCTTGTCCGGAGCACGACTTGAAAACTACTAGTTTGAAATCGATACAACTTCATACAATGGTCAAGTACATTCAGAGGAAGTGCAGTGCACAAGACCATAACTCAATTTTAACAAATCACACAGTTATTTTCCTTTTACACTTTTTGTTGTCCGGAGCATACCTTGAATAGTACTGGCTGGAATTCAAAACAGCTTCATACAATGGTCAAGCACAATAAGAGCAAGTGCAGTGCACAGGAACCATAACTAATCATAGAGTTATTGCCCTTTGTGACTTTTCCATTGCTTTTTCTTGTCCAGAGCATAACACAATAAGAGAATGTACAGTCCACAAGAACCATAAATCTATCCAGAGTAGTTGCCCTTTAATACTTTTCCTTGTTGCAAAGCATAACATGAAATCTATTAGTTGGAATTCAATACAATTTCATACAATGGGCAAGTATATTTAGTGGAAGTGCAGTGCACAGAAACCATAACTTTTTCTTGACTCATTTAATAGTTTTTGTCCTTTGTAACTTTTTATTGTCCAGTGCATAACTTGAAAATTAATGGTTAGCATTCAATGACACTTCATACAATGGTCAAGTGCAGTGAGGTGTAGTGCAGTTCAGAAGAACCATATCTCTATTTGAACTAATTACATAGCTAGTTTTTTTTCCCTTTTATTGTCCAGTGCATAACTTGAAAACTAATAGTTGAATTTCAATACAACTTTATATAATACTCAAGCACAATAAGAGAAAATGCAGTGTTCAATAGTCATACCTCCATATTCAGTATTTAGAGTTATTGCCCTTTGTTTTCCCTTGTCTGGTGCATAACTTAAAGCCTTATGTTTGGAATTCAATGCTACTTCATACAATGGTCAAGCGCAAAAAAGGAAGTGCAGTGCTCAAGAAACGTAACTCTTTCTGGGCTTATTACAGAGTAATTCAACAAACCTTCAACTATGGTCAACCACTGTGACAGGAAATTCAACGTACAAGAACATCAACTATCTTTAATTGCCCACAACCATGACTCATATTCTGTTACTTGTAACTTCCTCATTTCCGATTCAGTCTTTCGGGGGTATTAATCACATTAAGTGATAGTTCTAGTTTGAATTAACAAAATTTGCGAAACTTGTTCAATATTTTTATTCAAATGTGTAAAACTCTTTAATTAACATTGTTGACCGATGAAATAGTAATTGTTTTAAACATACCACGTAATACAATCAGGCATATGGTAAAAGGGGTCAAATAATTATCCTTTCTTATCACTTTGCTCTAACGATAAGTGAGATTAAAAAACAATCAAATGTATATTTCCAGTAACCTTTACAGATACACTTTTCATACATCATGACATTGATCTTTCATACAGATATTAACGAGTGTGAATCAAATCCTTGTACACTAGACGTCTGTGAAAACATTCCTGGAAGTTATAAGTGTAAATGTGACACTGGTTTTACAGAGATAGAAAACAAATGTGCGCGTGAGTATTAAATCTCATTTGTTGGTATCGGACAAAACCATTTGTGTTTTAATTAGGAACTTTTCTTGCATTTATTTTTTAAAAACAAGTTTTAGTCCGGTGTTAGTTCATAATTGATTTTAATGTCCTATGGAATCCACGAGTTTGATGAGTACATACAGATCAGGCTAGTATTAGGAGTCACATGAAATGCTGTATCTTTCAATATTTCTCATCAACTAAGTATTTGATTTCACGATATTCTGTGTTCATTGCCACCAATGAAGTATCTTTTTTCCAGTATTTTTATGTTCATGGTTTGTTTATTGAATTTCAACATGCTTTTTAAAAATTGACATACATATCTATGTTATGTTTAATTGTCCTGTCCTTTTTAGAAAAAAAGATAAATTATTTTTGTATTTTGCTACGTAAAATGCTGTACGAACAATAAATTCGGTGTAAACTGCTCGGAAACCTGCCGTTGTAAAGGGGAACATTCAGCTAACATAATACAGACTTGTGACACCGCCACAGGCAAATGTATGTGCCAGCCACATTGGCAAGGTGATACGTGCAGTGAGGATGTTGATGAATGTGAGGACAAAGCGGCATGTAAGGATAAAGATAACACCGTCTGTATCAATTATGACGGCGGATATTCCTGCAAATGTGAACATGGTTACAAAGAGTATCCAGGAATATCGTGCATTAAAGGTATATTTATCTATTAGATTTATATTTAAGATATTTTCTAGAAACAAAACACTGCTTCATTCTCAATTCAGTTGATAAAGACACACGTTATAGTAAATATGAAAGAAAGAAGCTAGATAGTTAAACTTAACTTAAGTAAGTTTTGAATGTAGAAGCACAGTTTTTTAAAAGACAAACAACTCCTGATAGAAAAGGCCTATTTATACTGCAAGTGATTAACTAAATTATTACAATGAAAGTTATTTAAATAGCCTTTGTTTGTCTCTATAGTACAGAAAAGTAAGACCGCTATTTATCTTTTATGGAATGAATTTACCTGCTGCGTTCCAAACCTGATGGAATCACTTAATTTTTTTTCCAGCTTTGAAGCTTTATAAAAATTATAAAACACTTAACATAATGTCTGCCTACGTCAAAAAAATAAAACACTCCGGATGAAATGAAAATATTGTAATAATTAGAATTAATAGAATCCAAATAAATAAAAACCTGTTGTTGAATATTTCATTTATGAAAAAAGCAAAGAAAGAAAAAGTAATGAGATAATTGAAGATGCTTCGGTAAATAAGTTAATGACATAGAAAAACATAAATCAATTAAAGTGACCACCTGCACAACACTGAACAACACTTAAGAAAACATATAAAAACGTCCATATGGCTTGGTTTCTAAATCAGAGGTCAGCGTAAATGACAATTAGACGCGATGTTCGTGATCAGTCAGTTGTCCGGAGAAATATCATTTTGAACCAGAGACACTTTAATTACTTAAGTGCGATGCTTTCTCTTGTGAGCAAAGCAGACGGGCTCAAAATTGCACTGAATGCCAATGCAATCGTGTAACAAAACGTTTTGTTAACAAACAGACTTTTAAAAATTTGTTTTTGAATAACCGATTTTGATTTGAGATATATGAAAGAAAACAGTAATATTTGATAATCTTTACTTCAGACATAATTACAATATATAAAAATGGCACTGCATTTATTTGTAGGTCCATTCTTTATTGTCATGCAGATGTACATTTTATGTTGAAATAAATCTATCAATGACTCCCACTAAAAGTCATAATCATCTATTAGAATAATGTTGCTTATTGAAATAAAACTTAAACTGTGAGATAGAAATTTGAAATAATAGTTTTGTCTTGTAGACTCGCCTATCATGATAGACCTTACGGTCAACCTGAATGTAGACACTTCTGATAAAACAGACCCTGAAGAATTGAAACCATTTGCCACTGAAAGTGTGAGTAAATATTTCATGTTCAAATGTAAATAAAACAATTGTAAGAAAGTTGCTGTTACTAATTTAATATTATATATGTTAAGGTAGTACACCCCTAATGCACTGTCTCCACTTTGAAGTGTATTCAAACAGGCTAAAATCACTGTAAAGTGTATTGAAACTGAGGGGGCGTGGGTTCAAACCCCAGAAGGGGCAATGTTTTTTCTTTCTTTTTTTTTTCTTTTTAACATTTTTTATTAATCTCTCAGATCCCCTATGGAAGAAAAAATTGTTTTATTTTAATTATATAATTATTATAGGTATTTATTTACTAAATAATGCCAAATTTAATAGCAAATATGATACCAGATATTTTCAAAGTTTAATAAAATAAAGACTAAACGGTAAAAGTTTTTTATATTTTGCAAGACCAACCAATATACATTAAAGAATATTTAGATAAACTTGAAAATAGCCCCTCATTTTGGAAAATTTTAGGGATATTTTAAAGAGGCTTTTTACATAGGGAAATGGTCAAATTAGTGTTAAAAGTAGGTGGGGTAGGGTTACATTTTTATACATATTAAAAACATTTCGTTTAAAAACAATCTTTTTGCTTGTTTAATTTGTTACCTATATGTCATTGTTTATTTCTTAACAATGAGCAAAAGGAAAACATTTTTTATAATGATGATATTATAGATTATTAAGAGTTTCCTCATTTCTGAAAAATCCCTTCTAATGGCAAAGTTTTAGTTTATTAAAATGTCCATAACTCATAAACCACACGGTAATTTTTGTTTAAATTTTGCATACAGGTGACATTAAAGGCATATAACTGTCTTATGTTGTCAAATTTACAATTCCTTATAGTGCCCATTAGGGGTGTACTACCTTAAGTGAAATTTACATTTTTCTTATTTATTTTGAATAATGTTCGGCAGTGTTGTCAAACTATTTTGACCAGTTTACTTGTAAAAACGTTTTCTTTCCCATTTCCTGTATTTTAATGAATCTTAAACGTAACATATATTGTGGTCAATTTATTTATGTTTATGTATGTGCATAGAATGTTTGTTTATTCCACAATTCAGTCCTTCATAGTCTGCTTAGATGGTTATATAGTAATTAATGAATAACAATGTCATCTACTTGCTGTTTGTGTTAAGTCCTTGATTTTAAGGTGATATCATTTAGGATTATGACTAAATTAAGAAAAAGCAATTCAGCAATTGTGCTGTTTACGTTATCTTTCTTAGTTTATCTTTTCATATAAGAGAGCTCATAAAGAAATGAATATCATGTTTGTTTGTTTTTCGTTTTTTTTTTTCTAGCTAAAAGAGTTTTATGGTCAGTATACAAAGGCTGACATTGAGATCTGGATCAGAAATATAACGTTTGCCAGGTAAGTTATTAAACTTTAGATGGATTGAAAGATTTATTTCTGTAATCTGTTTTTATGCATTAAATTGGAAAACAATATACAGTGCATGATATAAAACATGTATGAAAAATGGAATCACATTAATGACATCATACTAAAGATATCACAGACAGGTTCAAAATAATTTATTTTCATTGTCATGCTAAGGTAATGAGGGTACTGCCAATGTGACGCATGTAATGGAGAACACATTCATTCCCAGTAGGAAAACAAAACTCATGAAACTTTTTTTAAATAAAAGAAATAATTAAAATAAATGATAACAAATTAAGGAAAACATTACCTTGAAAGAAATAAAACATTGTTTTGTTCTGATAGAAGAGGGAAATTACTTCCATCATTATGTCCATAGGCGACTGCTTTTTTATGCAAAAAAAATGGCCTCGCATTCGTTTTACCTTGTTATTTACTAATAATAATTAGGTATCAAAGATTCCATTAATATATTCTGCAGCAAGACCACACTTTATTTTTAAGTTCAGTAGGTAATTTGTACCACTTTTCTCACCAATTTTAAACCTTAAAGTGATGCATCATTAATATGTGACCTATGGGCAAGATTCAATTCGAACCATATTGATATATTCTGTAAGACAATGAAACCAAAACTTTAACATGAATAATTAAAATGACACAAGAATGGAATGTAAAATAATCTAGTTTTTTTGCATAAGCCGTTAATCTTCGTCCTTTTTATTATTTAACATAATTTTCCATTTAACTCACCAGACTGAGACTAATCCAGAGTAGCAAATATGGCTCTTTTTCTTAAAACTATTTTAGTAGAGGACTTGAAGTTACATCTAAATACTGTTGTCTCAGTTCTACCTAGGTGAAGAAAAAATATATCAGTTACCCACTGACTGACAGATTGTATTATTTTTTTAATTCTTTTATCAATAAAATAACTTTTTTTCCTGCAACATAAATGTCATAATCTTTTGCATATAGACGAATGTTGTTTAAACCACACCCTGTACACACCTCTGAAACATGAATGCCATTATATTTTCCATATAGGAAAAGTTTGTTGAAATCACACCTTGCATTTTATTCAAATGAATTCACATGAATTAAAACTAGCTATGTGTCCAAAAATTCCAAAGATTCTTAATAAAATTTGCATAAAATAAAAATTCTACAAGTTGCTTAATATATGTATTACATGTAATACTTAATTTTCTTTCATTCCTTATGGGATAATTTTAGTCTAGGTTCATGTTATTCAGTATATGTATTTAATAATAATTTAGAATTGTACTGAATTATTAAAATTTTTATTTATAATTGTTTAATATATACGTGCATTTTAATTTATTCTTTATCCTCAAATATTTTTATTCTAGGTTGATGTAATGTAGTTGTATATAAATACATGTAATATTATAAAATTGTTTTGAATTATTTTTTTAGTTCCACTAAAATCATTCGCCGTAGCACATGGAAGGAGTTAAAAATTGATTATACAGTGACTTATAAAGAAGATGATATAAGTGTAGCTTCCGAGCTGACAGTCGCTACTATGGATCTTTCAAAAGGCGCATATCTTAAATTTGACGGGCATACAGTCGTTGTTAATGCAGGTATGATAGTGTGCAAAGTTGTCGTCGAACTGTACTAATTGAAGTATATTGTTACACTGTTAATAAAACGTCTTTAATGACATGAAAACTTTTTCACGACCTTAAGGACCGTAAAAGACCGACAAACTCGGCAAAACATTAAAGCTGAAAGTAGGTTGAAATTCTATCCTATTTCTGTCGCATTATACATAGTAATAGTATAACAAGTAGGAGAACTATAAGTAGTAATATTGTTGGGAGGAAAGAGGTGGAGAAGGAGTAGTGGTAGTTTTGTTTAATAGTAGAAGTAGAGTAGAAGCAGTAGCAATAGCAGTAGAAGTAGAAGAAGTAGTAGTAATTGTTGTTGTTGTTTTTCTTTAGAAGTATTAGAAGTAGAAGCAGCAGCAGCAGCAACAGTAGTAGTAGTACTACTTTTAGTTGAAGTAGTAGAAGTAAAAGCAGCAGCAGCAGTAGAAGAAGTAGTAGTAGTAGTAGTAGTAGTAGTAGTAGAAGTAGTAGTAGTAGTAGAAGTAGTTGTAGTAGTACTAGTAGGAGTAAAAAGTAGTAGCAGTCAGAAGAAGTAGTGGTAGTAGTATGATATCATTAGTAGTAGTAGTATTTAGAGTAGAAGTTAGGGGCAGTAGTAGTAGTAGTAGTAGTAGTAGTAGAAGTAGTAGTAGCACTAGTAGCAGTAGTAGTAGTAGTAGTAGTAGCAGCAGCATCAGCAGCAGCAGCAGCAGCAAAGATAGCAGTATATTGAAATATCATCTCTTTATATTGCCTTTTTGGATGTCTTCCCTTTTATACTGCAGTTATTATGCAGTTATAATAGTTTGATTCATTTTATGCAGTAAATCTGGAAGGTAAGGAACCATGCGATATATATGAGGAGACTGTAGGCAGATGTGTTGACGGCTTCAAATGCGAAGTTGAAAACGAAAGACCAGTTTGCAGGTAAAAATGAAATCGTTTATTATTGTTATATTTATTCTTAGCACTAATTCAATGCTGCATATGTAAAGAATCGCTACCATATGAATTGCTCAGTGAATGAAAAAGCAAGAACGATTTAATTTTCAAAAAAAAAGAGATTTAAATAACGTTCATTGTTCATTGTATTGCATCTCGAAGTAGAAAACAGACGAAAAACAAATTATTTTCTCCTTTGTTCGATACATTAATCAATTTTTGACACATTTAGATTCGTCAATATACATTGTTGCGGATTTGTTTTGCCAAAAGTACGTCAAATAGTACGCCAAATGTACGTCAAATAGTCGTTTATATAATAGCATTTGCTCACTCGTGTGTTATCTCATTTTAGAAAAAGTACCTCCGAGGGTGAGTACTTATTTTTGCTGATTTAATTTTGAAACAGAACAATACTGTCTAGTATTATTAGTATATCCAAGTATTTCACTTATTTAATTAAAACCTATAATTAAACAAAAGTTGTGTGTAATATTTTTAAACACTAATTACCTTATTCATCTATAAATAAATGCTCTACAAATATCAATTAAAAATATATAGTATGGATTTTACATTATCACTAAAAAAGGACCCGAAATATAAAAGAAGGCAAGTTTTAAATTAGTGTATACAAATATGCTTAAAAACTGAGAAAAATGTTTTTTGCAGTAAACCTTGCATTGATAATAGGAGTGTCGTGTGGTTGCTTTATTCTGTTGTTGCTCATCATTATTGTAATAATGTGTCTCAGACAACGAAATCAAAGAAAGAAGGAGGAATTCAGAATGCAAAGGGAGTATGTTGTTGTCTATATTTTATTAAGATTTTATTTATCTATAAATTGATTTCAAAATTTATTTTAGATTAGTTCGATTTTGTAGGAAACAACCCCTACAATGTTTTTATCAAGTCGTCTGTTTTGGGCTGCTTCATAACAAAATTTATGTTCCGCATTTATGGAGTTGGTTGTTTTGAAGTGTTATGGACCTACCTTTATAAAGGTATTTTTCATTCAGACCAGTATGACACCTGTACACACGAGTTTATACAAATAACAAACCGCAATAAATTAACGCTATTGTCAACCACATTAACATTATTTTGAAATTTAAATCAAACACTTAATCTTACAGGCTTACAAGTGCTTCTGACATGGGAATGAAACTTGAAAATATAAACAGTCGACAGGGGAACATCTACAACGTGTTAGATTGGCAGACCGGTAAGACAAGTATTACTAACTGTTTATTCAAAACAAATTTAATCACCTTTTGATCAAACCAATGTTACGGTAATTGCTTTACACACAGTCGCTTTGCAACTTTTGCAACTATTGCACTTTAAATAAGTAAAACTATTATACATTTTCTGTATTTATGATAAATTGATTCATACGCTGTATTGTAGACTTATTGTAAATGAGAACATCTTTTAGATGTATAAAGAAACAGCCAGTTTGTTTGATGACTTTAGTTTATTTTCAATATGCGAAATATTTGCACTTTTATACATTATTTTCTTTAATTTTATAAAACTATGTTCTGTCTACTGGCATATTGTTTTAATTTTGTTAATTTCCGTTAAAATTGTGATTTGATATTGTGATTTGTTAGCTTGAAGCAGGGTGAGTTGTTGGCTGATGGAAGGTAATTTGTCGATTGTGTTAAATATATATGGTGTCAATTTGTGAAATTATGATCAAAAACGGTTAACAACGTTCACAGAACGCAGCCTTCACCTGTCTGTGTATACTATAAAAATACAAAGCTTTGTTTGCGTGTGCATGTATAAACGAAACGTTGTCTATTTATAGCAGCAAACATCGGAGATAAGGGCGATGACAACGAATCTAAGTATATGACTTGGAAGTCGATAGCTTCAAGATTCACCATGGCATCTGGAAATGATTATAGGGTAAGATATATTTACTTAACAAACACTAAATCTGCGTCATTCGATACACATCTTGTAGAAAGCACTTATTAATTAACTACACGACAAATAGAATGTTTGTATATCAAAGAAAAAACAAAATCTGATTTTTAAAATTAATATGATCATGAAGATTGCTTGATAAAGGGATATAAGAAATACATTGAGATATCATAAACGATTTAATCTCTAACGTTCTTTTCTCACCACGATAATACAGAAGGTGACTTGTCAACTTTATATATAAGCAATAGCTGTGTTTCGATATTTCATAGGTACTTTACAATTCCATGAAGAACTAGATGTATTAAAACAATTATATCATTAGATTAACTAGTCAAAGGTACCATCATTTTATGATAAATGAGGGAGACTAAAAAAGTGTAAGAGCGCAAAACTAAATATCGTTTTTCGGTAAATATATCGGGCAAGAAGAATACTTGAATGATTAAATGCTAAAATATGACACGCCGAAATGCACTTGAAAATTGCTGATTCATCTCCTCACACCAATTTATATACGATTATGAATGAAAAATTAATATAACTTTTTGCTCTACATGTTATCTTTCAAGCGTCTAGAGGTATAACTTTAAGACTGCAGTGAGTTTAATCTAAATAATGCATTTTTGAAGAAGTTTAAAAACTGCTGCAAAATGTACATGTTATGTTTTCATTCAACTGCCGTATTTCGTTTTCTTATTTTGAAAAACATATTCTTTGTTTCTTCAGAATGATGGACACTATCACATTCCCCGTGCGAGAATGAAGGCATCTCCTAGTCCAAATCCAGACTACATACTTCCAAGGGAATATTAACTCGAAAAATGGAATCGTTTAGTTGATGACTTGATCTTTACGTGGTGAAATGATTTTGTGTTAATTTTTTCCATTATGCTATCATCCAGTGACTATCATGTGCATGGCTTCCCTTTTAGATTTTAAGATGTCGCTGTCTTTATTAAAATGGTTCGTTCTTTTATTTTCTACGTTATAGATATTGAAATGAAAAAAAATAGACACTGGGCTAAAGCATATTAAGATTATTATCAGTCCGAAAATTAATCTCCTCAAAAACAATATTATCTTCCATTTAAACTACTGCATACAATGGATGATTAAAATCTTTCTATGCAACAATGTTCTGAAATTTAAATTTTCAATTATTTTGATTAGCACGACATGTATCTATCATTGTAGTCTTTAAATTGTAGATAAACGCCTACGTTAAATGTATACTTTCTGCGTTAATATGAAGATTTCAACTTTTATTTTATATAAGACATATACAAAGGAAAATCTAAAAAAAGTACATAAGATGTAGAAATGATTTATTCAAGGTTAAAGAATCAAAATTCAATTTGAATGGTACGTTCGCTTGAAATGGAACAAAATAAATCATGAATAAATTATTTATTAATCTAGATTCGTACGTTTAAAAAGGACTGAACAAATCATTTTAGGCGTCATTATTTTTTCTATAGCTACTCCTTTGTAAACATAAAAATAAAAAATGTTCTAGTATGTGTAGAATAATAATAAATCGGTGTACTTATGCATCTGTATTGTGTATTTATAAAAATATCATTGTGTGAGTCATTCTTTCCATGTGCTAGTATCAATTCATTTGATAGTTTAAGGTCCTGATTGTAATAATTTAAGGTTATTACCACACTGAAGTGAAATTGTATATCTGTATATAATTATGCTTCTAAAACGATTTTCAAACATCGACGAATATGTAAAATATATAAATATATATATATATATATATATATATATATATATAGAAAAATCGCACGAAAAATCGGCACGCCGCAGCCGGGACTCGAACCACGGGTCTCTGGATTGCCGGTCCAGTATGCTAACCACTACACCACAGCGGCCGTTGCTTTGTCTTCGTGCTAATTGGCCTTATATATTTAAGTTATTTTTAACTTTATTGTGACGTCATCACTTTTATTACCATAGCGGCGAGCTATTTATAGCTTCTTTTACCGCAGTTGGCTGACTCAGTCACTATTAATTTTCTTATTACAAATATCTTATGGCAAACACATTTATTGTTTTATAAGACCATTCCCGCCCAAGAATGAATATATATGAAAGAAAGAAAGTCATGAGCGTGAAATTATACATAGATTTTTCTATGTATAATTTCACGCTCATGACTTTCTTTCTTTCATATATATATATATATATATATATATATATATATATATATATATATATATATATATATATAATATATATATATATATATAAAATATATGCAAATCCTTGTCCACATTATATATAATCATTAAAATATATGCATTCATTTCTTACTTAAACATTTGACTAAGACTTAATAGAAAATAAATTTCTAATTATCTCTCTTTATTAACATGAAATGTAAATTCGGTAATATCATAACAAATAATGGGTTTTTTTTTAACTTACAATATTGATAAATCTTCATTTGAGCATTATATTTTTGATATAAAACCATGATAAACAATTGAATTACAGGATCTTTAAGTTCTCATAATAAAATAACTGGTCACTGCTTTAAGCTGTTTTTTAAATTAAATCTGTGATTCACGCAAACCGCACACCGTATTCCGGTATATACCGAACAAGGCGCTTGAATGATATAATGCTAATACTGCGTCTTTTCGCCCGACGGAATAAAATTTAAAACGTGTAATTCATCATTTTTATAACGATTTATATTATACGATAATGAATGAAAAATAAAACAATCGACGAAAAAAGAGATATTTGTTTATTTTGTTATCATGAGTTCTGCAAACCTCTAGCGTTATTGAGTTAAATCACCAAAACTAAACGTACAATTACGACAATATATCCGTTTAATCCTACCATTGTTTGTAAACATAAGCATTGTAATTAATTTTATGTTTGTCTAAATTTTTATAGCTATCATTTATGTTATAAAACAGATTTGTCATAACTATTTTCTATTTAAAAAGTTATTCAAGTTCGATTATTTAATCACCTCTTTAAGAAGAAACAAGTGGAGCTATTGTGATGACTCTGTTATTGGCGTTGACGTCGTCGTCAGAGTGGGCGTTTGTTTACCTTCTCGTTTAGGCTCGTTTTCACGGAAAATTGAAAAAATAACTTCCAACCAAGTATTTATCTAAATTACTGTAAAAGAACATCATTTCAAAAGTGCGTTATATCTTATTTTTCGCAAATGAATCCATTTTCGTTTTAATTTAGTAGAAAATCAGATTACCGAATGTTTGATTTTTCTTTGTGTCATAGCCATTAACCATGTCATGAAAATGAATAAACTATTAATAAATGTAGCAACTCTGTAAAAGTTTTGTTATCTTTATCATTCCTAGCTAATATTTTGGTCAACGCACTCAGACTGACAAACATGAAATCTTACTAAATTGTTTCTTGAACGAACAGTTAAATGAAAGAAAATTATCTTTCACAAAGGTTGCAGAAAAGAAACATAGATAATTGCATTAAATTCCTGTCGGTTAGGCAAACAGCAAAAGCGAAAAATCAACTACTCAATGCTTTTGTACTATACATATATTGCAAGGCTTTTTTTTAAATTTATACCGACGCTAGGTTCTTTGAAAGATATGAAAAATAAATATAAACTTGCTTCAAAAATGCAGGGCACTGGTCAGGGTAGCAAAAGTATTTTTATATTGCATCAGTCTATGGAATAGATAATAGTATACACCATCAATTTCAAGCGACTTCACAAAGGGAGTAGCCATAACCAACTTATAGAAACTCGGTTAAAACTCCCACCAGAAATAAAGGTTAATCATTGATGGACACAACCAACCGCCTGAAGAATTATAAACGACATTCATGACATACAGATTAATGACTCATTGATGAATAGCATTAACCAAGATAGAAGTTAATATAAAACTTCGTAAGCACTTGAGTTATCTACTGCTGTCATATCAATCCATAGTTCAGTTTCACCATTCGAAGACATTTCTTAAATGTATTTTAATCCTGTTAACCCATTACTTCATGAGCATTTTGTGAAAAATGGCTGTTTTCATTGAAAAGTCTCCCGTTACAAGTTCAAATTGCCATAATACTATAAAAACTGCTTCAACACTAATCAAACTTGGCACAAATGTTGACTGGACCATTGCCCTTTCAACAACATGCTCAGGCTTAAATTTTCTGTTACCATGGCAACGAGGGGACATCTCAAAATTGCCAAAAATCACTATTTTGCGTTGATTTTTCCATCAAAATTGATTCCAAAGTGCTGCAACTTTTTAATGGATTGAGATAGAGTCAAATGCTTTTCAGCGTTGGTTACACGTTACCTTATGATCCATCTGGGGTCATCTATAGCCTCTCACATGTCCAAAATTTTCTTGGCGATGAGGGGGACTCCACCCCCCTTCAAACCCCCCAAACAGAAGGGGGCACATCCCCCTTCTGGCAACCCCCACATGTATCTTTTGGATGGGGGGCTGCGCCGAAAAAGAGGTCACTTTTTAACAACATTTCTTAAACAAAAACAAGTGTTGGGGGCCTAAATGAGGCATGTTTTCATCGTTTGAGACAACAAAAAGGGGGGGGGGCGTTAAAAGGCGTGTATATAACGTAATGGGTTAACAGAAAATGATGAAAATACTAGAAATTACCCAAAATCGCGTTTTGTCATGTTTAAACATGGCCTGTCATATAAATTTGAAGAAAAATTGTTGTTTTGTAGATTTTTTGATTTTTTTCATTTACCCATTACTTCATGAGCATTTTGTGAAAATGGCTGTTTTCATTGAAAAGTCTCCCGTTACAAGTTCAAATTGCCATAATACTATAAAAACTGCTTCAACACTAATCAAACTTGGCCATATATTGACTGGACCATTGCCCTTTCAACATTATGCTCAGGCTTAAATTTTCTGTTACCATGGCAACGAGGGGACATCTCAAAATTGCCAAAAATCACTATTTTGCGTTGATTTTTTCCATCAAAATTGATTTCAAAGTGCTGCAACCTCTCAATGGATTGAGATAGAGTCAAATGCTTTTCAGCGTTGGTTACACGTTACCTTATGATCAATCTGGGGTCATTTATAGCCTCTCACAAGTCCAAAATTGTTTTGGCGATTAGGGGGACTCCGCCCCTTCAAACCCCCCAAACGGAAAGGGGCACATCCCCTTCTGGCAACCCCAAATGTATCTTTTGGTTAGGGGGCCGCGCCGAAAAAAGAGGTCACTTATTTTAACAACATTTCGCAAACAAAAACAAGTGTTGGGGGCCTAAATAAGGCATTTTTTCATCGTTTGAGACAACAAATAAGTGATAGGGGGTGAAAAAGGCGTTAAAAGGCGTGTATATAACGTAATGGGTTAACAGAAAATGATGAAAATACTTGAAATTACCCTAAATCGCGTTTTTTCATGTTTAAACATGGCCTGTCATATAAATTCAAGAACAAAATGTTGTTTTGTAGATTTTTTTGATTTTTTTCATAAACCCATTACTTCATGAGCATTTTGTGAAAAAATGGCTGTTTTTATTGAAAAGTTTCCCGTTACAAGTTCAAATTGCCATAATACTATAAAAACTGCTTCAACACTAATCAAACTTGTCACAAATGTTGACTGGACCATTGCCCTTTCAACAACATGCTCAGGCTTAAATTTTCTGTTACCATGGCAACGAGGGGACATCTCGAAATTGCCAAAAATCACTATTTTGCGTTGATTTTTTCCATCAAAATTGATTTCAAAGTGCTGCAACTTCTCAATGGATTGAGATAGAGTCAAATGCTTTTCATGGTTGGTTACACGTTACCTTATGATCAATCTGGGGTCATCTATAGCCTCTCACAAGTCCAAAATTTTCTTGGCGATGAGGGGGACTCCGCCCCCCTTCAAACCCTCCAAACAGAAGGGGGTACATACCCCTTCTGGCAACCGCCACATAAATCTTTTTGGTTGGGGGGCCGCGCCGAAAAAGAGGTCACTTTTTTAACCAAATTTCTCAAACAAAAACAAGTGTTGGGGGCCTAAAAAGGGCACTTTTTCATCGTTTGAGACAACAAAGGGGGGTGAAAAAGGCGTTAAAAGGCGTGTATATAACGTAATGGGTTAAAATATCAAGTGTCTGATATAAATACATGTTTCACAAATTTATCGTCGACATGTAATTATAATGATAAACAATACTATAAATGAATTATCGTCAGTGACGTAATGCGTATGTTTAAAAACATGATAATTGTATGACATGTTTCTATGTTTTAACTCAGATACAAAGTTAGTAAAAAATTTCAGGAATCTATAATTTTAAATAAAAGGGACATTAAAGGGGCCACACTTAGGTTTTCCGTTATAACAGGAATGAAAATAATGTTATTTTTCGATTTGATGCATGTTCAGAGAAATAACGTGTGTGCAAAATTTCAGATAATTGGCTCATTGATTTGTTCCACAGTAATCACTCTAAATTCTTAATTATCTTTTGCATTTCTTTTTGTTTTAAAGAAGCATTTTAACTTCTTAAAAAGCGGAATCATGATTTTTTTTATTTATTTTATGTTAGATGCCTGTTTCCCCTAAGAAAGTAAATGTGAAATTATTTGTTATTAAAGTAGCAAAATGTAAACAAAGTAGTATTCTGACTTCCATACAAAATACTTAATCCATTAAACTGTACAAATTGCCAAAAAAGCAAAGACAGAAAATGATGGTAACCTTTTCGCATCTATAAATGTACGCCAAGAATTAAAAACTTTGAAGAAATAAAAAGGAAGTATTTATGGGGGGATTAATTTGCCTTTAAGCCTCCAAGCTTACATATGCAAAGAAATTATTTTTTTGTTACTATGTTTTTGAGCTTCGGTGGAAATCCTTTAAAACATGAAAAATAATCCGCGTTTTTAATTATACATTTAGGAGATATAGTAATCATATCGTTTTGGAGTTTGCCGAGCCATTATTCTCTGGAGTAACTTTAAAATCCGTTTACAAATTCTTCGAAGTTTCTTGTGAAATAAACAGATCCATCGACACGGCTTTGAAAAACCTGCATTATTGTATGAATAATTAATTGCATGTTATATACTTATACACTTTTCTGTTACATAATATATTATCGATTTAATGTTTTGACGGTTGTCTCACCTTAAAACAATATACCCCAAACAAAGATTGTATCGCTATATAAATTCACTGTTTGGAGTTTGGATTGGAGGAATTATATCACGAGGGCATAGCCCAATTGATATAACGCTGAGCATCCGAACGACAGTGATTTTATAAAGTACAATTACGTTTGTTCACTTTGTTTTCATGGTATGATAGTAATATCAGTGGTATTAAGAGAGAGTTTAGGGTGATACGGGTCGCTGATATTTAACGCACATTAATAATCATTGAATTCTGAAAATATTGAATTGTTTTTAAATTATTCAAGAGATTATAAAGCAGGAGCGACAATTTATGTCACATAAAGTTCAGCCTCCGTTATCTGTTTCCACGCCACAGTATATTTCTATAACAACATGAGATCTCCATAAAGAGACGCTATAAACTCCACTTTTATTCGCATTGTTTTGATGACGTATATCGTAACAGTCTTTGGCATTTACTAAAAGAAGAGAAACGTAACGTCATTTTCTTTTCAGACTTTCATTGTGCCTAACAAATCAATGTTTTAAAATTCTTTTGAAATGTCAAATAAGTGATAAATAATGTTTTGATAATTCATTTAGTCAAGAGCAAATTACATATATAAAATCAAATGTAGAACACGTACAATGTACTGCATTACCTCTCCTATCTGCGTAAATAATTGTGGTAGCGTGGAGCAGACGGAAAGATGTCACTGACAGAGTTCAAGAAATTGAAAGAATTCCATATGCTGCAGTCAAACTCAAAACTTATTAACGTTTCAACCACTTTTATTTGTTTATCATTTATAAAACATTCGCAACTATTTCATAAAATATATATGAGCAAAATAATGACGAATTCTGGCAAGCCTGGATGGTGATCGACGAGGCCTTTCCCCGATAATAAGGACTAAAATGGTCAGACTGCTCTAAATAGGCTATTAATCTACAAAATCTTCACAAGGAATAGGTATAAAGAATAATTTACCAAGTTTATCAAAGTCTGGTTTCAGCAATATGAATGGATCTTTGCCAACTGATTGCTGGTCACGGAGTGGAGTGAGGAAACGCTGAAACCTCCGTTTTTATAGGGGCGTTTCCTCACGAATACACACAAATCCTCAGTTCCGTGAGGAATTCAGGAGGAGACGCCAGAACAAATTTACTCAAAGAGTTTACCGAATAAAAAAATATGCATAATTGTTTCATTTACAACCATTGGAAACAATTCTTCCCACATCCCACAAAACTTGCCAGATAACAAGACGTTAAACAAATACTAATATCATTCTAAAATAAACTAATTGTTTACATGTGAAATAAGGTCAAGTGGAGGAGTCTTATAGCGCATGCGTGAACTACCGCTAAAACATACAATGTGCAAAGCAGGACCACGGACAGCAAAGTTATAGACTTAACATGTTAAATACACAGAATATAAATAAATGATTTATGCAAACAAGCGATGAATGTAATTCTCTTATAATTTACACCGATAAATAATAATGACATTTCGTATTTCTACTGTTCTCAGGTGAAAACTCTGGTGACTACAAAATCGTACCGAGAAATTCTCGATACAAACAATTACAATTTAATTAAGTCAGACAATTATGATTTTGTTAAAAATGCAGGTGTAAACAGTATTTTCCCGGTAATATTTCTATATAAAATTATGTAAACATGACATAACAGCATTATGAATCAGCGCTGTAATTATTAACAATAAGTAAATAAATAAAACAAATGCCAGACATTACAGTACATTATAGAGAAAAGACAAATTCATTTGAATATAGCTCAAGTTTAGTTTATACGACTTATTTTAGTTCGATTGTACTGGAAACTATATTTATGGAAACAATGGGCTGCTCTGACCGGGTTGAAACATGCGCCAGAAATCTTAAGATTGATAATCCGACTCGTTAACGATTTGGTTATGCCGCCACTTGTATATATTGGTAGAACGATGCAAGGTTTAACTATTGAAATAATTGTCTTATATACTTTATAATCGATACACTAAATATAGCAACATAATAATGAAGGCATTTTAGTTTAAGAAACAATTTACTGCTAATAAAATCATGCTTTTGAACAATGAATGTTCTTACCTGTCTTATATTTGGCCACCTTTTCAAATTTCATTTCATTTTACAATTAAACCATTTTTTTTTGTTATAAGAATTTATATTTATAAAGTCACATTTTTGCTTTATATATACAATACATAGAGCTAGTAAAATTTCTTAACATTTAAATGTATGACGTCATCCAAATGGCTGTGAGTCTCCTAGACAGCAAGATTCAGGTTACATAATAGTGAAAATCCTACATATACATTGTATAATTTTGTAATTTAGAACCGTTTTCTTATCTCATACTAACTAGGATGATTCAGAAAGAATAAATTATTGCTTCTTTAGAAATTGCAAACATGAGTTGTTTTAAAACGTTCAAATAATGGTTTACGAGCATGTTAGATGCTTATTACCAGATGAAAGTAGACTGATTGTGACATCATTTCTAATAAAGTAACATGCTGTAACGGAAGCGAAAGATTAATCAAATAATTGGCAAACATTTTGGCAAACTATAACGGAACTCCAGATAAAGAAAGCTTTAGAAAAAATAAAGCATTGTTGTGGCATAATGAGCCTTTGATTTTTACAAATTGTGTCGAACTACTTATAGGTTGATTATAAACGAACAAATTGTGCCAAAAACTGACATATTCTATACATTGGCTCCCTCTGCCTATTGATAAACTCACGTGAATTACAAATTAAAATAACTAATTGAATAACTTGTTTATGAAAGATCTAAAGAGTTAGCATAAATGGCAAATTAACAAGAGCTGTCATGCAAAGATGACGAATGCCCTCCCAAAAGGTTTCTTAAGCATTGCAGAAAGGTAATATGAAAAGAAAAGAGAATGAAAGAAACTAATTTCTTAATATTGTTCTTGTGGGATTTATTTGTGACAAGATGATTGTACAGATTCTTAGGGACACATCTTTCCATCAATTTTCCGATACAGCCTATCAATAAGATAACAATTGCAACTTTTCGGCCCTTTCCGTCAGTCTTCGGATAAGGACCTCGAACACAAGTGTATGAATACACAGAACGGATACGGTATTCCGGTCTAACCTACGTTTAGAAATTAAACAAAGAGTAATGTAATGCTGGGAGTTGTTTACTAGTTTTTTCCCAATATATCAAGTAAAGTCAACCCAAAATTTGTTAATTCATAGATATAAATATCAACAGTACAATATTAATATACTTATACTTATGATAGAAGAAACCGTACAAAATGTCATCCCATTAAGTCTGGTTTGTTTTAATTGTACATCAGTGGTAATATTTAAATTAAAAATGGTTGTCAAACATATTTTCAATCATAATTGTACCGAAACAGGCTTTATTTTTCTTTGGATGTCAAATATATACATTCGTTTACATTTTTTAAAATTTCACTCTCTGTTTATGTTGACATCTGCAACCACGTGGTAGAACTCCCTTCATTCAGTATTGTTTCCGAGGTTATTATAGATAACAGCCGTGGACGCTCCGATTGAATGAGAAAGGGCACACATTTTCGGGACGTGTTGGATCTGATTTTTAAAAAATGGGAGTTACATGAGCGAGTTTCCTGGTGTTGGAAAGAACGAAGAACTAATAAGTTTTTTTTAACAAAATGCGGCGAGTAGACTGGTGCGGCTTCCTGAAGTAATTTAGGGCTAAAATGCTCTGGGTCACATGCTAATGAGGGATCTATTAATGGCTTTTATTGTCACGCCTTCTTTAAATTTTCGGACAAAAATATCAAAATAATAGTCTCAAATGACGTTTCGTTCACTCTTTCAGTCCGCAGACCTGAATTGGTTTCACACTTGTTAAACAAACAGGAGATATAAACACAGTCAAACCATGTTATGTCAGTAACAATTATTTGACAGTAAATCCTGTTTTATTTTATGCTGCTCTACGACAGCATAAAGTTAATTTTCTTCTTTTGCTTTCCTGCACGTGGAAACTTGTTTCTTTGTGTTAATTGCAAATAATTTTGGTTGTTGTTTATTATTCCTAATATCGTTCTTTAATTATTAAAATGACATGCGTGTTGTTTTTTTTGATATTCAATGTTTTATACTTGTTTCCGTGTCATAAAAGGCCTAAACACACCATCTCAATATCATAGGCAAACCGTTATATAGTTACAACACCAATTACTAAATAAATTTAAAAGTTGAAAAGGTATGACATCCGAATATTCCTTCTTTATAAATGACATATCCCTCTTATTATGTGGTTCTGTCTAAATCAGGGAAACATTTGAGAATGCTTATGAAAAATATACGAAGCACAGATTTAATTAGTATAAACTTCAAGTTCATGTTTATAAATACCAGCGTAAAGATTGTAATTGCTTATGCAAAAAGAAACATTTTTCAAAAACGAGGCTTCGTAGAGATGTCAAATTGACAAAATATTTTAAGGTGTATATTATATCAAAGCATATCTGTCCATGTATGTAATCATGTTTTACTATACACGAATTCAACACAATATCCTAAGGAAAAGTTGTTTTTTTTTTATTTTTTGTATCATGTTTAATACATTTGTAACAAAAAAAAAACTTTAACCAAACTGATGTATCACAACACAATTGTCGTATTTGCTCGGATATTAGCATTACAAACGTCGGAACATCATCTTCGATGATTTCAAGGATTCGTGGTCTTTAAATGCATAGTAATTCATTCCTAAGTAACCATGACTTGGTCCTGGTTTCAAATATATTCCATTCAAGTCGTTAGCGAATAAACAAAAATTATACCACCAACCACCACGATAATTTGGGACACAGTTAAACGAATACCCATTGTCGAATGTATGAAAGGGCTGACGGTTATTATAGTACGTCAGTCCATAATAGGCATCACCTACAAAGAGTAAAAAATATTTTATACACAATAATACGGTGTCCTATTTCGTTAACAAAATTTGGTTAACAATTTATTAATGAAATTATATTCATAAAATACATTGTAACAAACAAGTACGCTATGCGGAAAGTGTTCAAAGTTATGGTACAACTGTCTTTTAACTTTTACGATAAATTTTAAAAGAATCACAAGGAATTTTAAAACATGACAGTTACAATTCTTTTTATGAATCACCATTCGCCTATGTGTTCTCATATTAAACAAAATTACCGGTAAGGACGACATAAAAAACAACAAAACAAAACAAGACCGCAAAATTACTGAATTAAGTGGAAAAAAATTGTTTTGATGAGCGCTTTGATAGCCGCCGACGATATCTTATAAGAGCAATATTTTCAGAATTTATTTCTCGTTCAGTAAAAACTATTAATGCCCGCGGCATCGATTAATTTAGTTTGATAACTCGTTGAAAGTAGCATTCATTCATTCATTCATTTTATTCTCGTAGATTAACATTAACTGCTTTTAATGTACACTTGAGATGGCATGTTTAAGAAATTTTAAATGTCAACAAGATATGCACGTTAAACAGATGATGAAAATCATGAACTTGATTCTAAAATTGATCCTTATTTTTATCCGGTTATTTTTGTAATTGTATTTTATCCCAACACAGGTTTGTTTCTTTGTAAATCAGAAATATTTTACATTTTGTTTTAGCACCATATTATTTAAGCCTACATTTTAGTTACATAAATATGTTCATTCTGATCCCAATCTTGATCTGAAGTTTGTGAACACGGAGCCTTGAACTAAGTGTTTGTTGTGTTTGTCAGGTTATAGTATAAGAGGAATATTTCGTACCTGCAATGCCAGTTCCAGGGTCTATATGGAGTGCATACCCGGGAGATGAACCAAGATGGAAGTTTGAATAAACCTCGTAAGCACTGGAGTTATCTGCCGCTGTGAGATCTATTCTTAGTTCACTTGGTCCATTTGCGGCCATTTCTTCTATGTATTTTAATCCTTTAAATATATTTATAGTGTACATACAATTTATCTCTGAAGGTTCTATGATAAAAAATATATAATAATTTAATTTAATTGTTTGTTTTTAATTAACCATTTTGTCTCACAAAGCTGCTCACCATAAGAAACACTTTCTTTTACTAACTATCATAACATGTGAGAGTAAGGCACTGGTATACGCCTACATACTGGATAATACTTTAAATCAAATATACCAAATGTAACATTCCCTTTCTCCACCCATTCCGTTAAGTGTTATTTAAAAGGCCACCCATTTCGTCAAACGTTATTTGAAAGTTTAATATGTTCATCAGAATCGCAGTAGGGTTTTTGTAAAAGTGCGCTCAGTTACATCACGATTACATTCTACCGACACTTTCCATGCTGAAGTATTTTTTTGTAAATCTGCATCGCCTGTCAGTAGCAGCCATATTGAAAATTCGGATGACGTAATAACATGTTCCCGATTTAGAATAATCCGTTCAGTGCAAACCGGGAACCAAAAACACTATAAAAACAATTCCGAGTTTTGGCAAAAGTGATTACGGACTAACATGGAAAATTAATATTTACACGATATTATACAAAGTGTTATATATGGCTCATACCTTAACTATGCCTTATATGCTTACCAAGCCAAAATTCTCCCGAGTAGTTTCCAAATCCATTTGTATATTCTTTAAAATTTCGAGTGAAATTAACAGATCCATCGAAACGATTTTGAAAAACCTGTAATAAACTTGCAATATATAGGGAAATGCTGCTTCTTGCGTTTTATGTTTTCATTTTTGTATTAGTATTGCATGACCTAACAGGCTATCTTGTGTGATGAGTTTGCAGTGTAGCCAAGGAACCTTATTTATTAGGCACATTAGAAAATAGTTGGAATAATGCTTACTTTGCATTATATCTTTACAGATCGGACGGCCATTTCAGAGTCCAACCTATTTATTATTTGACAGATTGTAGAGGATAACCCTAGTAACATAACAATTGACATATGAATGTGCGGGTTTGAAAAGAATATATTATAAAGAACAAACAGACATTATAGCAGCAGATAAATCTTTTTGAAAATTTAACTATGTTGTCATATCTATGTAACATGATCATCTATTAACCATTGGCCTAATTTTAACCAAATTTTGCATAAACTTGGTAAAAATAATTGTTGAAAAATATAACCATTGTGTAACAATCATGACGCGTTACGGCCCTTTAATACAGGAACGCCATTTGCAGGTAAAAAGGTAAACAAAGGTAGACAACACGTTGCACTAAAACTATTTTTTAAGGCTAGTTTGCTATTATTTTGTTGTAAATAATAATGTGATCATTTCAGGTAATTTCAATGAAATGTACAAATAGCTTCTTGTCGTATTTTAAGTTAATTCGCCAATCATGAATAGCCGTAAGAGGGCGTTGTTGTGCAAAGCCTATATAAGCAGAGGTATTCAAGGTGAGTTTAGTTGTGTTGGTGAAAGTCAGATTGTCAACATCCAATCTTGGAGCTTCGAAGTTATACCTGCTATACATTGTCTTTTATCCGTGTTTGTTTGGGGACAACGCTACCGGGAGGATTGCAGGCTTTTATAAAGTAGAAAGTTAACCGGGTTGCAGGATGTGTGTTGGATAATTGTTTGGAGATAAATAAAGCAGAAACATAGAAAATACGAGCTTACTGGTAGTATAATAGGTAGGCAGCGAGACGTTATATGTTAGAAAGGCATCGAGACTAGGCATCGATACTTGGAAAATCTAGGATTTGGGATTGTTAACAATTATACCCAATTTGTGTATTGTTTATTTAATATTTGTTTAATTCAAGTTGGTTAATTTATATTACAATCATTTTGAAATCATTGGTCTTCAATCATTTAGGTAAGGAAACCTAGAGGAAAATTATAAATGTAATATATTGAATACAAATACGTATATTTAAGCTCGGTACACGTTAGAATTGTTAGTAAAGAATATGTTTAAATGTGAAAGTAAAAATAATACATATTTATTTAACTGTTATAATTATATGAGTCAAACGATTATTTGCTGAGGTAAAACATAAAAGTATTAGCCGAAAAGTGAAATAACCCAAGCTGAGCAAAAATTATATTGCCACTGAGTAACGTGTCTTCCGTAAAGATAACTGTAATATTATTTCATATTGGAAATATCTGATAAGTTCTGTTGCTGTTTTCTTACAATTGTATCATCAGTAATAGGATATGCTACCTTTATTTATTTAAATATGTTTCCTTATTTATATTTTATTAATGTTTGACTGTTTATTATTAATCTTGTGAAAACATGAAACATAATGTCACAAACCGTCCAGCCACCATTGTCTGTATCCATGTCACAGTATATTTCCTTAACCACTTTAGATCTCCAAAGTATGACGTTATAAACTCCACTCTTACTCGCATTATTTTTATGACGTATAGCGTAACAGTCCGTTACATTCACTAAAATAATAGAAATTATTTTTAGTGTTTTTTTGGGGGACAACCATGTGATGTACAGTAATTCAATTTAAGAAAGATGCAGCTACGAAGTTATTTGCGATGTTTTTTTTTTTTAAATCAATCCTCTTTTTGGAGACCTAGACATGCGCTTTAACTTACTCTGTAAAAAAACGCTCTCTGATCGACGCAAACAAGAGTCAGACAAGTGGGATTCGAAAGAGAATTAGAAAAAAAGTCATTTACATTTTGACTCAATGATCAAGATTGCCAATTCCTAACCTGCATCTCTTTACAAGATTTCAGCCTGAAGTCAAAATGTAAGGAAAATTACTGACCGAATAAGGGTACGCTCTAAGTACAATATAATACCAAAAGGATTGGAATAAAACTTACTAATGTCACACTTCCTTCCAACATAACCGTCGAAACAGTTGCATTTTAAACCATACATATCAATCATACATGTTCCATGACTGCACGGATTTGGATCGCACAAATTATTATCTAAAGCTAGAAAAGATATCTTAGAAAAATGTTTGAACAAACAAAACTATTAGGTCAATCAAAACTGTCAATATCAATATCTATTTTTTCGGAGTTGATTTCTTTAAATAACAATGATAAGTAGTAGTAAGTAGTATTCAATATTTCCATTGGCTTGCTTGAAAGAAATGATTATGTGTAGCATGTAAATAACGACATGTATAAATATATGAATATGAACAGAGAAAACGAGATAAATAACATGCTAACTAATTAATGTTCAGTTTCCTTCATTCTTAAACGTGCTGCTTTTTCCTTTAATTAGATAATAATATAAAAGCTACAAGTGACAAGTTTTTTATGAAACCATAATCAATACTATACTGCAATGTTATCATTACAAAGTAGCAATGAACAACTTTATAACGTTAATTGAATAAGTATAAATATTTAAACGTAAAGACATACATATATTACAGTATCGACCAGCGTAACCAGGTTGACATAAACAAATGAAGTCATGAAGAACATCGTAGCATTGACCGTGTACACATTGATTGGTCGCACAATGTGTTGTTTCTGTAAAGAAAGATATGACAGTTCTACAGACTGAAGAAAAATGCGAAAATAAATAAAATAAATACATATACTATTAGTTGTTATGTCAACATACTCGAATTTCCATCGATATGTTTGTATTTTATATTTTGAGTGGATAACTGATTTATTCGTGAGCATTATATCTGACAATTTTACAGTGAAAATTATGAAAATAAAATTTTTCACTTTTCAATGAAGACACTAAATATTAAGGAATTTGAACATGTGGTACCTAAATTTTATTTTTGCTTACAATTCCGAAATTGTCAGGGCTGCAAAAAGCAAAACTGAAATTGATAAATAACTTCAAACGTAAGAAAAAAGATGAAAATTACTACAATTCACTCAATTTACCAATCACCAAAATAATATGTTATCTATCATTTTTAATTTCATATTTAAAGTCTAAAAAATATACTTTCTTCCACATGTAAAACTGCTCTTAATGATATTTGGCATATTTAAGTACCATTCGAGCAATAATTGTAATGCAATACATAAAAGCAATGACAGCCATCAGCCTATTAAACATATTATTTGATGTTTTGGAAATTGTTTAGAAGAATAATTATATACATATAACATATAAAATTTCACTTAAGTGTTGTTACATCCTTAATTACAATTGTAGAAAGGATCTTTAAGCATAAAATAAATAAGAAAATATGTGTGTTTGTTGTGTGAGATGTTATTTTTTATTACATTCCGTGAACTTTAAAAACAGTGTTTTCACGCGTGGCAAGATAATTCTGTTTTTAAAAATCTTTTGATGAAATACATTTTCATCTTACGCAAAGTCAAACAAATATTCTCTATACATTTCCATATAAGCAGATTATGGTATGATATGATACATGTAATTTCCTTACTAAACAAATTATATGAAAATGCATTATGACGATGATATCACAGAAATGACTTAAATATTTTAGGAAAATCAAACTTGACAAAAATATACAGAGATTTTAAAAACAATAAAAGGATTTAAAAAGAGATTCCTGGGTTCTATGAAAATAGGTATTGTATCTGCTAACTATGTTGATATAGCATTTAAGAAAACAAATAAAAACAAGTACCACAGTTATTTTTAGAGCAAAACTCTACTCTGTCATTTGATCCTACACATATTGTCCATTGGCGACGGGGGAGGATTGGAACATGACCTTGTTTGAGACCGTACTCCACCACCACAAGTTGCACTACATGTACTCCAGTGTGTCCAGTCACTCCAACCACCATCTACAAAAAAATCGCAGAAATGATGTTGTATTATACAATTTATAGTTTGTTACTTTGTTTTCTTTGTTGTCAACACTAGATTCATAGCTAATCATATCGTTTTACAAGACTATGCTTTTTCAAAATGTATTGAATGACAAGCTCCATATTTTAAAAGTATCCATTAATATTTGTTCAACATAATGGTATATTAAAGCACCATTGTAATACTCATCCTGTTTACTTGTACAGTGTTTGCAAGTTATTATTTTATTATATGATTTTATAACAAAGCTAAACACACATAAGATATGATTTGTTTTGTCCAATTTAATTGACAATTTAAAATCGCTTTCTGTTCTAGTCCTTTAAGTATTACTTTGTTTCATGACACAATTTCATTAACGAAAATTGGATAGTCCAAGAGAACGGCAATCATTGCGATAAATGTTTATACATATTCAAATTTCAAAACAGTAACTAGTTGTTTTTACTCACTTGCACATGGTGCAGGCATGCACAGTTGTGAATCCGTGTTATCTCCGAAACAGTGGTTTCCAGCACGACTTGGCGGCGGATTAGAGCAGGTCCTTGTGCGACGCTGCATTCCCATGCCACACGTAACTGAACATGTACCCCATTGTGACCAATCACTCCATCCGCCATGCACTATGAATTGATCGAAAAAGTAATAATCTTATGAAAAAGGTTAATCATTATTTATTGAATTATATTTGAGCTTTTTTTACTTTTATCATTATGGAGAATACATAAACATTGATATTGGAATTGTAGTAACCTGGACATTGCTGATCTTTCCTGCAAACTTTTGTCACCATTCCGTCCCCAACACAGTCAAGACCGCCGTTTAGTGGTGCCGGATTCGTACAGGTCCTTGTTCTAGTCTAATGTCCGTTTTCACAGGTAACATCGCATTTGGACCAAGATGACCATAAAGTCCAGTTTCCATGAACTAAATAATGGAACAATAACTAGTTTTGAACAAATATTGATACAACAGTTTACTTAGTGGTTTGTTATTAATTTAAATGATATATGATTAGACGTTAGTGCTCCAATATAATAGAATTAATGTTTTAATTTCTCACGTCTAAAGAGAGGAAATACGAAATACGAGTATTCTTACAAAGAAAATTGAAAGGTAATGGCAAACCTACTGTAATTGCCAGTGACATAATCCTCATCTTAATCTCAGCACTTATGGAAAGGGTAATAATGAATATAACATCACGGATATAAAATTTAACTCGTGAAATCGCCAGGATGAGACATAAATGAAGTGCAAGACAAGATTAAAAAAATGCTTGCATCATTTTAAAACTAATGTTAATATGGTCATCCGAAAAGAAAAACTCAATACCCATACAAAGCCCACAGAATTTTGCGCAGACTTTTTTTGCATGTACAATGTCACTACAAATACTGAATAATGAGTTCAGTTGTGCACAATCTACAGATTCATCGTCCACACATTGATTGGCTGAAAAACACATGTTTCTTTTCAAATAATTACATACTGGCAAAAAAACAAGCACATCCGTGTCGTGATTTGTAGCAACAATATTTTTTATGCTAACATTTAAAAGAGTGCTAACTCTACATTATCGAACACGTTCGTTTCTGTAAGGGTAATATACCTACCTCCCAAAAGCTTACGTATTATTATTTTTATAGTTATCAGTGATCACTTTTGAAAACAGATTAAATATCTTTGTTTGGATATCATTGTTAAAGCATAAAATCATTTTGTTCCTTAAGTATATATTTTGTTTTATCTAACTGTGTTTTGAAATAAAAAAAGGCAAGGCAATAACCGCCGTATGTACAGCACAATTAATTATCTTGAAAACACATTTCATTAGTTATTGTTGCTATAATATCAATGGAAAGTCGAATAACCATTACAACAATTATATTATAGGAACAACAATAATACAAGAATAATAAAATAACAATGATGACTCCAACGACAAAAATAACATGACAAATGAAAACGTTTTTTTTCCTTACAACCAGGATGGTGGCAAAGAGCGGAGTTACAACGGTCGGTGGAGCAGCATTCGAAACATGATGACGTTTCCCTAGATACAAGATCTCTTCCAACAATTGTAGAAACTGCAGCATGCGAATCACAATCCTGAGAGGTTATATAAAGGAAGTAAAAAGAAGCAGCTGCCACAGCAACATAAGTAAAAGTATAAATATGATGCCGGATAGAATATATAATGATTTATTTATAACAGTCAAACTAGTAAAAATTAAAGAATCCGTTCATTAAAAGTTATAAATAATATCTCAATTTGTGAGACAAAACTGTATACTTTTGAATATTAACGTGATTGTTACTAAGAAAGTAGCAAATGCATTTTAAAACATGTTATAACAGATATTCTCTGTTGTTTGCCCACTTTGTTACGCGAGGATTCATATATATCTTAACCTCTCAGACTAGACACGTGCTAAAATTTAAAGTAAAAAAAAAAAAAAAAAAAAAATGAAAGTTACAGTAATATCTATTGAAATGTGCCACAAATTATACGATTTCTGCATACATTATAACAACAACTAATGCTACAATGACTTTTATGATATTGGGTAAAATGATTTCGTTGTTACATTGTATTTACATTTTTCAAAAATCATTCTCTTATTTGTGTTGGTCACACCAACGCTGTATAAATCATATAGCTTTACTGGTGGAGGCGGTGGAGGAATACCTCAGATGCCAATCTGCACATTAATTCAGGCTTTAGCGGGCACCTGACTAGAACCAAGCTAGCTGGATAGCACACACAAATAAAAGTTAATGATAACACCGGAATAAACTTTGGATTAAGTACTTTTGGATTATCACTGGACAAGAGGATTACCTTATTGTTTACACATCCAAGAGTGTGACGTCCGGAAGTAATATTGTGATTACATGACTGAAATGCAAATGTTATGTTCATTGTTATTTCACAAAGAAAACGAAGATTCTACTAAAAGGTTAAAATAATAAATAAAGTACAACGTCATTTTTCATTCCATAAAGAAAAATAATTCAACGAACAAAAGTAAATGTGTCAATGTTTTTGTTTTCTTAACCGAGCATTACTCATTACATCGACAGTCCATTATCTGTTTGATACAAGCAAACCTATTGAAAGTAATATACATTTACTATTATTATATTTGTTCTGTAAATATTGGCACAATACATGATGTACATGTATTACTTTTTTCTATTTGCCTTGTATTTTGATAGAAATCAACATGTCAATTTCACATTAAGCTTGTTTTATCTATATTTCTACGTTATTATCTTATATCGTACGTGGAACAAATTTGTTTTTGTCAGGTAGGCGTCTGAAATCCTCCCTAGCGCAGGCAAGGTTACTTTTTGTTTACCAATTCGTTTATTATAATGTGTCATTTTTATACCATTCGACTGGTATGTAAGGCTCCCACGTTTACAATTTTTGTAAACGTTTACACGATTGCTAATAACCGAAACGATACCGTTTAAACGGTGGTACCTCTATGTACTATATACACCATATATATATGTCGCCAAATGATGTCTTTCTTTCTATTTTTTACACATGTACAAATAAAGAATGTTCCGGGCTAATCACGATTGAGTCAGCACACACTTTCTGCATTGTAACTCCATTTTTTACCAAAAATGTATTATGTCACGAGCAATTTTGCACCGTAATGCTGTGTGGAGGGTTGTAAACTCATATTTTCCGTTTGTTTACTTTGGAATAAACAACTAGAATTGATAAAATCCATGATTACAGGCAATGATTAAGAAATTTTGTAACACAATATGGTCATTTCGATTAAACGGTAAACAATATCGTAAACGTTCATGAATGAAAATCGAAACGAATCCGTTTAAACGTGTAATCGTGGGGGCCTTACAGTGGTATGCAATGATGTTTTTTACCTGGCCAGTTGAACATGGTGCTGTGGCATTGCATCGATCTATATTTGCAACATTTGAGCAACTATAGCACTCAAGAGATTCTAAAAATATCAATAATAAAACATTTTCAACCGGAAATATATCAATTTAAGTCCAAATATTACGAATAAACGACCATTGCGATTCGCAACATGTTTCCAAGTAGCCGTATGCACTATAGTAATATTAGAAATGTTGACATTTTCAAGGCAAAAGACTATTTTGGAATAGATTTGTTATATAAGATATTTTAACGATATTTTTGTTTACAATGACTTGTCTGACAGCTAGGAAAACAGACCGGACTTAGTTCATACATAAAATACCGCCGTAGACTTAGCCAGGCGTTAATTTGTGTAAAGATGACCTGAATGGATTGAAATAAATGAAAATAATCTTTTTAAAAGTTTCGTACAACGAATTGGATTTCATACGAACCTGAGTATCCAGCCAGAGTTACCAGGATAATCACATAAAGTGAGGCATCTGAAATAAAACAAAACATAAAAATAGTCTGTACCTTATATTTCTGTTGGAATATTACATATGTATGACCAAACCAAATACTGGTCGGATTTTTATACTATACTTGAATCCCTCAAAACTTAATCGCACTGCTCTTATGATGCAAGACAATTTATAACACATTTTCAGTTGTAAAAATGTAAACTTAAGTAGATGTTTTATTTAAAAAGAAAGTATGTATTCTTTAAGTGTTCTTATAAGTTCATCCCAAACACGCCTGAAATAAATAAAATCAGATAAAAATTATAAAATTTAACATTATTAAACTAAGATCACCACCATATAACATCATAATATTCACCCATAATTTGTCCGTTTCCGAACTACGACGTCTATAATAATTAACGATTTTGTAATAAGTCAATTTACTTTACGCTAAATTTTGAAATAAAGTGCTAATTTCCGTTTAAAGTTTTATGATAAAATATGACCGAGATGATTTTTATCTGCTCTTATCGTACGAGGCAGGTTCAAATATGAATAACAATATAGTTCCTTATCAAAAATGTCTGATCAAACCAACATGAACTTTCAGCTGAAAATAATTTTTGTCATACATAATGGACAGAATTCATATCATTATTTTAAAGGCTCAATTTAACCGAGCTTGCAACAATTTTAATTTTCTTGTTTTAGCCGTTCTTTAGGGATTCTGTTCTTTTCTTATTTTACTAAGTTTTTTTTTCATGTGTAATGAAAAGTTTCCTTTTATAAAACAAGCTACTTATTTAACATTGTTTTTGCATTGCAACAGTCAGTTCATGGCGTCTTTGGACGATTGGTTATAGTCGTTCACTTCAAACCACACACAATTTCGCCGCTGTGGGGTTTCGTACTGTAAGAGATTTTGGATAAAGATTTGCAGCTTTTCTAGCTGTTTTACGGATCTTTGATAATGCTAATCCTTCTCAGCCCTGAAGTAATCATAACCGAGTGAAAATAGTAAATTAAAAGTAAGGATCTTGATCTTGTTAACATATTCTTTTTAACGTATCTTTTTTATTTGTATATTTTCGTATACGAGAGGTAATCAGTAAGTTTATGGACTATTTATAAATTATAAAATTGTTACCCTTTACAGGTGCAAAATAGTATGTAACAATTTTCACGATTTGTCATTTATTAAATACAAAATTGTAACCCTTTACAGGTGCAAAATAGTGTGAAACAATTTTCACGATTTGCCATTTATTAATTATAAAATTGTTACCCTTAACAGGTGGAAATATTATGAAACAATATTGACGATTTGCCATTTTTCCATGACATAACATTTAGACTATACATGAAACGTTTCAGGCAATAACAAAAGTACAGTAATTTTACCCCAAACACACAGGTACACAACAAGTACCATAATATATTTAATCACTGGTTGAAAATGCAAAACAAAATTCACCGAGTTAAAGAAACAAGCGATTTACATAGTTCCCTGTATGATAAAATAAAATATAAATTTTAGCCAAACTGGTGACAAGATGTTATGCAAATAAATATCTCATTAAACCAAATCTCGGACAAGATTTATTATAACAGTTCATACTCGTACATTGTAAAGGAACCATCGCAAATTTCAACTGATAACAAGTTCAATTGGTAAAAAAATCATGTGTTTGTCTTAAATATGCATATAATTTGATAGCATGTTTAAAAATACTAATAAAAAGATTTAAAAACGTAAAAGTAAAGTTTTATTCTGCCTTTCTTTTCCTTGCGAAAACTTGGGCTAACGTGTGTTTAAAAAAATCATTTTACTTGTCTATGATGATAGTCTGAAGTGTTGTTACAATACCACGGTCCTCTTATTACAACTAACCAGTACGGAAACTGGCGTAATAACAAAAAAAGAATTTGAATCTACATTTATACTTGAAATATGAACAATATATCATATACATGTATTATTATAGAAGTTATTACATATAGAATGATTATACTGTTTTATGCACTGAAGCTACCATATACACGATATAACTATACGGAAAACGTACATGTATGCATACTGTATGTGATGTTTAATATTACGTCAGCTCTAGTACATCAAACATGATGATATTCAATAAAACAATAAAAAAGAACATAAATTATAAAAAGTTATTTTTCAATATCCTTCTAGATTTTGGCTGCACAGAGTCTGAGCAAATAAAAACCTCTATCTGTGACACATGGCGTATATTTTAGCAAACGATTCATTTTGTGTTTATATTTGATATAAATATTACCCGTTTTTCTTTACATCATTGGCTCGTCATGTTTCAATGATTTGCTATAAAAAGCAACTACCCCCTTTTATATTGATATGAAATACAATTTTAAACGAGTAATATATTATAGTTCAACAGTTATATGATATGATATATGTATTATAAATTTTGTTAAAGCAAATTTTGTTATACAAATCACTAAATAGTCATTTAATTGTGTTTCTTCGGCGATATGCATTTAATGTTTTCATTAAGATATTTCAATAGTTTAAACTCCTTTATTCTTATTGCGTAATCCATAAGGTCAAAACCTTTTTCCTATTAAGTAATAAACGAGTGGTTAACGCGTCAGGCTAGTAATCTAGTGACCGCTAGTCGCATGTGTTCAAACCCCGTGAGAGGAAAGTCGTTGTTTCAATGAGCAAGAAACTTTACACTCATTGCTAAGTACTGGTTGGTTCCAGGAACAGATTCGAAAGTGTGTCTATAACATTATAGCTTCCTACATAATCGAACTAAAATATTTTTTTATAAACCAATGTAATAAGAGCAATTTTAGTCTATATTCATTGTAGTGCAAGAAAAAGACACACATTCAGAAGTTGACGGCCTCGCTTATGCTGCACAAAACAGTAAATCAAGTTTGAAGTCATTATTGTGGAAAAGTACAATTTTAGAGAAATTATAATATTTGAATCGCCGAATATGTTATTTAGAACTAAACGAAACAATTACCTTTTCATGTAAATTTACCATTTACAGCCAATAAAAATTCAAACGTACATAAAAAATAGTTCGCCAGAGCATACAATTAGCAATTATAAAATTAACATAAATAATACCTATTGTTATAGCAAATATGGTCTTAAAGTTTAATTAAAGAGTGTCCCGATAAAATAGTTTTATGACAGTCTGAGTAAACGTTGCTACGGTTACCGTTGCCAAGGATAATTAACCTTTTAAATGTTTGTAGATGCAAAGTAATGGCTTAAACATTTATTTTCATACACAGTAGTCGATTGTCATGGAAACTGACAAATCTCAATGTAATTCCGGAAATATAACTCTATACCATTGACCTTGTCGGCCACCCGAAAGATTATTAAAACTATTTTGCAAACGATTTAAGCCAATAGAAATAGAAATGTAAAAATAAAAAAATGCACACTGTCATACTTAAATCATATATTAAATAATTTTTCTTCTTTATTTCCTATTTGTATTATTTTTTTTTGTCTTAATACAAATAAGGAATAAAATAAACTTTAAACTTAAACGTAAAATATTTAATTTTGTATTATATAGCTGGTACTTAAATTTGAAAAAAATGGTTGATCTTTTTGACAAATGTCAAGAGAGTAAAAAGGGAGAATTTCTGAAGTTAATTGCCCTTTTTATATGACAGTATCTGTGATTGCAATAAAATATTTATCATTTTATAGAGAGCACATTAAAAATGGCAATTTTTTATTTTTTTTATTTTCATACTTCAACCTTCTTTTTGGAAAGCTTTATTGCAGCTTGTATAAAAGCATTATTTGTATTGTCCTAAATGAGAATAAAAATGAATTATCTTAACCGATTTTTGTTTACATATTAACAAACACATTAAGGTTATAGCAAACTTCCTCATTGAGTATGACGTTGCAAGATTATTCATATTACTGTTTTATATCAATGCTGTGCTTCTCATTTGCTGTTCAAGATTAAAACAGTGTTAAGTAAATAACCAAGACGGCTGTTTATACTCAAGAAGATAAATAAGGACTTGTTTTATTCTTAAGACTTCCTAGTTGAGACATTACGAAATAAGTGTAAGATACTTACACTTTTTAAATTGTACTTAAACTAGATTTACGATATACACAATGCAATAAAAAGAAAATATTTTATGTGAAAAACACTTTAATAAAAAAAAAAATCAGTTTCAAAATTTCAAGTGAAGTCAAACTGAAGAGCGAAAGACATGTGACATCAAGACGGTAATTTTATTTTCATAAAAACTTAACTCCCGATATATTTTCATCAGTTTTTGTCGTTTACTGCATTTTCAAAATAGAGAACATAAGGATCCCTAAAGAAAGTCCAACACAACATAATTGAAAATGTTGCAGGCTCGGTTTGATTGAGCCTGTTCATGGACGGTACTGTAAAGTGCAATCTACCGTCCACGCCCCCTAGCACCAGCTTCAGCAACATTCAACATTTAACATGAACTGGTACAATTTTGATTTTTGAAACATTTAAAGTTTAATGTAGCTAATATCAATCTTACTGATATAATCAATTTTAAAGTAACTTATGTCATACTTGATTTTTTAACCTACCACAAATATAATTGTTTTTAATGTAGCTCATGTCATAATTGATATCAAACTTACTTACACAATCAATTTTAAAGTAGCTTATTTCATACTTGATTTTTAACTTACCACAAATATAATTGATTTTAATGTAGCTAATGACATACTTGATTTCAATATTACTGATATAATAATAATCAATTTTAAAGTAACTAGTGCCATACTTGATTTTTAAACTTACCACAAATATAAAAAATGTTAATGTAGCTAATGGCATTACTTTTTTACTAACCACTTATATAATTAATTTTAATGTAGCTAATGTCAAACGAGATTTAAAGCTATTCAATTGTATTAACACAGCTAAGTGTACCTCTACCATTCTGGACAGTTCGATTGTGATTGACAATTGTCATAAATTGTTTTTCACTTAAAAGCCTTTTCAATGAAGCAAATGTCAGGCTAAATATTACTCTAACTATTGACATGATTGACTCAACCATGCAGGATTTTAACCTAGCTAAGGGAATGCGAAAATGATATTTTATTTCGATCTATTTAGAGGCATAATCAACTATAACATTCTTAACATTCAACTGGCCATTGACATATTTCATTTTATTCTGATCGCCATGACGTCCTGAGAGATATTTACGTAGTTAAATTATTTATTAAAACGTTATAAAAGCATTTATGTCTGAATTTATGAATTAAACTTAAAAAATCAATGTACGTTTTTGCTCAGATAACAAAAAGCATCAGCAGCAACAACAACAACAGAACCGTCCCCACGACAAAAAAAAACAACAAAAAACACACACAAAAAAACACACACAAAAAAAACAACACAAAAAAACACACTAGTTTTCAATAACAAAAAGGATTAACTAAGTTTACTGAACAGCTTATGTTGAACAAACAAAACATGTTTTATTGCAAATCAAAACGACAATTCAAATATTTTTATAACAAAGATATATGCTACATGAGTATTTTATGACAAATAAGGCTGAAGTGGAGTCATTTAAAACACGTATAATATGTATAATATGTTGCCACTTATTGTGGAAAATTTATAATATCGTGGGGATACCTGCTTGAAAACAGCTCAAATGGACTCGTTAATTGGAGTATATATAGAATGTCGCGCATGCGACAACAACAGAACGATCTGAACAATCTATGTAGCAGTACAATGTTTGCTTAAAATTGTTTTTAATTGTATAAATTATTTAAATAACATATTTTAGAATAAATGTTTTTAAATTCATTTTTGGAATATGTAAAGTGGCATAATGGAATACATAAATATTAAATGAAAATATATTCAGTTTGTTTTATTTCTGTTGCTTTTCTTTCTTCAGATATGTCCTTTTCCGATGTGATTCATTGTGACTAATATAAAGATGAGTTTAAGAGAGGCTGTAGCTCTATTGTTGATATTCTATTTGGCACAGGTGGACGGTAAGTGTACCATATTATATTAGCTGGAAGTTTTATTATTATCTAAAATCGTAATTATATAAAGATAATTTTAGATAGGAATGAATTGTTGTGATATTCTAATTATAATCAGGGCAAATGAAAGTCATGGTTTTCGTCTATTTCTTAAAAAAATGTCCCAATTAACCAAAAGCGCTTCTTAATCTATAGTTAATTAATTGTATTTCATTGTGTTTATAAAATGGTTACTGGCACATATATTTTTATGTTAACTTATGAATTAATTTCTATTGTAAAAAAATATTTTTGTTCATGGAAATGCGATACAATTTTATGTCCGGTAGTCTCAATGTATATTTAATATAATACCTGCCAGTGTTCGAAATAGGTTTTACATTTTCATCGCCAAGTAACATCATTGTGGTTAATATACATTGCAAACAAAGAGACTGTTTTACAGTATTTGAGCATCCCGCTATATGCCGTATTCCGGTACATCCCGGACGGGCGTCTGAAATATTAAGAAAAAAAAGCCCTTTAAACGTCAAATTCGACTCCTTTTACCGATTTAAAAACGGTTATGAATTAGACAAAAATAGGAATCACCGCAAATTGTTATACTTTGATCATAATTTCTGCCATTCGTCTGCTCAAACACTCTGAGGAGTTAAAACAAATTAGAGTTTATTATACATACATATTTTCATTGTACATGAAAGAAGATTGTTTCAAGCAAAACCTGACGGTGTCCGAAAAAGGTTTTACATTTTCATCGCCAAGTAACATTTTTGTGGTAAATATATACTTTGCAAACAATGAGACGATTTTAATCTACGTGTTGAAATGTTTATTTGCATCACTCAATATATACATTTTGCTCAAATTAACAACTATATTTTGTTTGAACATTTCATTATTGGTATGGATTTATTTATTTTAAGTCATGAGAAACGGTATCTAGACAAAGACGTTTTTCCTCCAATCATTACATGGAATGCCTATCAGGAATGATATTCAGTTTCATTTCCAGTTATATTGATTTCTCATTTCAGGAAATTCCGTGTTAAATGTTACGGGTATTAGACTACCAGGAGGAAGTGGGACATATGAAGGACGTGTGGAAGTAAATGTGAATGGTGTTTGGGGAACAATATGTCACAATTCGTTTGATATGAGAGACGCTAGAGTTTTGTGTAGAATGATGGGACTATCGTATGTATTGATTTTTTTCCATTTATTTTTATCCAAGCAAATTTTATAAAAACATTGGGGTAATCAGTATGTGTAAGCTTTTAGTAAGAATTTCACTATTAAAATCAGTATATGGAATACTTTTAAAAATAATATTTATATACAGAGCGACAACATTTTTCACCGGAGCACATTTTGGACAAGGCATTGGTCAAATATTTGCACAAGAGCTCAGATGTGGCGGACATGAACATCATATAAACCAATGTTCTTTTGTTTCTAACGTGCATTGCACACATAGCTCCGATGTAGGAATCATGTGCACAGGTTTGATATTGACCTACTTAGTGTTTTAGTGTATTTTTATACTCATGCGTTTGCACTGACCGAATAGCCGTATTCCTGAAAAACATTAATTTATAGTTGAGAATTCAAATGCGTACCTTTTGAAAAGCTTATCTTAATTTTGAAAACAGAATTAACAATTTATTTGTAAATGTTACAACTGTTGTATGAGATCCTTTGAAATAAAAATTCCAACAACAAGAAAAATATAAAGAATATAAGCTCATCCAAACAACTCATATAATTAAACATAAATTATAAGTTAGTCTCTAACTACACATGTATTTCTCTTCTGAAAGGCTGTGGAGAAATAGGTATTACAAATGGAAAGGTAGAGACCATATCTGCCAATGGTACAGTGTTGTCAATATCTTGTTATTCCGGGTATTCTTCAAATACAAACATGTCTTCGTGTTTGAGTAATGGAACTTGGTCTGTATCTAAGATAACCTGCATATCATCAGGTATGTCATGAGTTTGGAAGTTATAAAGCCTTAGCAATTATAATTTTGATCAGTGTTTTGACTGTTTTTGTTCAATGATGTAGATAGATATTGTAATTAAATTTTAAAACAACTTTTGTTAACGTTGAGAACAATATTATTTTCTGCTATGTATGTATGCTTTCTGTCTATATATTTAAAGGTTATGTTGATTCTTTATATTTACCCATTTATAAGGTTTAGTTATCCTATCTAAAGTAAGCCTGCCTACTTCAAACATATCTCTTCTTACAATAATGTTTTGTAACTTCAGCCATTGTAGCTAAGTAAATTTATTTGTAATTGCAGTTATACGAATCATCCGAATATTACCTTTTAGGTTATTTTTATTCTCAAATGTCAATATATAATTATTAACCTAGACTGTAAATTGTTTATCAAGTATAAGGGAAAGGTTTTAACAAAGGATGGTAAGTTATCGGGCCATTTGTTTTAAGTGATATATGTTATATATTTTTTGTGTGAAAAATACCTCTTTTAAATTATACAGGTTACCCATTAAATATATCTGGATTAAGATTAGCAAACGGCGTAGGTTTCCATGATGGTCGTATAGAGATTCTTGTTAATGGTGTTTGGGGAACGATATGTGGTAACTCATTTTCAACTAATGAAGCTGATGCATTATGCAAAATGTTGGAATTTAGGTATGTTATGTTTCTTCAACTTTGTAAAAAGCATTTCATTTAATCTTCTGCAATTGATTTAAATTTATAACTTCTAACTTCTTAACTATGATAATTTTATGTAAAAATAAATAAACAATTTTGTTCTAAATATAGAAAATTGATAAGTTAGCTAAACCATTTCTTTAAGTTCTTGTGTAAACGAGTTGTTATCACATTTGAGTCCTTTTCCTGGTACTAACATATTTCAAAAACATGGTCGCAACACAAATAGGACACAAAACACTTAACCACCTGCAGGTTGCTCCCAAATCAAAGATTAATTACTTGCTTTTCTGTCATCTGTTCATTATATACACGACCTTTAGCTCTCCTAAATAATATCATTGAGTTGTCATCAAAGTAAAATGTCAAAATGAAGTCCAATAACTACCATAAAGTTTTAACTAAAAACCTGGGTTAACAAACATTGCATCAGAAGGTTAGAAAGATTTATTTTAGAACTGATAGAAATATATAAACATTTTTTATAATAAAAAAATAAATATATATATTATGAATCTTAAAACAAACATTCCTTTGCTTTTTTCGTTTAAATGAAAATGGCATTCTTTATTACTCTATTAATTTTGTTTAAAATCAAACCATATTTTCAACATCTAGTTTAAAACTGTGTAATAAATTTACAAATCATGTTTTCACAGTATGGAAAGATATAGCTTTCATTATTATAGTTATTCATAATTGATGCGGAAAGGACCGGTACATTTGAGTGACCTAGACTTATATTTTTGTTTTTATTTTAGTGGCAGATTTAGACACTCTTATTATAGTTATCCATATGGGATGGGACAAGGGCCGATATATCTGAGTAACCTTGATTGTTCAGGCACGGAAACGCACATCAATAACTGTACATATACAGTAAACCACTCGTGTCCTCATTATTATGACGCTTCTGTAGTATGTAGTAAGTAAAATCTTTTTAAACTATCGCTATTACAATAAATAATTTATTAGCCATCAATTATAGACATGAATAATATTTGTCGTAATTAAGCTCTACTTATGATTAAATTCAAACATACAAAATGTTACCAGTCTCGATCTTTATTTCATGATACAAATTACTTAATTTCCATGCATTATTTTAGGGTATACCCGAAACGTCACGGATATTCGTCTAGTAAATGGAACTGGGCAATATGACGGCCGATTGGAAATTAAAATGAATAACACCTTTGGAACTATTTGCAATAGATACTTCGACAAATACGACGGTGCTGTACTCTGCAAGATGCTAAATCTGAAGTAAATATAACCATTTTTTTATTAAATGGCAATAAAAGTAAACATTCAGAAGAAGAAATTAAAGAAATAGCAATTCAATTATTAACAGCTATCTGCTTAAAATATAAACTGATTAAGAATAAAGGCACTTTGAAATCATTAAACAAATGTTAATATATCTAAAGTCATGTTAGAAGGTGCAAATAATATAAACTAGACATATATATATATATATATATATATATATATATATATATATATATATATATATATATATATATATATATATATATATATATATATATATATATATATATATATATATATATATATATATATATAATATACATATATATATATATATATATATATATATATATATATATATATAATATATATATATATATATATATATATATATATATATATATATATATTGTTTCACCCAATGATCAACGGCTGCTTAGAGTGAATTAAAACAAGATATTTTCATTAGGCTTGAACAGGCCAAAACAATAATCTGAAACGTTAAAGGAGAGTGATAAGTAGAGATGTTGAGTTACTTAAGAGATAAATCAAATATAAAATACTTTTGACATGCATGAAAGAAATAGTTCAATATATGTGTGTTAGTCTAATTAAATATATTATGTTTTTGCTTTAAAATGGAACTTATAACTATAGGTATACACACCACTTCACAACTGCTTTATATGGGAGCGGCACTGGTCCGATATACATAGAACGATTATTTTGCTCAAGCAGTCATAATCATATAAATGACTGCTCTTTCTACCCAGCTGATCGTTATAACTGTGCCAACAATAGGATTCTATCATTAGTATGCACGGGTACATTATTTCATTATTTTAGATTTAGATACCATTTATTAAATTTTCTGTACATTTGTATAATTGTTTGAGTTCTATGTAAGAAAATAGAAATCGCGTTTCGTGTTCTGTCTGTTACCTGCATTTTACTTATTGATTAATTTTTACAATTGTGTGTAGAAAATTAATTGTGTTTTACATACGACATGTTTATCATGCTGTTTCCTTAAATATTTTTAGAATGCGGTGTCCCTGATATAGGAAACGCTGTTGTATCATCATTTAATGGTACAGTCCTGCTAGCGACTTGTGCAAGTGGTTACGTTCCAGATACAATAAGATTACAATGCCTAGAAAACGGAACATGGATACGGGACGACAGATGCAAACTTCCTTACGGTTAATGTGATCTTATTTATTTCTTTATAGTGCTCAAGAGTAAATACACGATTTTTAAAGGCGTAATACTCCTCAGTAATGCTACCAGTAATTAAAAAAAACGTATATTTCTTTTGCCATCTTGTTACGGTTTTAAAAATCAATACTGATTACTGATTTGCCATGTACATTGACTATCTTTTGCAACTTTAATATTTTTATTTAATATTTTGTATGAAGTCAAAATACCACTTTATTTACCTTTTGCTACTTTTATGGTACATAACTGAACGTTCAGCCCTAATCTCTGCAGAAACATTGTTGCAGTAAATCTTTTGTTAAATATTAACATATAACATGCTCAAGTTCATTATTCAAACACTGTTTAACACATGTTTGACATTAAAAATCAACTACGTCCGAGACATAATGTTTTAAATGATGATTAATTATGCAGTTATTGTAAATAACTCCAGTGTTAACTAGGTTAAACTAGTATAATATATATTACCAAACTTTATGTTTGGTTCCAGCAAATAGAATGTTCATTACGATAAATCAACACACGTTTGAATATCTAACCAATCGAAAATTTGTTTTTACACTTTCGTTTTAAAACATTTATAGGTCTTTACACAGAGTTAAATATGGACAGATAGTTGCCTGCTTAGAAAGCCAGCGGATTTTATAATTTGTTCAGTCGTATGTTTTGTTAATCCATTCAATTATGTTTTCAGATTTTCCACTTAATATAACAGACGTTCGTCTCATTAACGGTTATGGGTCATACGAGGGAGTTGTACAGTTTAAAGTAAATAATCAATGGGGATATGTTTGCTACAACGACTTTGGTGACCCTGCTGCGAAAGTAGTGTGCAGTATGTTGGGTTATCAGTAAGTAACACATCTTAGTCTGAATGATTTCTATTGGTATTCTAATTTTGGTTTGTATATTTTGAATACCGTTATCAAAATTCCATTACAACTCATAAATGATTCAGTATGTTATACTTGTAAATCGATATCAAGATACTTTTCTTATGTAAGTGAATTGAGATCTTGTATTAATAAAATCATATTTAAATAACTTAGGTTTGTGAGGAAAAATGTATGGTCAACCAGTACTAAAAGGTACCCAGAATATATCGATCAGCCCAAGTGCAATGGCACAGAATCACATATCAACGAATGTACTTATACGATACCATATTCTTGCCCATCTGTTCGTTATGCTCACGTTGAGTGTACAGGTAAAATAACCTTAACCTACAGTTATAAAAATATTTACCGGAAATAAATGCGTTCTAGGACGACTCATAATACATGTTTAAACATGATTGGCATCACTGACTATTCAATTTCCCGAAAATAGAATGCATTCAAAGCAACATGACGCTTAAGTGTGACCATCTTCTGTCTTTAAAGTTTGGCTTAGTATCACTACTGAATGTAAGTAATATCATTAATTTTGCATGATTAATTCATATATATTTTTTTAGATTTTGTGTGATGAATAAATTGTTTGTTGAATAAATAAATATCAAATATTTGTCAATTTATTATCAGGTTATCAATTGAACATTTCTGGAATAAGACTGGCAGGGACTTCAGGACCTTATCATGGCCGTGTTGAAATAGAGGTTAATGGTACATGGGGAACAATATGTGATCGATACGTTTACGAAGACGAATCATATGCGATATGCCAAATGCTTGGTCTTGAGTTAGTATAGTAAACTCTGTTTTATCTTGGACAATTTCATGCATTTTCCATTACATATTTTCAACTAATTCTAATAAGACGCAATGACTTTATGTAGATATTCTGTTTTTCATATATCAAAGTATGGATAAACGTAATAACAACACACTTATTTCCTTAATGCCATAATTCTATATTTAAAGGAGTTACAACTATTACCACAATGCATATTATGGTGAGGGTAGCGGACCAGTTTACATTGACAAACTAGATTGTTATAGTCGGCAAAAACATATAAATGATTGCAGGTATGTTACGGAACATACTTGCCAACACAGAGACGATGTATCCGTGATGTGCTACGGTATGTAGAAAACTCAATTACTTTTCCCGTTCTGATATTGTTAATTATAATCATAGGATTGCTATATCTGCCAAACGAAGACATTCAAATACAGTCCGAAACAAAATACCACATCCATCAGCATTTCTTAGATCTAAGAGAAACCAATAAATCTATTGTACATTAAAAGATGTATTAACTTGCTATAAATATTCAAATATAACAATAAGACAAAGTTTTCATTTAAATTCGTTGTAAAGCAATGATATTTTTTAAAAAAAAGTGTTATGTTGTTGTTTAATAGCATTCTTGCTATGTTTAAACCGTTTGCACTATTTGCACAATTTGAACTTTTTCTATTATTTTTTTTTCAAAACAATGACATACGAGTACATAAAATCACATTTCAATAAAGGTCCGAAACTTAATATTACTGATGTGCGACTGGCCAATGGAACTGGACCTTTTGATGGTCGAGCTGAAATCAAGGTCAATGATACATGGGGCACTATCTGTGAAAACAACTTTAACATAAACGATGCTGATACATTTTGCAACATGCTTGGCCTGAAGTAAATATTTCTTTTGTAACTTTCGCTGAAAAAAGACGAGTCTTGGTTCGATAGTTGTCAAGTGTCGTGATACGAAACAAAATTGACTTTATCATTTTTTAAATAACAAGAAGTTTAATTTTCAAAGTATGTTTGCTTGTCTCAAATGGAAATTCTATGATTTAAAAGACATTAATTTGAAAAGGACGAAATAAAAGATTGAATTTCACGTTTGTATCATTGTGTAATTTTGTTAAATTTTGTTCAAATATATCATTTTTTTGCAACGTTTTTAACAAATGATATACATGTATAATACGGGAACATAATTTCATTATGCATTAATTATGAGTAAAAACATTTTAAGGCAAAAACATGTACTAATGAAATTATAGGGGCGCACAATATTTCACCGGTGCAACACACGGCGAAGGAACAGGTCCTGTGCATGTTGACGAATTATTTTGCAGTAGTAACGATATCAACCTGAGTGACTGTAGATATTTGTTTCGAAACATGTGCAAACACGACAGAGACGTGTCTGTAGTCTGTAATGGTATGTACTTGTTCTATTTGCAGTGATAGTTGGTTTGTTTAAAAATGAATATTAATTACTTGCTTTGGAGATGTTATCAGTTTGCTTTTTGAACAACAACAACAACAACAACAGGGGGAATCAACAAAAAGGCAAGGACAAGTACATTACAACAAATTTAAAGGACAATAAGCTTCATAAATAATTATTATCAAATTATTTAATAGAATAAACATTGTTTTTTGAGTTTCAATCGGAACAGAAAACCTTTGAATGTAAATTATTTGTGACTAAGTGATATATTCGTGTGCAGATAATTTTAAAGTTTTGTAGAAGCAATTGAAATTATGGATACCCGATCTTGCGGTATTTGTAGTCAATCTTTTTTATCATTAATCTAAATAATCGAACTGATCAAATTGCAATAAATTTTAGCATAATATATTTTCTTAATCTTTAACAAACATTTTGAATGTTTTCGACCAAAGTTTTATATTTCACATTTATTGCGGCACATCATAGAATGTTATATTTGCTCAACGTGTTCATTGATCGACAGGTGAAATATCAAAATATATGTCCCTTTATAACAGTATTTTGACATCATTATTTGCTATCAGTATTAAGCTTTAAGTACCATTATGATCTTACAAAAATACTCATGCAAAAGTAGGTCTTCTTTGACAAGTGGTTGATTTAAAATAGGGCGAACCTTTATAGATGTTTAAAAACTTCCTCCTATAAAATTCAAAATGACATAATCTCAGTGCTAGTGCAAATCCAGTTAAATAAACAAAATAAATCTTACAGCGATCATAAGTTGCCATTTCTTTCTTTTTATAGAAAGATGTATGCTAATAAATAATAGTCGATGACTACTTAAGAGAAAGCTAACTTATTTTACTGACATAAATGAAGACAAAAGGAAGTTCAAAAACAGTACAAACATTTTTATAAGACTTAAACAATCTAGGCCCTATATATTTCAATTTTAAACCAACTACACTTTAATTTCAAAATAGAACATAAATTTACTTGTTTTTGTGCTCTTATCAGTTTGCCTTGAACAACATAATCATCAACATCAACTACAACAAAAGTGGGGAATCAACAGCAGGGCAAAGACAATAAATCTTAAAGGACAAAGAACTTTAGAAATAATCATTATAAATTTATTTAATAGAGAAAACAAACATTGTAGTAATGATTTTAAACATGAAGATAAAATCTTTGAATATAAAGTAAATGTGACTTTGTCAAATGTTCGTGTGCATATATAATTTTCGATGACTACTTCAGAGAAAGATCAGATTGTACTGACATAAATCAAGATAAAAAACAGTTCATAAGGAATACACTACTTTTCATGAGACTTAAACAACACAGGTCCTAAATATTTCAATTTTAAACCAACTATACTTAACTTTCAAAATAAAACATAAATTAACCAGAAGAAATGTGAAGTGTACTTGTCGTAACAAAATTTGTTTTGATATCCGAAGAAGCAAATTTTCCCACATTCTATGATTTTGCTTTTTATCCAAATTGACGTTAGGCATAATGGTCTTAAATCTATGTAACAATTTATTTTTCTATATCAACTTAACTATGTCAACGCATCTTAGTATAAATGTATTATAAGCTCTCTTGTCTATCAATAACGCTGCTCAAAATTGTTCTGATATTCATTACACTATACCGTAATGTTTTTTTATACAATTTATGTTGTTAACACACCAGTAAATAATAACGAACATATTTTCTATGACATCTTTAAAATACTGTTTTATTTAATATTTCACTTTAACGCTTCTATCCTAAACCACTCATTCTCACAATGTTCTTCCTTTATTTTTTGTGTGTGAATGATCGTCATTTATTAGATAGTTCATTTAGTTTTAAAACAAAATAGAGATAAGGAACACTCAAACAGTTTGTGTTGGTAATTGATATATACATCATTCAGATTGTGGACAACCGGATATATACTACTGGGATGTTGGTTACTTTAGCTACAATGGAACAACACTTTATGCCGATTGTTCTTACTACAGAACATATATAGGAACGCTGAAAATGACATGTGATAACGTAACAAAATCATGGGTGACTGAAGGTGAATGTAAGGAATACAGTAAGTGATACCATATTTGGCGAATGATATTATGATGTGGTGCATATACTTCATTTATAGCTAATGACTGTAAAGACGGGGCTAAAAGGCCTTAGAACCACTTGCCCATCACAATTTTAGGTTACAATTTCGTTATGAACTTTGGATTTCTTAATGTTAGGAGTCTATGCAAAATGCTTACTGCAGGTCGGTGATTGATTTTCTTCCATTGCTAAAGCTGATAGATCATTGTGACATAAAACCCAATAAATTAAATAAATGAATAAATAAATAAGTAAATAAATAAAAAAACATATGAAATTAGATTGGTTTATTTCTTTTTTTTCTGTCTACTGTACAAATCATTGTCACAAAATTCCGATTTTTAAGGTTTCGTAACCATTTGATGTCTTTTAATACAATTATGAGCTCTCCAAGAACTTTTATTTACATTTAACCTACCTATGAGAATGTAGTGATAAGACACACAATTATATATAAAAAAATGAAATATCCTAATCCGACAAATATTTGCACCCTTTTTGTTTTACAGAATTTCCTTTGGATATAACGGATATTCGATTAGCTGGTGGTACTTTGCCAAGTAATGGTCGAGTTGAACTTAAGGTTATGGACACATGGGGAACAGTTTGTGATAATTATTTCGGAAAAGAAGAAGCTGATACAGTTTGTCGGATGATTGGTTATGCGTATGTGTTTCCACACACAATTTTATCATAAAATATAAAAAAAACATAAACATAAAAAGTTAAAATCAAATCCTCTTGTATATAAACTATCAAAATAATGATGTACGTGTTCAAAAAGCCAACTACATTGTGCAGAAACTAACTTCAAACTGTAATGTTTATAATCACGTGAATGTCTTATAGGATATGCAAATAAAGATGAAACAATGAACATAATTATGTCATTTGGCCTTAAAGCAGCAGATTTTAATTTCATTGAGCATCATTTTGTATTATACAGGCCTGCATATGAAGTTTATTCTGGAGCTTATTTTGGAGAAGGGAAAGGTCCGATCTTTATTGATGATCTCAATTGTCTTCCAACCGCTTCACATTTGAATAACTGTACATACGTTACCTATGATAACTGCGATCATTCCAATGATGTTTCGGTCGTGTGTACTGGTATGTTCTTTCCACCTCAATTTTGTAAGATTATTAATGTTAAGCAACAAACACACCGCTATTGATTTTTATTATGCTATCTCAATGATGGCTTTTATGTTTACTTTTTTTTAATCTTCCAGTACTCATTTAAGATTTTAATTCAAATTTATTTAAAAAGTATCGTCATGATATTTGTCAAATAAAATAACATATACATTACTTACATTTGAATTATGTCTTCTCATCAGATTGTGGAGATCCAACACCAGTAAACGGGAACATCAATTCGTCTAAAACAAGCTATGGAACTGTTGTTAAGGTTTCTTGTAATAATGGATATTTGCTTCTTGGAGATGCGGTAATAACTTGCCAGCTTAATAACAACTGGACCGATGTGCCGTCTTGCAAGTTAATAGGTATTTTGCATTAATGCTTCAAGACAATCCTAGATTCTCCTTTATCAAGTAAAGATGTTGTTAGGACTTTATTGCTCGCCGAATTCAGGAGGTTTAGACGGTATCTTGCATTTTCAACTTTTTTCTATAAACGGGCTAACAGATCGGACTTGAACATATTTCAAAGCTGTCGTGTCCCGGTTTAGTAAATGTATTCTAAATATTAAACATTTTAGCAGCGCATTAAAACAATCAAGTTTTAGTTCAATACAGTAGTTCTCTTTCTTTTTTGATGCATTCTTAATTGATTTGCACACAAACTTCAGATTGTCAAGACCCAACTCCGCCAAATGGACAAAGTAACACTACTGACACTACTAATGGAACAGTAGCTAAGATAACGTGTGATACTGGCTATAATTTGTCAGGCAATGCCATTATTACATGTCAGTCTAATCAAACATGGACATACTATCCATCCTGCAACATAGTTGGTAAAATATTTTTTTAATCATCAAGTACTCAAATATAAGAAATTGAAGTATTTCACTATCAACATTGTTCACCTTTCTTAAAAAGGATTGCATGTGCGAGAAATATTCCTTTCATTTACAATGCGTACATAGAATTCACCATATCACATTGCATAGAACATATATCTGTATATTTAAATAAAACATATGTTTGAAGAACATACATGTTTGTTTTGCTATTCACATAGTCGCACCTTAGGTACTTTCGTGCAAAAATTATGACAGAAACATGCTCAAGACATATAAATATGTATTAAATTTTAATTCGGATGAATAGTTATACAAACCATTTTTATCATTTCTAGACTGTGGAATGCCCTCGCCCGTTAATGCAAAAGTCACACTCTCAGAGAACAAAACAACATACGGGGAAATAGCCGTCATCAGCTGCAATATAGGCTATAGACCAGATGGAAGCACGCCTGTGACTTGTTTAGCAAATGGCACATGGGAGACATGGCCCCCATGTAATATCATAGGTAAATGCTTGTTTATACTATCTACATTAATATCAACCTGTTTTTAAAAACTGTGTTAAAAACGTTTTTATCTCCCTTTCAATATAAACGAGAGACAGTCTTGTCTCAATAAATGAGTTTGTTATCATTAATTTTCAGATTGTGGTGATCCAACACCTAAAAACGGTAACAGAAATTCCACCGACACAATTTACGGCTCAGTAGTATCAATTACATGCGATCATGGATTGAATATCACAGGCAATTCTACAATCATATGTCAAGCTGACGGTACTTGGAGTGATAACCCAGTTTGTGACGCTTCTGGTAAGCAAAAAGTGACATTTTCATATACATCATTACTATACATTCGTCCGGGACTAATTCCAAGGACGGATTGATTTAGTTGTGAGCCAGGTATTGAAAGAATTTAACAGGGATGTTCTTTTTCAGCCCTTCTATTCACTATTTAAGGCTGTGTACCAGAATGCTTATTTCGTTTGTTCAGTTTACATTAAAGAAGAGATATATTTTATGAACAAGAAAAGTAACTTGTGATAAATGAACAAAGTCGCTGAAAGAGTAGTATATTGATTGCGTAAGAATTACTTCTGTTTAAGACCTAATGGTATTCATATTGTTATGACAGCAAAACTAGGGGAAGATGCTCATTTAATACAGTTAAAGAGGGGTAACAAAATTTGCGAACATCACACAGCAAACTTCAGTTAGACTCCCATCCAGGAAAGCTTTTCGCTGTTGCAACCTCAATTATCAATGTCAATAATAATGACACTTAGATTTTTAATGCCGAAAATCGGGTCCCAAAGAGATAAATAGAAGAAATGTAAGGATGTTACAAATACATCTGAACCTGTTAGAAGCAGATCCTGCTAACTACAGGTGTTTACTTTCCAGTACAGTTCATATTCATCCAGGCTCATTCAAACCGGGCCTGTAATAATTCAAATTTTGGCAATTAAGGCTCACTCTAGAGCTCTCAATATTGTGTTCATCATCAAGTTTGCACTTATTGTGGTTTGTGTAGGTCGTATGAAAAGAAGTCAACGAAAATTATGGTTATAGTCCTCAACATTATTATGATTATTTTATTATTGATTTCGTTCTTTACTCATACTACAAAAAATAGGAAAAAGTAATTTTGTATGTCGCTTATTAAACACTAAGAATAATCTAACAAAATTAAATAAATGTAATTAATAATGAACATATTGAAAAAAAAAAACCAAAAAAAACCACACACACACTTTACGTTCATTTTTTCATCTTTACATCAAAGGAAAATTACAACTAGGTTTTTATTTGCTACGTAGAGAGTTTGAAATTTCGGATTTTTTCTAAAATGATAAAGATTTTTTTCTGTCGTCAGATTGTGGTTTACTGTCAGTACCAAACGGCAAAGTAAATGCATCTTCCGGTACAACTGTGGGATCTTCAGCTTTTGTGACATGTAACGAGGGTTATACTTTGGATGGGTCCCCCATGGTTGTCTGCACGTTAGAAGGGTGGAATAGTAGTGTCTCCTGCCAGAAGCAAGGTATATTATGGGTATTATTTAAGATAAAATCATTATTACTTTCAAGAAGCATTGTGTTTTGTACATGATAATGTTAATAATTATATTAATATACTGATCATATTTGTTATCCAATCTATAACACTTTGATAGATTGTGGTGATCCAACACCAGACAATGGAGAAAGAGTTGATAGCGGTGGAACTGACTTTGGCAGCAGTGCAACTATAGAATGTAACACTGGGTATGAACTTATAGGGAACAACATTATTACATGTGACGACGGTGGTGTATGGAGCGATAATCCTCTGTGTGAAATAAAAGGTGAACAACGAAGGAAATTTATCTTACACTAACTTCATAATTTTTATAATCTAACATTAATATTTGTATTTTAATTGACTATATAAATGAACCTTGTCTTTCAAATCCATATTTTTACGTTAAGGTAATTTAGAACTGAAACTGATTTATAAATTTGATTTTGAACTTTGCATTTACTTTGCTCTAACAAGTGACCCAATCTAAAATTAAACGAATCAGTGTCATCAGATATGTAATAAAACACTTTTTCACTTTAAGATTGTAAAAGTCCTGAAAACTTACCAGAAAATGGAAAATGGGATGACTCTGAAGGAACACAGTTCGGAGCGACAATATATTTTGTATGCGATGACGGATTTCTTCTTGTTGGAAGTACATCAATTACCTGTAAAAGTGATGGGGAATGGAGCTCATTACCGCCTTCCTGTTTAGAAAAATGTACAGTGAGCTTATAAATGATTATTTTAATACATTAATTATTATTTAATGCCATAATGATGATGATTTACGTAAGATTACAGCTTAAGAATGAACCTACTGTTTAAAGAATTGCATGTATAACATTAAACAATCACATTTTGTGTTTTATCTCATTGTCAAGCCATAATACATTTTTATATTTTCTATTTGTATCGTTTGAAACCGAATGGGATTCAAATATACTGATATTGTAGTCGGTTACTTAACGACCATGTACATGTTTTGTATAAATAAATGAAGAATAGAACATGAGTGTTTGAATATTACAGCAAATATAGGCGGTGCCTGTGTTAACAATGATTATTGTAAAACCGAGAACGCCGAGTGTATCAAACATGTTTGCTCATGTGTGTCTAGAATACATGACGAAAAATCAAATAAATGTAATATAAGTAAGTACATATTTCTGTTTATGTCGGAGATATATTTCCTTTTAAAATAATATTCATAAAAATGTTGTAATGTCAAATGCGACCGAAACAAAATAAAAAAAAATGAATTAATTTTAAAATAAGCACTTATTTTAGTTTTAACCTTATAAGCAGCCGGTACTATTTTGGCTTGATGATTCATATTTGGTTTAAAATGATCATTACACAATTACAATGTTTTTTTATTCTTCTTAGTGCCTTTATTACCGTATGGACATGAGTACAAAGATACTGCAGTACAAAAGAGTAGCATTTGTGGAGAAAAGATATCTTTTGCTCCGGGCATTCCATTGTTTGATAAAATGCATAAAGAGTTATATGTGAGTTGCTTTGAAACGAGTGTTATTATGTAAACAACTGTTGTTCAGAAACAACCTAAAGAGAGACTTTAATATGATAATTATACGATTACATTTATTACGCATATTGCATTTCCCAGTTAGAAGGTTAAATATTAGTACTTTGAAATTTTCTAATAGAATGTTATTACGGATTATGATTCGTACTTTTTGGCTCTTTGAATGTTTTTGAAATAGATAATGTAAAGTCTAGTTCTGGTCGTCTCATAAGTTTAAAAAGTTATGATGAAATATGATAATTAATTTACAATCTTTAATATATTTTTATCAAAAATATATTAAGAGATGTAAATTAGTTATCATATTTTATAAAGCATTACATCCTAGGCATAGTGTGCCTTTAAAACACTTATTAATTAATCAATTTGTAGTATAACATTTCGTTTTAGGTATGTTCAAATGGTATTATAAGCTTTGATAGTAAATATACAAATCCAACACCTCCGAGGAACAGAGACGGTGTTTCTGAGTTTGCTAATAGAACACTTGTAGCACCATTCCATGCGCCAATCAATTCATCATCGGGATCTGTTTTCTACCGCATCTATGACATTCAAAACAATTACAAAATGATGAAAGAAGATAGAGAGTCTCAGTATAGTTTGGTTACGTACCTCGAAAACATAGTGACAACATTTGGAGACATTGATAAGTTTGATGCCAGTTTTGTACTGCTAGCAACTTGGGACTCTATGAAGGCATCTAACAATGATTACGATAAAACAAAGGTACTTAAACTTCACTAGTTACATTCTTTTATTGCAGAAATCTATTGAAATCTATAAAATATATCTGATATGAACAATGCACAAACTACGTTTTGAAAGCTGGCTAAGTGTATGAGGCATTTTCTAAAAATAAATGCCATTTCTTTGTAGCACTACAAATTCACACTCTGTTTGCCTATAGTGTGTCGAGTTTAAATGCAACATGTCTTCTCTGTGTGTACATTTTATATAAAAAAGAGACTTTTTAGTAACTTTCAGTATTTTTAATGTCAAACATGAGCAAAATATACATGTATCTTTATTTGAAAAAGTCGGAAATTGTTAAGTTAATCCGAGTTTCTTTATCTAGTTAACTTTGATATAAAAGTTTTGATATAATATCTATACGACAGTATTTTTCACATTTATTTGCAGGCCTCTACATTTCAAGCAGTAATTATTTCGGACGGTTCCGTAACATTTTCTTTATTCATTTACGGCCATGATTTAATGCAATGGAGATATAAGGGAACCCAGAACCCGGCAATTTGGGTTGGATATGCAATAAATCAAACTAAACCGTATACCCATCCATTTTCGTTTTCTGACTTATCACTTGGACTTGAGTCTGTAGAGCAAAGTTTGCCTTCATCGTTTGACGGTATTGTAATTATTATTCTTGACTTGATTTTGTATTTATTTTACAAAATTATTCCTTATTATAAGTAAATTTGATTTTTTTAGGAAGTACAACATTCGTACAAATATAAAAGGCAGTTTAAGCACTGGATCAATAAATAATTCGCCTAAGCAATTCAAATACATCGGATTCACAATTATATTAAGTAAAGTTGTGTTCAGTTTTTGTAAATTTCACCGAGACGGAGATGCTCTATAAGCTTAGATTCGTGTCTTAATATTGTTTTATATTTAGGAGTATCTGGTTTGATATTCAAACCATTGTCAAGTGTGACTGACTCCAAACCAAACTATGCTGTTGAATGTATCACATGGTACAACGCAAATCAAAAAGAGAAACAGAAAAATGACATTATAGCAAGTCGACTTCCTGATTGTCCTTGTGACATATGGTTATCAAGGTTTGATCCATGGTTTTGGAATATTAGAAGGTGGTTGCAGACACCTTACACATGCGTTGACATGTTTCCTGGACAAATATACCAGCCCTATGGAAAGGTCATTATCAATATTTTGTTAAATTATTTAACTTCTGAAATAAATTAAAGGGTAATAAGCTTTATTCAATATATATTATCATATTTGTTTCTAAAATGAAAATCAATAAGTTTGAACTGCCTCTAAAAGTTTTTTTCCCGATACTTGAAAGAGTTATTACGATGAAAAAGAATATCTTTTAATTTAACATCATTAAAGTGTTTGAGTATTTTATAATGTTCCGGGGCCAGTTATTGTGGTATGCCTCTCAAAACACATTATTTCATAAAGTTCTATGGACGTTAGTTCATAAATCATGTACTACTTTTGCTATATTATCAGTGTTAATCTTAATTGTGCCTTGATTTTAAACTAAATGTGTCTGTATTTCTTACCATCCTTTACTAGTTTTAGATTATCATTATTGTTCAATAGGTTTACTTAATTTATGTTGTACATTATGTCTTATATATATATATGATTATGTTTTATCGGATTTATGTAAAGCACTCTTGAACATTTATTATTTATGAAAAGAGTGCTATAGAAATGTGGTATATAATAATAATAATAATAATAATGCCTTTAAACATTGAGCAAGAATGCAGTTTTTGCTTATAAAAACTAACGTGTTTTCCTTATACAGGTATTTGAAACGTTTCCTTTCCAAAACTCGCACAATAATTTTTAACTGCAGGTAGCACATATATAGCTTTATACACTTTCCAAGCGTTCCCCATCACATGTTAGAAACGTACATTTATTGATTTATATCAAACATTCTTTTTTCTAGAATTCTTTAAAATGTGACTGATCAAACATAAAAATGCTTACAAACATTTTAAATAACTTAAACAACATGCCCCGTGATTCATGCTAATTTTCATGAAAATTTTGAAAATGTATTCAAAATTGAAATACTGCGAAGTGTATGAAGGAAGTAATTTACACATAAGCCACGAAAATTACCAAAAAAAAGAGGTCAACAAATTCGTCATGCAAAAATAATCCTTATTGTGTTTGTCAGTTAGTGTCAACTTTAACCGCACAAAACATGAAAGTTCTTATTTCAATCTTAAATCGTTTAAGATCTCAGTACATTTCAATCAAGTTTGATTTTCATGAAATCGTTGGCACATCTGAAGGCATGCATCTTTATTTTTTTTACCTGATCACTAGCTGACTGAAAGGTTTATCTTTTTATTTTAGTCATGCTGTTACGACCTATCAACATGGCTTTGGACGGACAGACGGCCTGTGGCAGGCAGCTTTTATCGGTATCACCCAAAACATAATTTGGATCATTATATAAACGACATATATCCAAAAGAAGTCTGCTGTGAGCTGTCCAACTACTGTAACCTTTTCTACGAATTACGCCCTACTGGAGCGTGCTACAGACATTCGCCCTATGACTTTGGTATGTTTTATATACTTTTTACATGCAATTGGTGTGCATCAAATAGAAGAATTCAAGCTGAAAAACAGCATTTAGTTGGATACAGATTCATGTTAGTAGTAACTAAATTGATAAATCTTCATAAACTTGTAAATTCTTTAAATTCATAATAAACGTGTCAATAGTAAATATTGTTAAATAATAAAAGAGTAATAAAAATGAATAGGGATAAACCAACAGCAACAGCAGGTGAATATATATCTATTGATATCTGTTAAATTTATGTTTTATTTTCAAAGGAATATTTTGGGGCGATCCTCATTTCCGAACATTGGATGGTCTAAACTTTACATTTAATGGCCTAGGAGAATACACTCTTCTCAAAGTTCAAACAGAAAATATTTCCTTTGATCTCCAAGCAAGAACGGAACGAGCAAGGAAACAAGATGGGTCTCTGTCTGAGGCTACAGTTTTTAGTGCGTTCGCTGCAAAAGACTCTTCCGGTGCCACTTTTCATGTAGAAATGAACAAGGCCAAGAATGGTAATATCTGATGCACATGTGTACACAAATAGATAAAAAGATCTAAAAATATATGAATATGTGGCTCTTTGAAAAAATGAATACAGTAATAAAGTTAATGAAATAAAGGAATTAATATAATAAATGAAGCAACATTTTGTTTAATTGAAACAAACTACTGAAGCACTTTCTGATAAAATTTGAACATTTTTGGGAAAGAGGCGTTGCTGGCGGCATTTACAGATAGAAGACGTTACAGATAGCTTTAACAAGAATCATTCGAGAAATATATTTACATGACCGTTACATTATGTATATCTTTAGGTACAAAATAAAAGTTAACATAATTTAGCCTGATTGTTGAATATTCCAAACGTAAACGAAAATGGAAGGTAGATATACTTGCATTTCATTTGACTATTTCAGGTCTAAATCTCTACGGAAACAATATAGATTTGACTGATCAGTACAATTCCCATAATGACAACGAAACATCTTTCTCATATACAACCGACGAGGAAAACCTTGTTTTATCAAAAAGGAATGGAACACTTAGTGTATTGTTTCCATTGAGTGGTAATTGTTTTCGAAGTTTCTAAACATTAAAAGCTTTATACATCATATATTAATATATGGTTTGTTTTTTAATTCATCATTAATTTTACGATTTCGATGATAAATAGTACCATATGTCCTTGCTGCTATCTTTAAGGTGGACCACCCGTGAAAAGATGTGAATACTGTTTACAGGATTTTACATCCCCTGACACTTACTTTTTACAATGAAATATTAAAAAAGTATTCTTTGCCATATATGAGCTAGAAATAAAACTTCTTTTTTTAGATACTAGAAAATGATGATTCAATATAGTCGCAAATTGTAAATATTCTGTAAAAGATAAAGTTAGATTGATGAATTAATTTAATTTCTTTTTTATGTTTTAACATATTCAAAAACATTTGAACTGCGTTTATGTGTCAACTTAACAAAGTATTTTTTGGCATTAGTATTTTATGCTGTGCAAGATACAACATCTTAATATTTTGGATCAAGCAAATAACTTTCATACCTGTTCTTGTTCTATAGGTATATCATTGAACATATCCGCTAGCGTGGAAATGTTATCCCTCAACACTATAGTTCCTCAAACCTTACATAATGTAACAACTGGCCTACTGGGTAATTATGACGGATTATCTAGTAACGACTTCATGATGCCAAACGGGACTGTTCTGTCGCAAGATATATCAGAAAGAGAAGTGTTTGCTTACGGAAAAACATGTATGTAGTTGCCTAACTATTTATTTCTTAATATTAATTTTTAAATGCCAATTTATTTACTAAAAACAGATACAGCAAAAAACTTAGCATATATGTACGCCGAAAATGTTACCACGTTCATGGTAGTTTAGTCCTAACAGTTAGGCACGGACAGTGAATGTTTTAAATGAACATAAAACAAATCATCGAATATCTTATATATCATTGTTGTCATCTCAGAAAAAATGATATTTGATAAATGTTTCTTTACAAGGTTATTAAATTTGATCAAATGAGCTTATTATTTTCAGGGTCAATTAACGTCAATGATTCTGCATTTATATATGAAGAAGGAACCACACATTTTGATTACCATAATGTCAGTTATGTTCCAAGATTCTTAGATGAAGTTGACGAAGAAACAAGGAAAGATGCAGAAAAAGTTTGCAACGGATCACAAAATATTGAGTGTATATTTGATCTTGTTTTCACCGAGAAGACAGAAATAGCCGAGGAAGCGAATCGTATCAAGGGACAAGCTGATGCAACTCGTGTTGAACTTGGTAACAGTATTGTAAAATCTGAATAAAAAAAACTTTTCTAAACTCGAGTAGCATACTATCTAAAGATTTCAAATGGAAAACATGTAATGTAAGATAATTATCATATTATATACTCATATTTTGTTTCTGTTACTTTCTTTTAATAAAACAATTTGACATCGTTACATAACTTTTTGAAACCTCTATCATCTTACTGTTATAACTTTTAGATGAAACAGTTCCAAACTTACTGGGATGCGCTATAGTCAATGTAACAAAAGGAGGTGACGTTAGTTGTAAAGTGACATTAGATGAAGGGACAAACATTTACTTCAATGAAAATAACGTCAATGCTACACTTGATAATGTAACATCGACCGTTTCATTTAAGCAAATAGATGATTACCCATCATTGGTTCGGTATGTTAATTGATTGATTAATTGTTTCATTCAAATGCATCTAATCTTATCTAGTCTTTTTCGGAAATATTTTAAATCGTTAAAGGAAGTCACCAATGCTCTTACACATATATGCCACCATTGCCTCGTGGTCAGTTCATAATGATAAAACTTCAAAACAAATAAAGACATGTGCATCCTGTCTTACATGTATACTGTGAACCATTTACTTAAGTACATAGTCATGTTACGAAACAAAATTGCATTACACAAAGACTGAAAAATGTTCACTAAATCAAACTATGAAAGCACAAGGAGTTGAAAGAAAAAAATAAAAGGGCTAATAAAATTCAAATTGCTTGTGACATTGAAGAACATGTACCTACACAATTCAGTGAATAATTAATATTATTCATGTTATTACAAATGGACGTATTTCTAAGTAGGTAGTTTAAGATATTGCAGTTAGCGGATTGATATCTGATTTTTGTTTTAAATATATTAATATTTTGCAGATTTTCCGCCAAAAATGCAAACGATAGATATTCGCCTTCATTTATTATAAGTATCATATTATGCACTGAATGTAATGGGAAAGGCTACTGCACGGACGAAATACGTGATGATCCCCGGGAGACCGAATACTTTAAATACGCAACTTGCGTCTGCAAACCAGGATACGAAGGTTAACCTATTTGAAACTCATATATGCATGCCATTTTCAAAGCGCGTTAAATTTAAATGATATTCTAAACCGGGTCGTGATATTTCCTCGTCTTATAATCAATTGTTCCAATACATATAATTATATGAATTGGTTAATTGATATCATGATTTTTTCTATTTGTAACTTCATCTTTTATTGTGTTTTTCTCCTCTTTCGTTTAAGATTGCATTAATTTGTTTTCATGAAAAACAAAATATGACTATTAATTATTTCCTTCATGTAACATTTAACTTGATTGATTATAAGATTTAAAGTTAGGGTTAGGGTTAGGGACAATGTTTTTAAATTAATATATCATTTGTATTTAAAATGTGTTACATTCTTACATTGAAAGTGAAAATATTATGATTTTCTCAATAGGATTGGATTGTGAGAGAGAATTTGATGCTTGTTCAGAAAATCCATGTTCATTAGGAAGAAATTGTACAAGCAATCCAGTTGCAGAACAGTTAGAAAATGGAAAAGGTTACACGTGCGAACCATGTCCACTGGGATTTAATCCTCTTGATAAGAACAATGAAGAGTGTTTAGGTATAGAAACATATATCTAGATTCCACAGTTTAATATATAACCTATGTGACTGTCTTAAACTCGTATAACACAAGGTTTGCTTTTTAAATTGAAAAAATATAAACATTGTTGAATGTTAATTTGCATTATCATTATTTTAAAACGTATAATGTCAAATGTGCATACGTTTATTTATTTGGATACAACACTAAATTGAGTTTGTATTAAATATTACACATAGTATACATCTTTTTTAAAGATATCGATGAATGTCACCATAGTGTGTGTGATCATATTTGCACAAATACTGACGGGAGTTACCAGTGCAGTTGTGAAGCAGGATTCAGAGTTGATGTCAAAAATATGAGCAGATGTCGAGGTAAGCAACCTTGTTTATTGGACTAATTAAACAATCTAATTTGTCATTGAAGTTAATATCATTAATGACTCTACAGATGTAGTTTAGCTGGGAACGTAGGGATTGTTGTTGAAGGATTAAGCAACTCTTGGCATCTCAAAGTTTTGTCATATCTCAGTCGGATAAATCTTATCAGTATGTTTCATTATTATTTACGTACCTCCATTTATTTCATTCCTTAAAGCAAATATTAGAGACCCAGCAATGTAAGAAGCCTAGCCTATGCAAATTTAGAAAAAAGTTGCAATGTTATTCAAATGACGTAACCACTACAAAGAAAATGAAAATGAATTGAAAGTTAAAGGACAGTTGTATTTTGGTAAACTATGAAAAAAGAAAAAAAAAAAGATTTTTTTTTGCTTAGATCCTCAATAATGTGTATAAATATCTATAAAAATGTAATTTATTGAACTTGTAATGCAGAAGAATTATCCAATTCGGTGGACTGTTTTAGATGTTACCTCTAGACTTCAAATTAATATGAAATTTGCCGAAACGTTATTACTAAATATGTTGTTCCGAATACTTATAAATATTATTGCATTTTGGCTCTGCTATTGTTCAACTATTGCTTCCTTAAAATCTTAATATCTAATTCTCAGTCTGTATTCAATTTTTATAGGTGTTGATAAATTTTTACCTTTTTCCCGTTTCAATAACAATGTCTTTTGTTGCTTTGGTAATAAAATAGAGAAAAATTGAATCTTTAAAGAACGCCCAAAACGACAAAACTGAAAATGTTGCAGGCTCGGTTTGATTTACCCTTAATACCGTTTGCATCAAAGCTTAACTAAATCCAAGAATGTGTGAACGTTTCAATATCTTCAATGTTTGATATACATTTCAGACATAAACGAGTGTGACGAGGCCAGACACAACTGCTCACACATTTGTAACAACACAAATGGAGGGTTTACCTGTCAATGCCATCCTGGTTATATTTTCAATACTTCGTCGTGGAAATGTGATGCCAGTCCCGGTATATATGTTTGCCCTAATGTCTAGATTTTGCTATCACTGCTATTATTGTGACAAGCCAAATAGTCATGTATACACGTGGTTTGGTTGATAAGCCCCCCTTCTTTATATTTCATACATATTCCGAGCCTTTATATCTTTGCCAGGTATTATCTAAAATATACCGGTATTATTTGGTAATATCTTTATTTCTTTAACGTTTAAAGTTGTATGTATATTTTAACGGTACTTTATTTGAGCCAATCATACTTTTATATTTTTTAATATTGAAATAATTAAATATCAATATGATGACATAATATAACAATTCACCCCGTCTGCAGTAAAGAAATTACTAGAAAGATACTTTGTCAAACTTTCTAACATTTTTGTCTAGCATCTTTAAACGACATGGCAATGCATATTAAAAGTAAAGATCATTTTCAAAGCATATCTTCTCCTGTTAACTTTGATTTGAAATTATTTGAAATAATGTTGCTGAATTGCCAGTGAATCGTAACATATATATTTGGGTGCATCAGTCTAGAAAAAAATGTTATGAAAAATAATTGCAAACACTTAATTGTCTAGCACAGGTCTTGGCCAATATAATTGTGTGAATGGTTTTTAATGAAGACTCACCTTTACATAAACAAGAAATGCTTGTGGTTGGTTTGATTGCACGAAGTTTTAACTTTTAATATTAGACTTATAAGCTGAATTGACGTTTCGACTTCCAGTCACACTATATTTTACTCAAAAATAGTAATTCAACATTGTTGTATGTTTGACCAGGGACGTAATTTAAGAAACTATTCGAATTTTTAAACTATAAGATAATATATAATTGTTTATTTTAACAGACGATAGTGACTCATGTAGTGAAGATGACGTAAATAGATGCAATGAGACTTCCGGATGTGTAAAAGAAACAGACGGCGTTAGTTGTTTCTGTGAGTCTGGGTATGAGCTTGATGAAACCGGCGAACGATGTAAAGGTATAATATGATATTTACAGTCAACTTATACAATGTATATTTCACATTTTATTAAAACTATTATGGGTAATAATTGTCCAGGACAATCTAAATAACATAAGGAAAATATTCATGAAAAAGGTAATGTTAATGCACTGGGTCCATCGTTTGTTAAAAAACAACATCATTTTATCGTACATTAACGCCATTGATAAAAATGGGTTCCTTCATGTTTTGATAGATTTATTATCAGGTTTTGAAAAAGTGAAACATCTCATAATAAAAAAAGAAAATATTGAACATGGCTTCTGCGGATGTTTCGTAATTCAAAATATCTCCATTTGTATGTGTAAATGTTGAATTTACACCCCGCTGGGGTTAGGGGACAGGAACGGTAGCTTATATTTACCACTTACCGTATATGAACAGACTCAATCAAACCGAGCCTGAAATGTGTTCAGTGATTCGGTATTGGACGTTCTTTCTCTATGTCGGTTAACAAACCAGTTGTTCCCATTTGCCTTTAATGTTAACATGTCATTTGGGTTTTGCTTATTCATTTATGGTTCTCAATTTATTGAAGGTAGTTAAGATATTTTAAACATTTATTAAATATTATTGTTATAGTCAAAGATGTTTTATCAATAGTCAATATTATGTTACGACATCTAAAAAATTAAAGCTTGATATAAATAATGATAGGTGCGTTTTATTGACATATATGCAATCAAAGCGTTCTAAATATTTCCTCTTTAGTCATTTTGATTATCCGTTACACTTTGTTAACGTCATACAAACTATAAGGATCAATTTCCTGTGTTCCTTATCTTTTCATTACTTTTTGCTTATTTTTAAGATATTGATGAATGCGAAAGAAGTGTCTGCCCGCAGGATTGTAAAAATACAGATGGAAGTTTTGAATGCAAATGTCTCATTGGATACGAGTTACAAGGGAAAACAACATGTAAAAGTAAGTATATAATTAAACAGATATAATTTACGTTAAATCCTAGATATTTGTCTTCACTTGTCGACATTAATATATCACTTTCTTTCGATGGTTTTACGATTAAATCATATCATTCCTATGAGAATAAATCAATTTTATTTTAAGGATCCGTATTTTGAAAAACATACCTCTTGTGAAATTAATATTTTTAGATACCATTTTCTTATTTAGGCTAGGGTAATTGTTTTATTATATTTATATGCCAATTTACACCATGTAATCGTAGTAATAACATAGTATAATCTAAATAAATTGATCGAATTTACGATACCTTTAAAATAGGGTGCGTTGTCCCTAATTGGGGTGAAAACTGTTCAAAGAAATGTGAATGCAGTGGTCAAGGTGCCGATCGATGTGACCCTGTTAAAGGTTGTATATGTCTACCTGGATGGACTGGTGAAAAGTGTAACATCGATATAGATGAATGCAGAGATATCGTTGGTGATATCTGCAAAGACTCCCGAAAGAAATGTGTGAACAATCAAGGATCATACAGCTGTAGATGTATAAAGGGATTTATTGAATCCTTCGAAGGAACGTGTAACGGTATGGACACATTATTAACTAGATTTTAAGTAAAGTTAAGTTATAAAGTTAATTTTTCAAATGTTTGTAAAAATAACAAAGGTCGATAACACAATTTTCTTTTTCTTTAAAAGCATTCTTATCTTTTTGTCATTTTCATTACATAAAATCGAAAATTAAACCTGAAACTTATAGAAAAACTATTAATTTAAGATGAATTAACTTCTATTTCAACAACAGATTTTGATGAATGCTTAAACCCAGTTACAAATGATTGCACACAGTCATGTACAAATACTGTCGGTGGATATACGTGTGGGTGTCACAAAGGATTTTCGAAAATTAACGAAACACATTGTAAAGGTAAACTGTTTACAAGTTTTACTAGGCTTTTCGTGTCATATTGGAGCCCAAATGATAACGTTCACAAGAAAAAGATTTGTGTTTCATTATCAACTTCCTTATCGTAACAAGTTTGCAATTGTGAATTTTTATAAAGATATTTCACTGAAGTGTTTTGACATGACGGAACTGGATATATGTTTTTCTAAATTAATGCACCATTTTTTTTGTGTTGATCCAGACCAATAGCAGACTTGCAAACTTTCAGATTATTCACTCAGTATTTTTTCCATACAAATTTCTTTAATGGGGCTAAGAATAAGATCAAAACACAATTTCAATTTATATCCGAGTATATAACTTTATCATACATTGTTTTTCTTTTTTCCGGTTAAAAGTGTAAGCAGTTCAAATTATCTATTTCACCTTCGTTGTTGGTAATCAGAGCATAGTCGGTTTCTTGTAACACTTTTCTCATAAACCACTGCGGTCAAGGAAAACCAAATCTACTTTTTTATCTTATTTTGCCGTTTGCCAAATCGTTTATTTACATTTAACTATGAAATTGTGACTTATTTTCTTTTAAAATATCAAGCAAATATTTAAAGATTATTTTATTCTATCAAAGGCTTTAATGTTCGTGAGAAATTACAAACTTGCTTAACAAATACATGATACAGTGTTTATCGGACTTGTTATTATTTACTATGTTGAAGGTAGATAAATTCTTTTAAAATAACAATGCCGATCATTTTCTCAAACCCTTATATTTTATATTGTTTCAGATATCGACGAATGCACTCTCGGAACAGCAGGGTGTGAACAGTTTTGTGAAAATAGTCCCGGCCATTACAGCTGTTACTGTTACTATGGTTACACACTTAACGATGATAGAAAAACGTGCTTAAAACGTAAAGTTTTTGTTTAAATATGTTTTGATTAATAACATTATTTAGTTCACAATTAGTTGATACTGTTCCAATGATTATTATCTTTCTGTAAACGAATTAACTTTATTGATACATTAGTAACGTTATTGTCTTAAATTCTCAAGAAAGTTTAATTTTAAACATGCAACAATAAAAAAATACTTACCCTTCATATACGCATTTATCTTTTCATTTATTTGATATATTCTAATTCTTTAATAAAATTTTATTATTGTTTTTATATAGTAATAAGTCATTTTATTAAATACATTTTTGGGGGTTTAATTTTTCAGTACAAGATCCATGTAAGGTGATAAATGGCCTTGACTGTTCTCATTATTGCTATGTGAAGGATGGTACATTTTCCTGCAAGTGCCGTAAAGGCTTCAAACTACTCCCAGACAACAAGACATGTATAGGTGAATAATTGTTCCTTGACCAAACAATTTACATGCTTTACTTGTTTATGCTTTACGGGTATATAGCTGTGTTTTATGTATCTAAGGTACTAAATAGAGAAGAATAAACAAAAAACAATTTCTGAAGTTTTTTAGGGAGAATATTTTTCATTCTGACGAAAATCATACATTATGGATAAATAACAATAATATTTTGGACAATCACGTTTGTCAATTTCCGATAGAGCAAGAAACAAATCTGCTTAATCATAATGAGATAATAATTTCAGTTAAAATGGTGAAATAAAGATTTATTTCGTTTGTTTTGTGTTTAAGTTTGTTGGATAACTCATGTTTAAAGTTTTATAAAGACGCTGTCCGGATGACAGGTATGTAAATATGTAATGGGAAATTATGAGTTTTTCAATTTTTGTATTCTGCTGGAAAAAATATGCACCATGTCAATGTTGTATGTTTTGTTTTTCATCATTTAGATATAAACGAATGTAGTGAAAATGTCTTAAATGAATGTTCAGTTGGTTCCAAATGCAACAATACTAATGGATCGTACGTTTGCCAGTGTCCTATCGGAACAAAACTTGAAAATGACGGACGTACTTGTTCTGGTGAGTTTGAAGTAATGTATTATGAGGAAAAGTTAAGAAACATATAAAAAAGCATTAAAATCTTGTTATCGACGGTAATCCAACAGATTTGAAACATGAATATGAAACATACAAGCTGTTTTGAATGAAAAAATGATATGTAAATTGGTTACTATTGTTTAAAACAGTCTGTTACCGTTTGTATTTTGTAGTCTATACTAAAATCTTATTATTTTTGCATTTCAGTAGGTAAATAATTACAATTTAAAGAAATAAAAGAATATTATGTTTAGATTAGTGCTTCTTTATTATTGTTTAGTATGTATCTAAATCAATGTTAAGAACTTAGCTATAATTTAGTTACAGAATATTCATGCTAATTCTACGTTCTGTTTGACTATCAGTTGTCATTTTTGTCATTATATTTTGAAGTATGTGATGAGTTTCATTTTGGAATTGGGTGTTCAAAGAGTTGTAGTTGTCTACATGGTCATTGCGACAAGATAGAAGGTATGTTATCAGAACAATGTCAGCAGCAAATCCTTTATTGCAGCTGTTAAATCTTAGTTCATACATGTAAATAAAATAGCAATGAGCCAACAGTCCTTTTATATCCTTAGGGTTTTAACATGATGCTTTTAAATTGATTTAAATTGTAAATATTTACAATAAATGTTGCTTAAATGTAGGTTTAAACACTACTCTTGACGATTTGCCGTCAATTGGTCGCCAACATTCTATTCGGTAGTTGTTTGAACAGTTATATTATGTACCAGTTCTATGTCTGAAAGGCATTGTTTGTTAATAACTTTTTTGAAGTTTTTGAGAGTTACTAGGTACTTCTTATCGATATTCTACTGTTTCTTCGGGGTCATATATGCCAAAACAAAAGTGTTGAAGCCTCAACCGCTCTAGGGTTTTTAAAAATATGGCATCTTTCCAGATTTTTAACAAACTCTTTTAAAGTCGAATTCAAATTTGAAAATTGGAATTATACATAAGTATTAATATAATCAAACTAGTATTTTGTTCAATGTTAAGTTGCATATATCTGAAAATGTATTCATTTTTTTTCTCAATATAATTTTATATACTGAATGTTATATGGAATGTATTTTCAAAGAAATCAAATTGCCAAATTATTATTATAACTATTATTGTTATTATTATTTTTATTATTTTTACTATTATTATGATTAGGTAGATTTGCAAAGGTCAGATATTGAGGTATCTCGAAAAATTGAAATATCTTTTGTTTGAAATTTTCTTCAGTACAGTCTAATTATTCCTTCAGCACAGTCTAATTTATAAACAAATAGTTTCATGTCAGGCATATTGATAACCTTATAGTTGAGGTTTGTACAATTCTTTATTTATATTCCAGGATGTATTTGTACAGCTGGTTGGGAAGGCGCTAACTGCGACATTGATATAAATGAGTGTACAAGGAATGCCAATGTTTGTAAAGGTGATCACATTGAGTGCATCAACACACCCGGGAGTTCTGTTTGTAAATGTCAGACAGGATTTCACAACGTCTCTGGACATTGCAAAGGTAAATTTTGATGTTTCCAATAAAAGAGTCGTGTATTTTTACATAATTAAGAAAAATTTGCTTTTTATGCATTTTAAAATTATAACTTTTAAAAACAAGATGTTTTATTGATTAATTTCCTTTTTAGACATAGATGAATGTCAGGATAGCACTTTAAATAAGTGCGATCAAAACTGCATCAACAATAATGGCAGCTACTCATGTGCCTGCGAGACTGGCTTTGTATACCGTGATGAACAATGTGAAGGTAAAACATGATTTATAAGTATGATAATTTTGATCTTTGTTTCCCTAAATCAATTTTTTACATTATGACATCTTCGAAAACTTTACAGTGTACTTAATAAAAAAATGACACATAAAACTGCGCAAAGGCGTCATTACACTGTAATTTCATTTAATATCCATTCGAAAAGCGAGGTCTGTGACACAAAAAATGGCTTTAATTTGATATCGTATTGTAAAATCATGCAATGTGTAAAAATATCATATTATACAATTTTCATTTTGCTTTTTATGTATATGTAGCTCTAGCATATGCCTTACATTTATACGATACATTTTGTTATATATAAACTTTGTCTGAAAGTAAGCGTTGCCTGTCCTGTTTGGTGTCGTGCTGGACTCCTTACCGGTGGTACTGCGTTGGGGAATGCGTAATAAACAACGTAATAAAAAAGTAATAATGATTTTATAAGATATTTACAGATAAAAAGAATACATGATGTTTGTGATATTCATAGTAAACTGTGATTTCAATTATATGTATTTTTTCCAGCTTTAACTGTGTGCATCAGTTTAAAGCTGGAATATTGTAATAATAACTATTTATTGTATGATTGTAATGTTGATATTTTATAGATATTAACGAATGTATATTGAGTGATAGATGTGATCAAATATGTGAAAATACCGTTGGAAGCTACAGGTGTATGTGTGAACCAGGATTCAGCCTGGATCTGACGGATAGAAAGTCATGTATAGGTGATTTTGTATAACATATTACGAGCGCGATTGATGTTTTATAATAAATTAAATTTCCTTTTCTCTACAAATGCATAAACATATTTCTTTATATATTTTGTTTTACATTTTGCATCTATTAAATCCCTCAATATATTTAACGTCATAAACCAATGTATAAAAAAGAAATAATAATTAATAAAACGTACGCTACAGTTTTATATAATCTGTTATGAAGAATTAAAGTAGCTGTATAATAGATTTTATTTAGATCTTGAACATACAACTGATAGATTTATGCATACGGAATTCGGTCACAAATCTTATGTTTCAGCCCTCCTTTAATTTTATTAGATTCTTTCGTGGATCTCGAAAACAGATTCTTCAGTTTTGCTGATTTACATAGAAAAACGCCTATAGTTTACAGAATCTGCAGTCTCCAAACTGTTTTTTGCATTAATACCAAATATGAATTTAAACCTTATTTAATTAAAGTAAAAATGTTATCTGCCCTGGCGATGTTCATTTTCAAAGGCGAATAACTTAAAAACACGATAGTTGACGTTCAGTTTGTTTGAACGAAATATTCATATTTATTATACCTCAATATATCCTTCAATGTTAAACTCCCATGGCCTATTATGTGTTCTGATTGAATATCACCCTCCTAGGATATATTCCCGTTGGATATTTCTTATATCAACATGGGGACATAACTCTTGCATAACTCCATATTCAGTTAATGTTTAAGTTTAACTAGAATTATATAACAATATGTTTTTGGTGTAAAGGAGATAACACCAACATACCTCCATATTTAATATTGTACTAGTTAATTCCCCTCGACAATCTTTTTCTATTTTGTAGGTCTTTTGGTATAATAAAATATATAACAAATGGCTGTCGGGGTGATATACCTGTACTCATGTTGACAATATCAACTATCACCCTGACAGCCATGCGTTATTTATATAATATTGCAGAACATTTCAACACCGTATTCTTAGAACGAGCAAAGATCAATTGCATTTTGTTATACGGTTTTCATTCTACTTGAATGTCTATCAGAAACCTGTAGCGTACATTTTTAAAGAAAATACAAAACAGCTGATGCGATGTATTTAAAATCAAAGCATCATTAATCATTTGAAACTCCTAGCATTGAATATTTATGGCAAAAGTGTTTAATTTTAAATTTTGTACAGACTCAATCAAACCGACTCTGCAATATTCATGTAACTTTGTTGTGATCAATGTTTGCGAGGATTCACCCTTTCTCCAGATCTTAAACTTAAATTGCATGATAAAATATGTGTACCTTTTAAAGGAGATGCAATAAAATGAAACGATATTTTAACACAGGGATTGAAATTTAATAACTTTACCCAAACTATACCTGCAGTGAACAACCAATGCAGAAATGAAACCAATACGTGCGGGGATCATGCAACATGTTTTATCGAAAACGGACAGCGGGATTGTATATGCAGCAAGGGGTTTGAGAAAAATGGATCAACGTGTGAAGGTGAATATATATATCATTTTAGGAAGACATTTCAGACAATTGTGAGTAGTTTTTAAACATAAAAGAGTTAAGGACCCTGCGAGATAATAGCAGAGTGTAAAGCTTTTTCAATGGGTTAAGTCAATTAACAAATTGAATGTTTTTTACATTAAACACATGATTAAAATATGGTGAAAATAATTTAAAACCACAAAGATAAAACAAATGGAAATAAAATTAAGAATAACGACTATTTTTGATATTTTTAGATGTTCTCACTATCTGCTACAACAATAAATGGTGTTTTAACTTAATATTAAAATACCATAAGTTTTTATGTGAATGTTTCATTTCAATTGTTCTATTGCAAGTCATTTCTCGACAAAAATGGAAAACACGTGACGATATTCATTGAGTGATATGCTTGTATCAAAGAGTTTGCATTTCAGAAATAATTACAATACAATGATTCATTTGGAGAATATAGGATTAAGAGCATGCTGGATTCTTATCTAATAATCATATTTATTACTAAATGTAAGCAATTAATGATTTAAACTAACTCAGTATTTTTTAACTAGTAGCAAGCAGCTGTATTGCCACTGAGCATATCTTGTATAATATTCAACCTTTCAGTTAGATGAGAAGGAAATATCTTTTGAGGAGTAAGAACGTTACCTATAGTTATTCTTGACTTAACCTTTATAAAATTAATTAAAAATAAGAATTGCTCTTATTGGCAAATCCACATACATTCATTTGTTCTCCTTACAGTATTTCTGTATTTTACTTTCCGTTTTAAGATATTGACGAGTGTGAAGATGCAAATGGAATGTGTACTCAGATTTGCAACAACACCCTTGGTAGCCATATATGCAGCTGTAACGTTGGCTTCATCTTGATGAACGATGGAATAACATGTCAAGGTTGTTTACTTTAGATGAATATTGTACCAAAATACTTGTCTAAACTTTTCTATTTTAGATGACCATTTTGCCAATAACACACTTTTCGAGATAAAAGAATTTCACAAATTGAACAGAATAATAATGGAATATTTTCAAGCATATACTAAAACGGGATAATTCATAAGACTTCAACAGTTTCTAAATTCTTTTGGTATGTAAGGTATCGTCGGTGTTACAGTATCCAATATTATATCCAAGAAAAAAGTACTTTGTAATATCTGTCCAGAATATTGTATACTAGAAAAAAAACAACTTTTGAATTGGTCTTGTGCTTCTTTAAAAAGGTAGTACACTTTTCGTGATGGCATTTAATTCAAATAGATATTAAACTGGTTAATACTATGTGATTATAGCTTTTGAAAACTAATATAATACAAACACTTGGATATTTTTTAACGATATTAAACAATTCAAGTCGAGATTGTATATATTTTCAGACTGACATTGTTCCATCTTGTTTACATTATATTTTTATCTTAAACAACTGCCGAGCTATAACGTTTTCAGATACTTGAAAGGTCGCCGATAAAGAACTAAGTGTTAAAGTATTACTAACTTGTGTCAAAAAGTATTCTTAATGTAAAGTCGCATCATTGTTTGATTATTTTATGCATTTTATGTCCAAATTTTGTATGTTACACGAGATGAATCAATCTGGTTGAAATATATTTTCTTTTCAATAAGAAACTATTTAAGGGCTTATATGATGATATTGTACTTTCCGGATTTTGAATAACGATTTTGAAAATATTAAATAATTGTCTATTTCTGTCTGATATAATACAAAGTGTACACTGAAATAAATTACATTTCAAACATATGAAACAAAATAACATTTACTATTATTATAGTTGATTACACTGTATGACACTATGCTTAAAAAGATTGCATACATTGCTCAACACAAACTCTTTATCATTTGATTATTAGAACATAGTCAATACAGGACAAGCAAAAGACGTTAAAATTATGGATATATCTTTGTAAATTTCATTCCGTGATGTTTATTTATGTCTCAGCATGTTCAGAGGGAATGTTTGGACAGGGGTGTAAAGAAATATGCATATGTAACACAGCAAATACGAAAACATGTGATAACGTAGATGGATCTTGTACATGCCATCAAGGCTGGGAAGGCAGGAAATGTGATGAAGACACAAATGAGTGTAAAAGTAACACTGACAATTGTCCAGAAAACTCGGAATGTGAAAATAGTGTAGGAAGCTACAGCTGCAAATGCAATTCTGGTTTCACAATGGGAAGCAATGGATTATGCATAGGTAATTATTGCAATTGTTTGTAAATATTTTTGTAAGGACATGAATGACAAAGTTTTGGCTTTAAAAGATTGAACTATTTTTGACAAATAAAAATGTAACAGTTATTTCATATGTCATTTTGGAACAGAAAAACTGTTGGCCCGAGGTGGAGGGGGTAGGTTTTTGAACCTTTGCCCAAGGCAACATTTTTTTCATGACTTGATGAGTTCTAAAATATAATAAGGTGTTAATGAAACGTTTGATTTGCTTATCAAACGGCATGAAAGTATTACATCTTATGTGGAAAACTGTTCATTGTATTGTATGTACATTTGTTTTAAAAGAACTGTGACAGTACAAAAAATGACAGCCAATGGAAAAAAATACATTTTAAAGATCCTGTATGTTTTGTGTTACTGTTTGTATACCACACTTGCAAAGTATACTAAATGTATGTAATTATGCAAATAAAACAATTTTCAAACATCCAAGAATATGTAAAATGTGTACTGCAAATATTTGTGCACATTATATTTAATCAATAAGTTACATGCATTCATTTCTTATTGGAAAATTTGACTTAGAATTTATAGAAAATAAATTTCTAATAACCTCCCTTTATTTACGTGAAATGTTAAATTGGGTAATATCTTTATAGATAATGCTTATTTGAACTTACAAGATTGACAAATCTTAATTTGAGCATCATATTTATGAAATAAAACCATGAAAAAAATGTGTTACAGGATCTTTAAAATTACATGTCCGTCAGAAAAAAGTTACAGACATATATATTAATATATCTTATCTTATCAAAAGTCTTTATTACGATTAAATAGCACTGCTTTGATAACAGAGGTTCAATAATGGCTGGCATACTGGTGATATTAGCATCACGATTACACAATTAAATCTCCCTTACAACTAAGAAGAATACTGATGATTATAATCGATTGATTTCAATGACACTCTATTAAACACACTGAACATATCTTCTGACAGACATTGACGAGTGTAAACTGGAAGAGTATCCTTGTACACTAGACATCTGTGAAAATACTGCCGGAAGCTACGAGTGTAAATGTAACATCGGTTTTGCAGAAATAGAAAATCAGTGCTTACGTGAGTTTTGTATCAGATAAATAATTGTCGTTTAGATAATTTTTGTACATTTTCTCCGTAAAGGAGCGCAAATTTTACTCTTGCGTGCAAATCATGTCAATTTTAATTTGTATATTTCAATATTTCTCATAAAATGACAAAATATAGTAAAACATGTTTTTATGCCTCCCACAAAGTGGGAGCATAAAGCGTTGCACTTGTCCGTCCGTCTGTCCGTCTGTCCGTCCGTCTGTACGTCTGTCTGTCCGTACGTCCCGAAATCTTGTGACCGCAACTTCTCTTAAACCTGATGGCAGATTTTGCTTAAACTTACAGGGATGAACAACCTAAATGTATAGATGGTAGTAAAGGAAGGAATTTTTGCTGCGACCAAATTTAACAGAATTATGGCCCTTTGTTGATTTTTTCACTATATACTATGTAGAAATTTTGTGAACGCAACTCCTCTTAAACGGGATGGCAGATTTTGTTTAAACTTACAGGGATGAACAACCTTAATGTGTAGATGGTAGTAAAGGAAGGAATTTTTGTTGCAACAAAGTTTAACAGAATTATGGCCCTTTGTTGATTTTTTCACTATATACTATGTAGAAATTTTGTGAACGCAACTCCTCTTAAACCTGATGGCAGATTTTGCTTAAACTTCCAGGAATGAACAATCTTAATGTGTAGGTGGTATTAAAAGAAGGCATTTTTGCTGCGACCAAATTTAAAAGAATTATGGCCCTTTGATGATTTTTAGTTTTCAACTTGTGACACATGTAGTGCAAAAAATACTTGACCTAGAGTCATTAGATTGACAGAACAGTCGCGTGTGGGGGCATTCGTGTCCTATGGACACATTTCTAGTTTTTATCTGTCTTTGTAATATAGCCCCTGAAGGAGCGCCTATCCATAGAAGTGTTCCGCGTAAATATTAAAATTGATTATTTTGCAATATGAAATATACCGTACTTATACATGTCGAATACTTGACTCTCCTACTTGAAAAATAAATCAAATAATTGCCTTATCTTTTCGTATTTTATTTATAAATGAAAGGGTGTAAGAATAACACGTTCGGTGAAAACTGCTCGAAAACCTGCGGATGTAACGGAGAACATTCTGTGAACAAATCCCAGACGTGTGACATCGCCACAGGCAAATGTATGTGCCAACCAAACTGGCAAGGTGATGCGTGCAATGACGATGTTGATGAATGTGAGGAAAAATCGATATGTAAAGATAACGATAATACTGTCTGTGCTAATTATGATGGCGGATATTCCTGCAATTGTGAACACGGTTATAAAGAGTACCCTGGTACAATTTGCATAAAAGGTAACATTGTCTGTATGAGTTATTCAAAAAGTGTTAAGTATATCTATTTCAAAAGATATATACTGCTTCATGATAGAATAAAGCTTACACTACAACATAAAAACTATAGACCCGTTTTTAAAAGACGCAAATTATTCACGTCTGAATACTCTATTTATGTTACGACGTTTACACAAATTATAAAACAATAAAACTGTATCCACATAATTCAAAAAATTTATACCACCAACATTGGTCGGCTTAGGATCATAAGTGGTATAAGCAACAATGTTTATATTCTTTCTAATGGAAATGACTACATCAATTACTTTGCTTATGAAGCAGAAACAAATGTACTTATTTTAAAAGATAATGTATAATAATGATAATATTAGAAATTAGAAATAATATTAGAAACAAAATGTTACTTTTGTTATTACTTTTATATAACAACGTTTTAATATCAAAGAGTTACCCTCAATAACATGGACTATCGTCATAACAACGCAGTGTTTTCTTCTTTAAAGAATCGGATATTAAATTCATTGAATACAATGATATTATTCAAGGTCATCAAAGAGATGATTTGGATATACATTTGCATCAAGATACAAGATAATTACGAAAGGTAAATGAAAAATATTAAATATTTCCACTTATGTGATAATTGTTTACTTGCAGAATCGCCAATAATGATAGATCTTACAGTGAATATGACTCTTAAAAATCCACCTGTAATATGTTCAGGTAACAACACGGATCTTTACAATCACGCGACGACCAGTGTGAGTATATGTATCATTTTAGTGGTGGGCCTGTCCGTGCTCTGCCTTGCACCCTGTCCTGTTTTTGTTTGGAGACCTCCTGGGCTCCTTCACGATGGTTCTTGTTGCTGGGTCATTAGGGGATTGTGTCCATTGAACACCGCCTTTCCTTGTTGATCTTATTTGTCATATAATAAGATATAAGATGTAAAACATAACTATTTCTATATCTAACGTAATAATTTATTTTTTGCACTTCTAACACATTGCTTCAAATCTTGTTGAACCATCATTTGATTGGAGATGTGTAAGACAGATGTACGTTAATATTATTTTAGCTGAATAACCATTTGATTGGAGAAGTGTTTCAAATATATGAAAGCCAACGCTGTTTTATTATTTATGTGCATATCGTTTGTAGGAAGTTTTTTTGTATAGTTATGCTGTTCTTTCTTTGTTCTCGTTCATTTATGACAAATATTAAATAAAATCAAGGTTTCCTTTTTTGTATCTGGATGGAAGGGTTATATTTATTATAAATAAGTATGAGTTCTTTATTGTGAGTTCTTTTATTGTTTGGTTTTCATTATCGGTTGGGTGGGGATGTTGATTTTTCATTCGATGTAACATTGATTTATAAATGTAAATATAATATGTGCTTCTTTTTTTCTTTCAGCTTGGTGAATTCTATAGCATGTATACAAAGGCTGATGTCAATATTTTTGTGACTAAATTTAGGTAATGAATTGTACGTCATATCTTAACATTATCAAATAAGTTAAGTTTAAGTATTGCATATCTAAAGAACACGTTAATCACCGATCGAATCTTCCTGTCTTTTTTTTTCTCGAAGAAAACTGAATATTAATGCAATCATATTACAAATTGTTCCAAGTTTTCATATTCCAGCTAGCTTTATGTACGGATAGACAATGTTACAAGTTAAGTCAATACTGAGTGTATTGTCAGAATAATCCCACCATATCTATATGATGTACGTGGACGCAAGCATGATCTATATTCGTGTTTAGTACAAATGCTGTAATTGGCAATATACTTTATGTGTGATTATTGCTATGAAGTAAATGACATTAGATATGAATATTAGATAATGTTAAATATCCTTTTTAAAATAAAAAAGAACATACTTGCATTTTTATAAACAATTGTTTTATTTGCGATAAACGGTAAAAAATGAAACATTTAATATAACCCTTTATTGCTAACTTTAAAGTTTGGATCGGTTCACCCTGTACATAATTAAAGTGCAGTGGTCGTAAAAGATCCCTGTTCAACCTTTCAGGGGATTACGCATAAGTTAAACAACAACAAAAACAAAACCAAACGAAAATAAAAATAAATACAATGAAGTCAATTATTTCAGCGGTATGTAAGTGTTAAATATCCTTATTTCAATAAATAGTTGCAGTCCAGATGTGTCCCGTAGAATAAAGACTATACGTTCAAAGATATTGTTGGAGATAAGTTACACGGTGAGTTACAACGTAGATGACAAAGATGTTGCTTCGGAACTGACAGCCGCCACTATTGAACTAACAAATGGAGCTAATCTTACTTTTGGAGGAGTATTAGTCTTTGTTATAGCAGGTATTGTCAAAGGGTGCAGGCAACTTAAAGTCAAACTATTTTATATTATGAACATGTAATATTAATATAAGACTGGTCACATTTATTTTACATTTTAATGACTCTATTGGCAAGTTACTAACATCTAACGCACTGTTGATATTTTGTATTCAACTGAAAACTTAGTATACGAAAAACCTTATGTTTACTTAGTTTATTAAAAGGAAAACCACCAAAGAAAAACAAAATATATAATTATTTGAAAATGAAATACCCTAACATATACATAATGTGTTGAGGAACTATCTTTATAAAATATCTGAATGATTGTACGGGGAAAACATGTTTCCACACAGCACAGACAACACTGGTGTCAGAAATCTATTGATAAACGCCAAACACTTCAATATTTTTACGCTAAAATTATTTACTTTATTGCTAACAGTAATCTATTAACGGTGTTATTAAGTAGCATGTCATATCTTTGATATATGCAAAATAGTTGGATTATTTAATATTTTCCAGTTGTTGTATGCACATTTTACATGTATGAAATTAAAAAAAAATGAAAAACATTTGATAATCAATCTTTATGTGTATTAAACAGTAAATGTGAATAGTAAGGAGCCTTGTGATGTTTACTTAGAGACTCTAGGAAAATGTGCTGACGGCTTCAGATGTGAAATTGAAAATGAAAGACCAATTTGCAGGTGAAAATTATTTAGGATTGTCTTGTTGTCAATCAACTTTTCAACAACTCAGCAGTAAATTGCTATCGGAGAATCATGAACGCCGCCTATCCTTGATCGTCTTGTTTTTCTTCTTTTAAATAAAGCAACAACAACAACAATAATAATAATGAAAAAAAAAATACTAGTAATAATGGTAATGATGATTATGATGCTTATGAGTATAACATGTTAGGAATCGATGAAAAGTTACACCATTTGCTAGTTCAAAGCATTTGATAAGATTTCAGAATATCCATTTTTAGCTTGTTTGGTTTGTACAAAACGTCAAATTATTATGACCCGTGCGACGTCATTGCTGTTGTCATCGTGCAAAAACATTAATGTAGACCATTTCTCAAACGTTTTTAATTGTGTCAAATTGAAACATTGAATACTTTTCATCACAAGAGGCAGTTGTTAGGCATTGCGTATAACTCTGAAAGATATGGTTTTGGAGCTGTAGCCCTTTTTAACTTTTTTTGTTAAAAGTAGTTATTTCAACAGAAAAGTGTTGACACTGCATGCGGTGCTCTTGTTATACGTTATTCAACTCGTCAATTGATGTATGACACATACGATAGTCAACCGAAACTATTTAGTCAAACAGTAATGTTATTATTGATGTTTTATGATGATTTATTATATATTTCAGACCAAGCAGTTCAAGTGGTGAGTACAAAGTCTTTGATATAAATCTGATAACTTTTTACCGGCCATTAAAATGCATTTACACGATTAAAACAGTTACTATATCTAAATATACGCCAATATTAATTATATCAATTACTACTGTGCAAATACTTCTATACGTACAAATCAAGAAAGATTATAAAAGATAATAATCAGATAAATGAATAATACTTCGGTTATTTATGTATAAAAATAATGCGATAACGAATTAACGATGTTATTAACAGTTAACCTAGCAATGATAATCGGTGTTGCATGTGGTTTCTTCATTCTGTTGTTGGTAATCATTATTATGATCAGATGTCTTAGACAGCGAAATCAAAGAAAAAAGGATGACCTCAGGATGCAAAAAGAGTATGTTAAGTGTCAATTGTTTATCACAATTAACTTATCCACGGTGCATATCCATATCGGTACCCTCTTTGCGAAATCTGCTGAAACGGTACCCTCTTTGCACATGCACAGGCCACTCTCTGCTAAAAACAAACCAGCGATGGATAACAATACAGTAAAATTTCAATATAATGAGGAAAGAAGGTATGACATGTAGAAAAGATGTATACCACGGAACACTAGAATGTTTTATCTATGTGCTGATTTGTAATGTTCCCTTTTTTCATGTACTACAAATTCACAATAAGCTACAAAAAATCGACATGTCTTGCTTCGCCCATCACCTCGACATATTTTTTTGGGCTGAAATGAACCTGTGGCTTGATTATATATGCATCATACATATTTAGTATGTTCATTACCTCTCTTCATTTGAATTTTTATATCACAGGTACCCTCTCATTTTTTTACACATAGGTACCCTCAAGGCAGGACATATGCTTTTATTTGCGTTAATCGTTAAACTTGTATGTAATATTTACATAAATAAAGAAATATTACATACCTAACGATTAACGCAAATAAAAGCATAGTCCTGCCTTGAGGGTACCTATGTGTAAAATAATGAGAGGGTACCTGTGATATAAAAATTCAAATGAAGAGAGGTAGCCCGTGCCGCTGCAAAACTGAAAGTAGGGTTTTTTTATGAATTTTACAATTATTTTTGACAATGTACTGCCATTTGTCCGAAGATGATATGTAAATGAACATACTAAATATGTATGATGCATATATAATCAAGCCACAGGTTCATTTCAGCCCAAAAAATATGTCGAGGTGATGGGCGAAGCAAGACATGTCGATTTTTTTGTAGCTTATTGTGAATTTGTAGTACATGAAAAAAGGGAACATTACAAATCAGCACATAGATAAAACATTATAGTGTTCCGTGGTATACATCTTTTCTACGTGTCATACCTTCTTTCCTCATTATATTGAAATTTTACTGTATTGTTATCCATCGCTGGTTTGTTTTTAGCAGAGAGTGGCCTGTGCATGTGCAAAGAGGGTACCGTTTCAGCAGATTTCGCAAAGAGGGTACCGATATGGATATGCACCGTGTTATCTTTAATCAAGAGTATGTTTGGGTCTGTTTCTGTTGCTTCAGATATTAGTATGCTGTAATTCAAGCCAATATCTCATGGTTTTCAGAAAAAGAAATGCTAAAGCACATTTTATGGTATTAAATAATTATAAAGACTATATCGCTTATTAACTGATTTGTCGTTTCAATTGAATAAGATACATATACACAGATAAGTGTTTGAAAATTTTATTTTGGTCGCTGTCTAGCGTATTTATTTTCAATCAGTCTTAAAATTTAAAGCATTATGTTTTAGACTGACAACTGCTTCAGACCTTGGAAAGAAGCTTGAAAACGTGAACAAACGGCAGCAAAATGTCTACAATGTGTTAAATTGGCAGACTGGTAAGACGGGTTAGAATTTTGTTTGATAACATATATTTCAGTCTTATTATACTGCACGTTTGTAACGTCACTGTTCTTTGGAAAATGGAGACATGTGTATAATTAATATACACGTCACAGCTACTGTTAAATTTTTAAGTAATTTAATTTTTCACAAATTAAACATTTTACCATATGACACTCATTTGTCGATGTGGCATCAAACAGTACATAAAACAACTTTAAAAATAAAGGTTTTAATGAAAAGAAGTGGTAATCACAAACTGATTATTGTGTTATATTGTTTTATTTGTCGTTTAACATAACAATCATTATGTGATAAAACAGTTCTTGATAGAGCTACTACTATTGTGATATAATTATTATAAGAGATCTATTATGATAATAAGAAATGAAAGTTTGTCATAGTTCTACATCCTTTATACTTTTTAGTGTTGTATATGTGTGTCGCATGGCATATATTGATAAATTGTTATGATATATGGCTATACTTGGATTAGGATATGATGATCAAATGACATGTTGATAAAGTTATTTTTGTATTACATAGGAGCTTAAAATCAGAAAGGTAAGCAACGTTCATGGAGGGAAGCCCTTACTTCTTAACATATTAAATGTTTACTATAGACTTTAAAGATTGATAGCTCTAAATGAGAAGATTAACATTTTTATTAGAATGTTGATAGATTTTTATGTTATGACATACATGTTTCCCTCTTCTATTAATGTTCATATACCATACAGTCATGTTTATTACCAGTGGCAGACATTGAAGATAAGACCGATAACAAGTCTAATATTTACATGACCTGGAAATCAATAGCTTCAAGATTCACCATGTCATCTGAAAGTGACTCTAAAGTAAGATCATACATTTACATAGCAAACAAATGTACCATACAATTAAGTCTTTTGAAGCATAAAATGTAAAACAAAGACTTTGCAAAAATATACTTTACGATTTATTATACAGGCATATGAAGTAAAAATCCATCATTGTTGTATCAAACTTTATACTCAAACTGGATGAATATGACAAAAATATGTTTATACGAAAAAGTTTTCAACTTTTTGTTTAATTTGATTTATGAATCATCAATACGTCACCTTAGTCAAATAATTGTTTATCTGCTAATCAACTTAGGACAACTATTTCTAAAGCGACTAATATGCGTTTCATATTTTTATCATTTTCCTTACAATTACAAATTTTACAATTCAACCTCTTTAATGTCTTTTGAAAAGATAAGGAAATAATTCTTAAATGTCTTTTTAAAAGAATAATCGCGTTTTTTAGATGTCTTTGTTGTTGTCAACATCCATGGATGCATTTTATAATATGTCCTGAAAAGTCAGCGTTTGTTTTTTAATTTGTAGAGTGATGGGCAATTCCACATTCCTCGAGCTAGAATGAGGCCATCTCCTTGTTCAAATCCGGACTACATAACACCAAGAGACTTCTGAACCTGTTGGAACCTGTTCTTTTAATATGAGTTCATGAATATATAGAGGCTATTCAAGGTTTTTTTTAATAAATACAGGATTTATTTTTATTGGGTGGTACGAAAAATAAAATTCATAAGTGGCGGTCAATTTCGTATATTTGTTGAATTTTGAAAAAATTAGTACAGAAGGCCATCAGCATAAAAAACCGGAAAATATGTTTACCTGCATTGAAAAGTGGTAATTTTTACACTGATAATACGGAAAAAGAAAATCAATATTTCGTAAATATTTCTAAATATTTTATCCGTAAATATATAATAATTTTCTTTTATTGTTTATTCTCTGTATTTTTATTTAAATAGGTAAACCAATATAACTATTTTTTCTGAAAAAAAAAGCCACATCTATAATGGAATAACAAATATTCTTAATTATGTTACATTGATATTTCTAAGATTTTGTGTTTCTGATTTATATTTTTAAATGAACTTACATTGCTATATTTAAACTTAACGGTCCTTAAATTGAAAACAATCCTTTAGTTTATAATGTATACAACTTCTTTCTTTTTTGAAGCTAAACATGCAATCACTGTCAATAAGAAATATTAAAATGAACATTTTTTTAAAAGTATAAAATTATGAAAATATGATAAAAAGGAAATGCTTGTTAAAATATGCAAAGGCAAATTCATGTTTTCAAGCTGCAGATCTGAGTTTTTCCTTTGTTATTAAACATATCAACTAATAAAGCTCATTTAAGCGAAACATGTTTTGATAAACTGTGTTGGTTTGTGAATCTTTTTATCATAATTATAACCTTAAGAATACTATGTTTGCCATGTCACTTTCATAAATATGTGCATTTGGACGGACAATTATCTTTGCAATATATTCAAGTATAATTGAAAACTTGTACAATATATAATATACCCGACATCTTTCCTGATCATAGTTATTTATTCACATGCTTTATTCTAATTGTAGTATTATATATGTCATATTTTTATATTTTTCTTCACTTTATTTGACTATGTTCGATAATTTGTATTGGTTGTTAAAAAGGCAATGTTCTATTTTATTTTTATTTTTAAGGTGTAGGAATAATCTTTAAATGCATACTTAATCGGAATTGTCATATCAACAACAAAATCTGTTGATAGTCATTTTAATTTGAGTCCTTTGATAATGTAACTTTCAAGAACAAATCTGTTATTGGTATTTTCTTTTCACATTGAGTGATAAAACACCTGTATTCCTTATCATTTACACAGGCGTATAATTATGTTGAAAGCAGCAGAGTGGAACATGCACTTTTGTTCCTTTTAATGATTGTTATCACTTGAACATTGTGTTTTTCTTATTGCCACGATGATTTACATAGACTTGATGTATTTTTATTTTAGAAGTTGTTTGTTTTTAATGTTATCGGTGTGTTAAGATCACGTAATCAATTTATCATATTAAAACAATTATTTCCAACAGATACATAGAGGTTATGTTATTAGTGTAGGTTCAGTATTGAATTTTTGAACGGGTTGAATAGTGTATGTTCAATACTTAATTGAATGAAATCATATTATGCGAGCCTTTGGTAAGCAAAATATTATTTTATTCAACGAGTTCAATAAATTCAGTAATGACTACACTGATATGATATCCTATTATCACATACCAAAAATAATGTGTAAAGTACAAAAAGATTTATCTTTCGTTACGCTAATATTTGCGGGTATTTACATTAAATTTATATTAAGCAAATGATGTCTCTTCAAAATATATTCACAGTAGTGCTATACCATTTTTTTACCGAGTCGCAAAACCGGCACGGGTATGTGATATAAAACAAATTGTACATGTCATATAAAAATAATACAAACAAAGGGATTATACTGGTAGAAACATTTTTCTTATTAAAATCTTTGTCATTACCAAATGAAATGTGTATAAAATATAATTCTGTTTATAACTGAAATTTAACAATATTTGTAAATTATTGTCTTGGAAATAAAACTGGTTATACCAAACATAAAATAGCGGGCAATGTATCACAATTTGCAGTTATTATCTACCTTGAAATCATTAATGCTTACATCATTTTGATTGCATACATATTTTTAAGATAAAAATTTAAAATTTTTTAAAGTAGGGGAAATTTGGGGAGGGAGTTTTTATATTGGGTTATTTAAATTTTAAATTTTTAAAGCAGAACATTGATTAAAACACAAAAAGTAAAAAAATGTTCGGCTTTTATTTTCATTTGTATTCAATTACATACGTTTATATTTTTAACTTGATTTCCATTTGTAACAGACCTTGCAATTTTTACCAATACTAACAAGAGTAAGCAAGCGAGGTTTTACATACGCGTAAACTAGGTGCAAAGAAATGGTAAACTCTGTGCTGCATACGTTAAGAAAAGGCGAATAAAATACAACCCAGATATAATCTGCGCAGTTTTTTTTAAAAAAATATTGGAAAGCTTTACGACACGAAAATTCCATGACGCCCGTACTGGAATACTCTGTCAGGACGGGTACACTTAAGTCAATTTCGTATTGTGCCAGGAATTCGAAACAATGTGTCTCTGTGCTGACACATTCGTAATCGTTTATCCAAATACCTTTGAAGCCCGATTAAACGATAGATAACTGTTTTATAAGCAAATGACCAAAAACATCATATTCAATAATAAACATAGTTCATAAGACATCAGGCATCAGACCAATTAGACCAATTATCACATCTTACCAAAATAATAAATCATACAGTCATGACACCTCGCTTTTCCATTTTAAAGGCGGTTATTTAAGTTTTTGAAGCCAGACCTTTGTCTGTACAGCACTATCCAAATCATCGCAAAAGCAAAAAGACAAAACTTTAAAAGATATATACATTTAAATTACGCCCAAAAAAAACTTGCTTGTAGTTTCTAAAAGTAAACAAATGGATAGATTAAATAGTTCGATGTTTTATACCAAGCAATGCAACAGCTCTGACACCGATGTTGTTTGTCCAAATGTAAAACAAATCATCTTTAGGTGGAGACAATGTGTTTACGCATGATTTAATTTTAGCCTGGTTCCGCGGTATTAAATCTCGGTTATTTACAGTCAGTTGTACAGGTCATTGTTTGTATACGTAATTCAGAAAACACTGTTTTTGCGCTTGAAGAAAATGTAAATAAAAATGCTTTGCAACAACAAAATAAATTTAAAATTGGTCTTGCAGTGTCCGTATGTGAATGTTTTAATGTACTTTTTTTTCTGACGACTCGCTTATTCCGCACAATCATGCGTTTTATTCAAAATAATTTGAGACTCGGACGAATAAAAAACAAAATAACTGATTGAGAATAGCAAATGTGGATTATAAGAGTAAAATCAGCAAATTGGGTTATTGGTTAGTTTATTTCAAAGCGATAGAATTATTATTTTTACAAATTTACAAAGCATGTACTCAGCCCTCTAATATGGTTTGAAATAAAAAGTCAAAACAAGTATGATTATAAGAAACTCAAAGATAAAATAAGATTATAGCAAATGATCATGTTGTGACGTAATGAAAGTAATTAAAATATCTAAAATAGCGTAAAACATAGTAATTTATGTAAAAATAACTCATTTTACTTAACAAAAGAACACAAGCATTATATTTACAAATGTTAAGCAATTTACAAGAAGCAAATGTTGACATGTCCGGCAAATAAAATCATTCAATATTGCTCATTATTATGCTCATATATGGGAACTAAAATACTTTAAATTGGTAATTGTATTGTTATCTAGGAAAATCTTTCCTAATATGTCTAGTTTGAAAAGATGAATGCAACAACTATGTACTTATTCCCTATTACTGGTCGCATTTATTTGTTCATTTCTTAAAGCATTTTAGCATAATAGATCCTTAGATTTATTCACACCGTGTAGGAACTTATTAATTTTGATACGAAAAGCAAATTATAATTTAAAATTTGATATGGTTAGAATATAAATTACCTAATGCAATTCATGACAAACAAGATCAAAAATTGATTTCTACTTTACAATATTCATGAATCCGATCATAATATCATATTTATTTTACCTGCTAAATTTACAGAAAAACACTACAGAATAAGTCTGTAGTAGTAAACATATGCTATTTGATTGTCCATTCTCAAAATAAAGTATTTTGCTTCTTATATACAGACTATTATCTCACAGCGAATTAGTGTCAATAGTTAAACATAACTATTTGGATGTAACTACATCTCTAAACCATTTCATGTATATCTTCAACAGCCAATGTACACTCTTGAGTATTGCGTTCAACTGCCCCATTGCTTGTAAGAAGCGCCTTTACTGATGTGTCAGAAGATAGAAGGTGTAACAAAGCCTCGTGAAGGAATTTGTATTGCTCCTAAAATGATGATAACGTTAATATTACCAAACAGATTGTAACAATATAAACTGACAATTATCTCTGCATGCAATCTTATTTTTAAATCATGAAAAAAAAAACAACATATATGTTACCTTTGTTAAAATTATGCCCTTAAAGATGTAAAGGAATAAATATCAACGAGGCTGAGTTCGTTCAATACTTTTAATTGAAATGTCCATTCATTGTATGATCTCAGTATATTACTATATCAACATAAAGATCAAGTAGATTTAACCCAAGAGGTTAAAGTCACATCACATTCACAACTTCACATCAAGCACTTGTAAAAGCACCAATCAATATATAATCAGTATCAAGAAGATATCAATATGTAGATCAATATGAAGATTAATATGTAGATCAATAAGTAGATCAATAAGTAGATCAATAAGTAGATCAAGCCCTGAAACAAACAAATATAGCAATACTAAATACATGTACATACTGAGATCATTAACACACATCACAATATATACAATTTAAGTCATAGCATGATTATAACAAACATCTCACATCAAATAGCCAATATAACAGTCATTAAACCATTACATCAATTAATTACTTCTAAATTAATAACTGGACATTCCAAGTACTGTTTTCTGTATTATATTAAATATTAAATAATTCAATCCAGTGGCCTATTAAATGAATATAGTAAACTTATAAAATAGTAAAACAATAATATGACTTGTACAATTATACATACCAATTGTGGATTGGACTCAATGACACTCATACAAAAATCCTCTCAATCTTTGTGATGTTACTGCAACATACTGTAATTAAACATGTGCACAATAGAGAATGACAGTGATTTATATTAATTACTGCAAATAGATATTACTTTAAATATGCTGCCATTATCAGATGCATTGTAAACAAATCATGTACAATATACATGAATATCTTATTTAATAAACTTTAGACACACAGCTCATTTGTAACTCACTTAAACAAAGTAAGCAACCAATATTAAACTTCACCAACCTCAATCCAAAATCCAAAATCCTATTTAAGAATTAATAACCAATTTATTATTTTAAACAACTGAAAAACATGTCTGCCTTCTACCAAAAACTGATGACAACTCAGAAAACGGCGGGAACAATTACACGCATGATTAACTAATAAAACAGCCAAGGGAAATCACTCCTACAGATTTTAATCAATAAACTACAACTGATTATTTCCCTTTGGTTACACACTTCCCTGCTTTGAGAAAATGACGTCCCGTCATTGTCATGTCAAATGTCATTGTCATGTCAAATAGTAATGTCAAATAGTCTGTCAGTTAAAATATATTTAGCAACATTTCATGGAAGCAAACATTCCCCTTTATAAAGGTTATCCTACAATTATGAACAAAATGTTTGTCCTTCCATAAAATAACTATACATCATATCATTGTAACAGCATCAAAAATACAATGCTGTATTTTTAAACAATATACATTTCAATACAAAAAAATGGTTTTAATTTAAAGCATATAAAATCAGTATGTTTGCATAGTGTCTCAAAACGACATCAATTTTCTCTCGCAAATATCGCGATCAACGTGCTAGCATATAACGTCGCGAAAAAACAATTTCAAAGCAACAAAATAATCATACTTATTGCGAAAAAAACATATGCGTCATGTCGCGAATTATGATCAATAATCATATTTCCTGCAAAAAATATGCTCAACTTCTCTCTTCTCGCCCCTTCTTTGGAACATATGCGTCCTCGCAATAAATCAATATTAAAACACATTTAGTTATCTCAAATTTGTATTTATTGGTACAGTAAAGTACAATTTTCAATTCAATATCAATTCAATATAGCATTTATTTCATAATAACATCAACAATTTTCCTTGCAGTGTCTATTTCTATATTCTTCAACACACCTGAAGCAATCATAGATTCCAATGCTTGTAATCTGTGATCATACTGTGGTCTAGTGTTAATAATGCTATGCATATGATAGTCTTTGTATTTGTCTGGTACTCTCTTCGTTCTCTCTGATTTTCTAGTCGGTTCTGGTGGTAACTGTCGCTTTCGTTTCTTCACTCCAATTCCTTCTGTCTCCTGCTTCTTTACTGTCTCTCTGTCTATGTCTTGTAATGTTCTATCTTCTCTACATGTATTTTCTTCTGTCATAGTTTCATCTGTCCTACTTTCAGTTAAACGTTCTTGAATGTTGGTTTCATCTTCTGTCTCTACACTACAGGTTATATCTGAATCTTCTTCTATTAGGTGAAGTTGTTCTAGATGGTCAGTTTGAACATCTCTCTCCTCCTCTATTTTCTCTTCTTCAACCAGTGATTCTGCTTCTTTAGAATCGTTTGGTTCAGTAACTACTGCAGGTTCTTCTATTACTTGTACGCTGTCTTTGATTACGCCTGTTTCTTCAACATTTGTATCAATGAAAGGTACTTCTGTATCTACTTCCGATTCTTTCTCACTTTCAGTATGATTACATCTTGACTGATAGGCGTCCCCATCTATTTTTGTTTGTGAAACAAATATATCATCAATTTCATCATCTGAATCTTCTGAGTCTGTGACGTCACATGTTTTCTGTCCGGATGCATCCCCTTTATCTCTATCTTTCTCCTCTGCAGATTCTCTCTCTTCTGTCTCATTCACCTCTTCTATGTTCTCATTTGTTTCTTCTTGGTATTCAACTAGGAATAGATGATTTCTGTGTAGTGTGCGTTCTTTGCCGTTGTTTGATTTGACTAAATACACTGGAATGTCTTTTCTTGGTTGATCAATAACTTTATAAATGTCTTCTTCGAACTTGTCAGCTAACTTGTGTTTTCCTTCTTTATGAGCCAAAATCTTCACTAAAACAAAATCTCCTATCTCAATCTTTGCACCTCTAACTTTCCTATCATAGTATTTCTTCTGTTTCGCTTTTGCCAAATCCATGTGTTTCTGTACAATCTCCTTACTTCTATTCATTCTTTCTTTTAAGTCTTCTATATATTCCTGAGTTGTTTTGTTGATAGTTTTATCTTCTTTAGCTTGTTCAAAAGTTATATCAATGGGAAGTTTTGGTTTCCTGCCGAACATAAGCTCATATGGTGATACTTTGGTTGTCTCATGTGGGGTACAGTTGTATGCGAATACTAGTGAGTTGATGTACTTCTTCCAATCGCTTTTCTGTGAGTTTTCGAGAGTCCCTAGCATATCCAAAAGCGTTCTATTGAACCGCTCTGGTCCGGAATTACCTTGTGGGTGGTAAATTGAAGTATGAGATTTCTTAATGTTGGTGATTTCACAAAGTTCTTTTACAAGTTGAGATTCGAAGTTAGCTCCTTGATCTGAATGAAGTCTTGTCGGAATTCCGTAATGAATGATGAAGTGATTGTAGAAAGTTTCGGCAGTAGTTTTGGCAGTCTGATTCTTTGTTGGAATAGCTAATGCGAATTTAGTAAAATGATCCGTTATGACAAGTATGTTTCCATATCCTCCTTTTGATGATTCCAGTGTCAGATAGTCAAAACAAACTAATTCCAGTGGATAGGTTGTATGAACATTAACAAGTGGAGCTCTTGTGTTGGTTTGACTTTTACTTCTCAGGCATCTGTCACATTTTGAAACAAAACTATCAATATCTGCTGTCATTCCAGGCCAGTAAAATCTTTCTTGGATCAATCTTCTGGTTCTTTCTTTTCCTGGATGTCCTACATCAGTATGTAATCCATGTAAAATTTCTTCTTTATAAACATCTGGTATGCATAGTTGCTCTTTCTTGTTGTCATCTTCAGTTGTTTCTCTAAATAGGATTCCTCTTTTGATCTTTAAGTGGTTGAAATTCTTCTTCATAATCTGGTCTTTCTTATCAAAACATTTATCTGGAATGGTCTTATCTATCACTGCTATTCTCCATCTGTCTAGTAAAGGGTCTTCTCTTTGCTTCTTCCTTATTTCTCTCATCTCAATCTGGGCCATTGGTTGACTGGGGTCTTCTGTTGCATCTATGATGTTGACATTCATTGTTTGAGTCTCTGCATATGGAATACTTATTACACCACATATTGCTCTCACCATGCTGTTATCTATGGTTGTTCTTTCTTCCTGATCTTGAATGGTTGTATCTGTAGGATATCTGCTCATGGCGTCAGCATCTGTATTTTTCATTCCAGGTCGATAGTGTATCTCGAAGTCAAATTCTCCAAGCGCTGCTGCCCATCTTTGACCGGTTGCATCCAATTTAGCTGAAGTCAGCACATAAGTCAAAGGATTGTTGTCTGTATATATGGTGAAATGATTTCCAGTCAAATAATCTTTAAATTTCTCAGTTACTGCCCATTTTAATGCCAAAAATTCTAGTTTATAAGCTGAGTAATTCTTTTCCGATTTCGAAAGTGATCTTGAAGCATATGAAATAACTCTTTTATGTTCTCCTTGTTGTTGGTATAGTATCGCACCAAGTCCTATTGTCGAGGCATCCGTGTGTAGCTCAAAGGGTTTGGAGAAATCCGGATATGCCAATATAGGTGGGGATGATAATGTTATCTTCAGCTCTTCAAATATGTCTTGCTCTCTCTTTGTCCAATTCCATGGTTTAGTTGCCTTTTTCTTGCATCCTCTCTTTGAAGTGTTGTGGGGTATAAGTTCTGCTAGTGGTCTGGTGATTTTGCTGAATCCTTCAATGAATCTTCTGTAATAGCTGGCAAATGAAAGGAAAGAATGTAGCTCCTCTGAATTATTCGGTGTTGGCCAATCACGTACTTTCTGGATTTTGTCTGGATCTGTTTCTATGCCTTCACTGCTGACTACATGACCTAGAAATTTGACTCGTTGTTTGAAGAATTCACATTTTTCGGAAGCTAGTTTCAGGTTGCATGACTTCAGGCGAGTGAGTATGATATCCAATCTTTCGTTCGTAAGAGTCGCTGAAGATGATTAAATCGTCTAAATAGATGACACAGATTTTCAGGTTAAGATCTCCAAGACATTCCTCCATTAAGCGTTGATAAGTTGCTGGTGAGTTAGTTAATCCGAACGGCATTTTGTTGAATTCCCACAATCCTAACGGCCCTACTGTAAAGCATGTTCTTTCTTTATGTTCTTCTTCCACTTCTATCTGATGATATCCTGATTTCATGTCGATGGTTGAAAAATATTTGGCTCCATGTAGACAATCAAAGATCTCTTCTATTCTGGCAATGCATAGGAGTCTTTAATGGTTCTTTCATTGAGCATCCTGTAGTCAACACATAGCCTTAACTTTCCAGATTTCTTCCTAACTAGCACAATATTTGAAGCAAAGGGTGATTTTGAAGGTCTAATAATACCACATGCCAATAGTTGTTCTAGATGTTGCCTTACTTCATTTATCATTGATGGTGGAATCCTTCTATGTCGTTGCTTGAATGGTGTAGAGTCTAATAGATCAATTCTATGTCTCACCCTGTTACACTGTCCTATGTCTATGTCGGAAGTTGAAAATATATCCCTATGTGTCATTAAAAGTTGTCGTAGTCTTGTTCTTTGTTCATCTGTCAATGAGTTGTTATTGTCCAGATTCAATTCTAATACTATTCTGGCTCTTGCTCTGTCTAACTCTTCACCTTCCAATTTGTGTAATGCTTCATCTGTAATGTTAACTGGTTGTAATTCGCAAATCATCTCTTTAGGTGAAATTGTAGCCGTGTTGGTTGTAAGATTCGATAAGGTAATCTTCATACAATGGTTATTCCCATATTCATACTTGACTAATGCTGGTGTGACATCTATGAATTCTGGTATAGAAGCATCCTCAGTTTCCTGAAAAATGGCATTTGTCACGGGATGATCTATCTCTTTATCAGTATAAACATCAATGGTGATGGTCTCATTTGGCCTTATCAATACTTTATAGGGTGCGGCACTTCTTACAATGGCGATTCTGTTTTTGTTATGTTGCAGTTTTCTCTTTCTAAGCTCAATGGTTCTGAAACACAAATACCATGGTATATACAGTTTGCTTCTCTGTAAAAATTGGTCTCCAAAATTGTCCTTACATTCCTTTAGAAGTATGTCTAAAATGTTGGTTCCTAAAATGACTGGTGTTCTAGCTGAATAATTAGTATCCGGTACAATCAAAAATAAACAAGTGTGATTCTTGGACTCTGGAATTCCATTCGGTATACTGATATCTGCTTGAATGTATCCTAAATATGGAAGTGTTGATCCGTCAGCACATTCAATATGAATAATCTCTGTGAGTGGCTGTAATTCAATGTCTGACAAGTTATTCCTATAAAATGATTCCGCAATTAAGCTGCAACTGCTGTAATGTATTTATTGATGTTAAATTCAAATACAATAATGTGATATTCGTTTTTGGATTTGTCACTACTGCGCTTCAATTTAAAATTTAAAAAAAATCCATAAAAAATACAGAATGTTCATTACTTATAAATAGTTTTCGTAACTTTTTATGCTTAAATTGACACACACATTACATGAAACGGTGAAACGAACCATAAAACCTTTCGTGTTTTAATGTAAAATTGTAGCCAATTACACGAGAAAATGTAAACGAGGCGTTTTCTAAATCTTGATATTATTTTTCTTTGTTTCTTGTTTCTGGATAGTTTAATTAAAACCTACCTCTGTCTGTACTAAATTAACTCGATCTTCTCTTAAGTTTCTGACACAAGCAAATATGTCCACGGTCCCCTCAGCAACTCCCTCATTGGCTAATATATCTAATGCAAGAAATGTCCCTGTTCGTCCCACACCGGCACTGGAAAGAAAGTACATGAGTGACAATCATTTCTAAACCTGTACTCACAAATTTGTAGTTTCCTGAAATTGCTAAGAAACACAAACAGCTATAGTACATGTTTTACAATATTCTTATCATTGTGGTTTAGCTGTACAAAATGTAAAACAGGTTAAAATGTGTTCCAAACCATATTCAATGCAAGATAATAGTTTTTTATTTATTATATTTCAGTTTTAATATGACAAAGTATAGAAACCAAACCTGCAATGGACAACTATTGGTCCCAGTTCAAATCGAGGTATTCTTGTCAATTTCTCCCAAAACTCGATCATGCTATGGACATCCCGCGGTGTACCCTTGTCTGGCCAGGCTGTGAAATGCATCTGATAAAGTATTCTCTTTTCGGATTTCTGTAAGAAATTAAGCCATCCATTTCTAACATATAATTGCATTCAATAATCTCCTATTTGTATTTTCGTTCAGATATATTTTCTTATATTTTGTTTATTTTGCTAATGTTACTCGTACCTTGTTTTCAAATAAAGACAATTCCACGAACTACTGTGATATGACCATTCTGTAAACAATGCGTTCTTTAAAAAATCTGTAAGAGATTTTGCACTTTACATGACCTCTTATGAACAGATTAAATAAAACTGAATGAACAGTTTTCACATTTTTATTTTATTTCTTTTGTCTCGAGTGACATAGACTTCTACATTTTCCATGTTTTCTTTACTTCTGTAAGTATTAAATATTATTGTTTCGTTTTTTGAATTAAGCCGACTAAACATCTTATAAATATACCTCAACAGAGAAAATCCTGACTGTGAAACAAGGATATATCTCCTCAGACTGGCATTTTACTTTCACGTCTTCATACATGATGCATACATCTTTATCCGGCCAGTATTTGTCACATTTCTGAACCTGTGTTAGAATTTAGTCAATAAAATAACTTCAACATTACAGCGCAATAAAGCCAAAAGAGTTAATTTAATGTCATGTAATTAAATGTTTATACATTTTACTACATTTATATAAATATAACATGCTCTGACAAACATAAATAAAACATATTATACACGCTTTTCTGTTACAATGATCCAAATTATAATGTAAATCAACCCTTTCAACTACCTTGTTCTGTTAAATATATTACAAGCATATATACAATGTGCAAATAAATCAAAGAAAACAACTTAAGGGTATGAAAAGTGTTATAACGTACCCCAAGTTCTTCTAGATTTGTCAGCATGACTATTTTACAAACTCTTTCTTGCCAAACCATATTCCAGAATACACCAAAATCAGCTCCCATTTGCTTAACTGTTGGTCCTGTAAATTATTTATGTTATATAATTGAAATCCTTCTCGATACATTATGTGCTGTAACATTATGTAATTAATGACCACTTTAATAAGATACTACGTTAATATGCAACACTGGAATATACTCGAATTTCCAACTATTATTACAAAACTGTTTATGGTTTATGTACACTACTTAGATTATTTCAAGGTTGATAATCACAAAAATTAGTATGACTGGACCGGACAGTATGTCAAGGCTATAAACTGTTGGCAGTACATTTTTCTACTTTTTTAAAACCCAGATAAATTAGAGTGACATGTTCCAAAATCTAAAGCAGGCAAGACAATAACACATTGAACAGAGTAAGGTTTCAAATTATCGTAATTTTACTCTAGAGTTTTCTTATATGACTTTCAATAATGGTTTAAAGGAATAGGAATGGATGGATTGATGTCTGTCTAATATAAATATTCATCATTTAAAAAGAGGAACCATGACAGTTTTCCTATTGACATCAACCCTATAAGAGAGAAATTCGTGTTTTAAGACACTATTTTTTACTTGAGAAATAAGTTCATGGGCGCCGCCATTTTGGCGTTCTGTCATTCTCGCGAGACAGACGAGACCGAGATTGTGACGTGTAATACCCACTTCCGGTATAGGTGTACACGCTGGTACAACTGAAATATATCTTGATGAAGAACTTATTAATTTTATTGCGTACATTATATATTATTTATGAAAACATCATATGGAACTGAATTGCTTTAATTAATTAATTGAAGACGCCGCGACATTAATTATTATTAATTTTCAAAGATAAACCATAAATTTAAATTGGGTACTATGAGAAACTTCTTCAAATTGACGATATATCCTTTTATTTTGTACTTAATTTTCGCTAGACAAGCTGTCCAAATAGGGTACATCGCCGGTCATGTATCTTTTTTTCAGGTAAAATATCAACTAAATCCAATATATATCTACTTACCAAATTCCTTTCCCCGACAGATACGCATTTCTACTACCGTAAATTTAATCCAATAAAACAAAAAAATCATAAATCTACTTAATATTTAAAATGATTATTGGTAACTGAAAAAAATGTGTTGCTATTTTATGACGTGCTGTAATTTACTACAGTATAATTTGACAGGTGTGGAACCTAATTCCCCCTAAGGTCATTCAGTTCACTGATGAAGCGTAAAAAAATAGATGTCTATTTCGTCATTAGAATATTTGACAAGGGTGATTAACCAATCAGGGCAACATTGTGCATGATCAAAAGGTCTGTCGGCACAGAGGCATACAAGGAGCAATAAAAATCGTCAGTACACAGTGTGACAGGAGCATTTGGTGCAAATTAGGAACAATTAAAATGGACAATGCGCAGTATTAGACATAAGTAGTAAAAACCAGCAATTGTGTGAATAAATTATGCAAATTAGACTTTTGAGCAGCCAATAAAAATGATTTGCCTGCAGTTAATATTAGGCTACGATTACGATGCGCAGCATCATACGTTGACAGACATGTTAACAATTTACTTTTCAAAAGAGTTGCTTATATTTTTGAAATGTGTACATCAATTATAACATATGTTCACACCTTTAAATTTGAAAGTCAGAATCAAACTGCAAAAATTTAATTATATGTACTATTAAGAACACGTTTTAGTAGGGTTTTTATAATGGAAGTGGCTAGCGTACGGGCCCGTACGGCTAGCCAAAAGTTTTAGCCGTACGTGAGTCACGTACGACTAGCAAGGACACGCTGTATTGGCTAGCCGTACGGCACTTTTCAAAATTTTATGGAAGTCGAAAATGCATATATGTTATTTTATGACTTTAAGCGAGGATTTTAACCAAGAAACAGCATTAATTGTCTTTGGATGTTAACTTTTTAGAGATTAATCGCCTTGATCGCTATATATATCGATCTTTGTCATCGCAAGATGTCGAGAAAAAAAATCCTTTGCTTGCATTTACACCAATTGAAATAGTTTACAAAATTTTGATAATAATCCTTTTTTGTTTCATTAAGTTTAATTTTCGACACCTTTTATATGAAAAAAAAAAACAACAAACACTGAAAATGATTGTTGTTAGGCTCTTGATAATTGCGACAATTACCGACGGTACTGTATAGAAGTTTGTCCATCAAGGAAAGTTTGCATGTTCCGTGAAAGGCATTCTAAAATTCTATTGTCAGTCCCTGGATAGGTTTTAATAAAGGCTGATTAATTGATTGACTGTGCTTTTATGTTCGATATTTATCTACTGTTTTGAAAATTATATAATTATTTTTGCATTTCACCGTTTTTTTTTTCATTCAATGTTCTTTTTATTCATTTATTCCACTCCGATCATTTTTTATTCGATCCATGTGCTTAAAATTAACAAAAATGATTTAATAATTCATACAAATAAAACAACAAATGATAAGCATGAAAATCAACAATTTTATAACGTTCGACTTCCATATAATTTTGAAAAGTGCCGTACGGCTAGACAATACGTACAGTGCGTCCTGGCTAGTCGTTCGTGACTCACGTACGGCTAGAACTTTTGGCTAGCCGTACGTTTCTTTATTTTTTATTTATTTATTTTTTGATATTGTTACGTATTTTGAACCATAAAAAATCTCCTCTACACCTCCTGTGAAAATTAAATTGTCTGGTCATTAATATTTCCTTACGATTCAACTATATTTATCATGAATCTATAGATGTTGGGAAATGACATCACGCGCACCTGTTTTTATACGGCCAATACACAAACATGGCCGCGCTTACTGATTTGTAGAAATCGGTGATTTAGCGATTTAAATTTTGTTATCATTCGTTTAATATTATTATTTGGCGGCAGAAAATTTGCAGATTTATTATTTATAGTATTCTTTTTCTGAAATCAAGTTTTTATTCTAACCTTGTCTTTCCCTTTAAAGGAATTGTAAAATACTTACCTAAAGATGCTATATAAACCTTCTGTCTTTTATAACCCTAGAAGCAAAAAACAGATTTAATAATACATATAACACAACAGAATGTAGTTGACTCCAAATAAATATAATAGACGTAATTGATTGGTCTGTTAAACCCTATAATTTTATATATAATGTCGAGAAATCAAAATTTCTTACTGATGATTATAGAATTAATAAAAAAATGTAGCAAATCCTCACCACATTAAATAGTCCGTATAGGTATGAAGTATGAATAAATTATTCCTTTACCAAATTAATATAAGTACAACTTCTCAAAACAAAAACGCATTAAGTCGTTAGTTTAACGACCTAGAGCTTTGAGATAAGACAGCAAATTATACGGAATCGCATCATATGTAATTCATTTTTTATATCGAGTTGCATATAAATATAAAGAAGTGGAATGTTTAAACGAAAATATGTTTTAAACGGCCTGACTTACGTCTATATAGCTGGCATTGATGTAGTCTGATTCTCTGTCGTTAAGAATAACTCTTTTGTTGTCATCTGAAACAAATGATCATACAATGCGGTATTTAATCACATGTCTCTGCTGCCTGATTCCATGAAAACTGCATGGTGCGGTTTAGCTTATGCAAATATTATGCGAGCAAGCCTATTTTCCGCACGTCAAAAGGGAAAGCATAATATCAGTATCAGTTGATCGCTTGTTCTATTTCTATGTGACAATTGTTCTCTGGCCTGTTTACAAATGGTCATATGTCTTTCAATACTAGTTTAGATATCATGTGGAATTAGTAATCAGTCACTAGCGGATAAAGTGGTAAGTACTGAAAAGTTTTAACTGAGAGGCCATTTACGTTGATTTACAGACGATATAAAAAGAAGACTGTTTAAAAAATTGACATACAAATCATAGAAATAAAAGAGATTTGACGAAGCAAAGACAACGGACATGTTTTGTCTTTACAAAATAAGTGATATTATCCGTAAAATTAGAAAAGATTTTTTAGAAGAATTCAAAAATACTATATGAAAGTAACCACACATTGTATTGTTTTTCATATATATTTTGTTTTCATACAAGCATCTGAAAGTAAAGTCGTTCTATATAGTAAGAACTGTAGTTCAATGTAATAAATAGCGGCATAAGTCTTAAAAATTAGGGACTTTGTTACTTAGACACATTTCATCGAAAATAAATTGAGATTAAAGAAGATTTACACATTTACCATAATTTGATCAATGATATAATGAATTTTAACCAATATGAAAGCAAAATGAATGATTCTAATGCTTTGTTTCTTTTAGAATAGGACAAAAAACAGGACGTGAAAAGAAAGGTTACAACACCTCCACTAAATTTGTCATTTGTATGCATTTAAACAGAATGTAAACTACTTTGATAATGTAAAAAATTCCGCTAGTAAGGCAAACAACATTAATTATTATCAATAAAAACTTCTATAACACATAGCTGGCTCAATATTGTAATTTCAGATTGTCTTAATTTGATATATTTGTATGTTAACTTACAAGGGTAAATATCTTTATATCGATTTTTCAATACGTTTTCTGCCTTCTGTGAGTCATGGAACGGTTTAATGAGTCCATGCGGTAAACTCTGAAAGTACAAATGTAACTATTTTGATATATAAATATTTCTGTACTTCAAATGGTATGAAACTATGTCTGACTCAACTGGTATTCAGAATGACGTTAAAAGATAGCGGGAAATAAATGTTATTCAATATATAGCTTAGTCAAAGATGTGTTAATAAATAATATAGAGTCAGCATTGTCTAAAACAATACATTTCCTGCTTTTCTGTTTCCTGTTTTAAAGCAAAGGACACGCGAAAGGAAGTGTGGTATCTACAATTATCATTTAACTTCCTCTTTGTGCTACTGAAATCTATTCATTATTTTGCTGTGCAGCAATGATAATAATAATATTTTTATTAAAATGAAACTTAACACTCTTTTGCATGTCAATGAAAATTGACTATGGATATGAACAAAAAAATATGTATTGGCATTTTGTATTACGTTAACTTTCTTAAAATAAAAGAAACTGTTTATAATGTGTTCTATGCATTTCAAAAAATAAAAAGTTTTAAAAAATAAATTTATTTTCTTTCTTAGCTAAACTCAAATAATGGTACACGCATTTAGTTCATAAATGCCCCTTAATACATTCAAAACAAAAATAATGATTCTAAATCACTATATGCCTAAAGATATGAGAAATAAACATGAGATAAAGCTATTTTACAACTTTACCATAAATTCTTCTATGTACTCAATATCCGTTTTGCTCTTAATAAATGCTTTGAGTTGATTAACTGGGACTCTTCTTCTCAAATAGTATTCTGCATTGGCGTATAAACAGTCGTTAGCCTAAATTTTATAAATCACAAGTCTTAGATTATATTTTAACAAGTATCAATATATTTTTACAATATTTATTGGCAATAAATATCTCATTAAAAAGCTATGTTAACTAACTAGTTTTTTGCTTTTGATACAAAAACTTTAAACAATGTTTGAAATAAGAATAACAGAAAAACAAAGACCAAACAAACACAAAATTTCAATACACCTTGCTGTAACAGAACTGAATGGAACAACTATTTAATTTTTATGTGTACAATGGAGATGATTGTATTCAAATATTTGACTTTAAACAATATTTATAGGCTATTTGACAATGAACTGTACAATGTGGAAATATATTTGGATGAGTTGGTGAAACATTATCGCATGACTCGCCAGGCGAGTCCAAGATAAGTAGGAGTAGTGCAATGTAACCCCATAATGTACCTGATCGATGTTTAATGTTTAATATGATTGTCGGTTCAGAAAGGTTTTATTTTTTCCCAATATTCTTTCAAAGCTCTTAGTAAATTTTTTTATCCAAATCTAATATACCGTTTCATTGATATTAGCAGCCTCAGTCATGTCGTCTTCTCTGTCATCATTAATATCGGGTAGTTGTTTTCCCTCAATAAATGCATATTCGGCACCGTTAACAGTTCCCAGTGAAGGTAAATCACCGGCATTTATTGCTACATCCCCAATATCATCTAAATTTGCATACACGTGTCTTTGTGGGCTGTTTTGTTCTCTTCGGTTAGTCTCATCTATATTAACAAAACGAAAGGTGAAACATGAAATTTAATTAAATTCAACATAACCATTCTTTACTGTTTCCTAAATAAAAATCGCAATTACACTCAATTTTGTTGCTAGTGATTTTCTTCTTTTACCTTGATACGTTAGTCCGTCGACCTCTTTTTTTTTGTTGAATCATGTTGAATATATTATTTATTGTAAATGCATTTTATCTTCTGTTTTTTAAAATACATTTACAAACCAGAATATTTATTTAGTAAATAATATTTTCCAATAATAATTAGTCTGGATACGACCCAATTTCCTTTTAGATCATATAACATAATATTACGTTCCTTATGTATTTTCTATATTAAGAGGTCAATATCACTATACAAAGTATTTCGTTGGAATTACAGTTAAGATTTTTATCATGGTACAAAACAAATGACAAACAGAGTGTATTAATTCTACAATGATTACTTAAGCGCCATGTAAAAAACTCTATTCACATCGGGATGTTAAATAAAGAATTTTGGAAAAATTTCCTCCTTTCGCATTTTGTTCTTGTCCGCGATATATTTTTATATTGCTTAATATATTATTGCTATATTATTGCAATTAAATTGTTTTAGTAATACTATACGTTCACAAAGTAACATTTCCTCTGCTCTTCTCGCTTGTTTATAAGTTATGGACTCTCCTAAACTCCTGGTTATACGATTTTTCTGATGTATATACCTGAAACAACAATGAAGCTTCCGATAACAACATTAATTACATTTGGCTTATTTTCCTATTTATCTATCTAGATTTGTGATATAATATATGAAAAAAAAAGAAATGTGTAGAAAACATAGTATTACATAAAAATAGTTCAAAACGAAGCATAATGCACATTAGATGTAACGAAAAACCAAGAACACTTAAGTTTTATTGGTTTAACACACGAAATGGTTTTGTATCTCCCTCATCATTAACTAGGATTCAATCACTTTTAAGAGCATATGTAATGTATATTTTTCAGGATAACAATAATTATGTAACTTATACCTTTTACGAACAAATATCCATATCAAGCCAGCCATTATTATCAGAATAAGAAGCATAACAATCATCAAAACTTTATGTATAGGTTTTAATAGGCTAGTTGAAAATCCGTCTTCATGATCTGTAAAAATAACAAAAAATAAAGATAAACCTTTAAATTAACTCATACAGATGATATATATTAACCACAAATCTTCTTTCTGGTATGTTATTGAATCAAAGAAACACAACTTACACATCATATTATTATTTCTCTTCTAGGTACAGATATCAGACTTTCAATTGAATCTCTAGAACCTGTTAACAGTTTCGGATACACTATGCTAAGTATTTCAGGAATCACATGAGCCTATTACTCTATCGCATGGTTAATTAGAAAAAAATCTTCTGCACGTACTGTCGCATTTGTTTGCTAAGTATCCCTGTTTGCATCCTTTATTACATTTTTCTGTTACAGAATGGCAAGTTAAACTTAAACAGTTTTTGCTACAGTTCTGTTCATATGGTGGCCAATAAATGGATAATTGCAACAACCATTACACTGCCCTGACTTACCACAAATACAATTCTTTGAACAGTCACACTTGTCATCAATACAGCCGCTAATGCAAATCCCATTCTCCTTATTGCATGTGCCATTCAAGCATTTACTGGAACATGTATTATTACAATAGTTTCCCCAATAACCTTGTTTGCATCCTAAGTCGCACAAACCGCTCTTTACATTGCATGAATCATTTAAGCAATTCGAAAGGCAGTTTTGAAACTCGCATTTACTTCCATACATTTTGTCTGTGCACTGTTTACAGTTACCAGTTTTTATGTCGCAAGATGTATCATCCTTACAGTAACCACATTGCTCGCTACATGTAATACCAAAGAAACCAACCGGGCATGAATCACAGATGGTTCCATTCGTACATTCAAAGCAATGTGAGTAACACCTTTCATTACATTGAGGGCCATAAAACCCACTAGAACATTTTGCACAGTTTCCATTCATAAAGCAATAATTGTCTTTACAGTAATATGGACATTTCTTGGTGCAATGTTTGCCATAATATCCTATTTTGCAGTTGTTGCAATTACCTGCCATATCACATGAATCTAAACAGTTTCGAGGACATGTAATGTTACAATATTTTCCGTGAAATCCTGAAACACATGAAAAACATGATTGATCCATATGACACTGTTTATTCAAACATTTTTTTGAACAATTATATTCACATTTTCGACCCCAAAGTCCATCTTTACATGATTGGCATTCCGCATCTGATTTGCAAAGTATGCAGTTTTTCAAACAATTCATTTTACAATCAGTGCCATAATAACCAGGACTGCAGATTTTAGAACAGTTTCCTTTTAGACATTTTGGTTCACAAATACTACCATAATACCCATCTTTGCATTTCGTGCACTTAGTTTTTGATGAGCATGAAATACAATTATCCGGACAATCAATGTCGCAGTTCTTTCCGTATTTTCCGTCCACACAATGCGTGCATGGCCATTTGTAAAATGGCTTACATTGTAAGCATCGGCCCGTCCATTTGTCACATTTGTTATCAAGGCAACCAGGAGAGCAGTTGCCTGTCATTCCAAAAAATCCAGTATTCCAAAAAGTGCAACTGCCATTAAAATCACAAGTCAAGCATCCGTCAGTGCATTTTGAATTACAGTCTTTTCCAAATGTTCCCGGGATACACATATTACAGCTAGGTCCTGTATAAAATTCCGTGCATCTACAATTACCAGTTCTGAGTTCACAAATACCATCCTTGCATCCGGGGGAGCATTTCCTATCACATACTTTACCGAAAAACCCTCGCTTACATGTGATACATTCATTTATTATTGAACAAGTTGCACAATTGTCTAGACAAGATGCACATATAGAACCGGAGTTAAATGAACCTTCCGGACATTTCTGACAAAATGTACTATTCCGAAACAGTCCTTTATCACAGGTTAAGCAATCATTAAACGATGTGCAATTCTTGCATCCCGTCGCACATTTTGAACATGAATCACCATGTCTGAAATACCCATTATTACATTGGAAGCACTCATCAGGTGATGAACACATTTTGCAACCAAAGGTGCAATTGTGACACAACACGTTATTGTCATTCTTATGTTTATAATACCCAAAATTACATTCTTCACAAGTATCGGCTGATGAACAAGCATGGCATCCTTTTGTACAGCGATAACATTTCTCATTCTGCATGAAAAATCCTACTTCACAATCGTTGCAGTAACCGTTTGATTTACATTTACAGCCTTCCTGGCAAAACAACTGCGTTGTTACTAAAACGACAAAAGTTTTAACTAAATAAATACTCTGATTAATCAACTGTTGCAAGTTAAGGATAACAAACCCTGGGCATGATTTGAAATCTCTTCTAATTACTTTTATTTTTAGGTAGTATAATGCATTTATTATTCATATGAAATAAGCAATTTTTACCATCTAATAGAGTAACACTATGAAACAAGTGCTCGATGCATTTCTTCCGAAACTAAAACCAGTGTCCATATTAAGGGCAACTAAAATACTTAATTCGAAAACATCTCCAGAGATATATTAATGAGTTGTATAGTTCAACACTTTTACCATCTAGTTGTTTGGCTACAACAATTTAAATATGATACATGTACGGAATAATGCTTGGTCGGACAAACTTGCATTAGCAAATCATTCTAAGTACATTTTCATTGTTATTTACACCAAGGTACTTTGTCTTTGCATTCCGTGACGAATCGTTTACTAACTTAAGAAAATAAGTTGCTCATACTTGCATTTGAACCTCAGAACTCTCGCATCCTACGCGGGCAAATTACCCATTGATCACAACAAGCAATAGCTTGTTCAAGTCAAAAACAACCAAATTAGTCCTTATTTTAAAAAAAAAATAACAGAGAATTTAATCCTTAAATTTAGGATTACATAATCACTGGTCTTAAGAAAAATTTAACAGGAAAATACCCACCAGTGCATTTTGTGACCAAAAACAGAACTGTCAATAAACAGTAAGGCATCTGAAAAATATTAGAATACTGTTAAATTATATTCTTATTGTTTTTGCAGAGTAGAAAACACGACATGTGATATTGATGTGTTAACCAATTTTTCTATTTTTGTTTTACAATGTTAAAGTGTTAACCACGTAAAAGAATAGTAACGCTCAAAATACGAGGGGCGATCAATATAACCGTTGACTGTGCTTATATTTTTGTTAAGCAATCATAATTCATAAAAATCAAATGGACGGAAACAACAATTTAATTTACACTTGTACAAGAAATGACGTGTCGTGCAACACTCACTACTTGTCGAAATAGCTTCAGTTAAATTCAATACATCTCTGATGTCGATAATCCACTGATTAAATATGGTTTCGTACAACACTTGGGGATACTGCTGTTTAAATGATTCAAATTTATAACATTTTAAATGCTTTTCGATCGTAGGAATTATAACAAAATCAAAAGGCGCGAAGTCAGGTGAAACGGGCGGATGCTTAATAAGCTCAACTCCCCAGAAGATTTATTTCTAATTGTGTGGACGTAGCAGTTTGAGCCGGAGCGTTATTCTGGTGGAGTAGAAACTCATCTTATTCTATTTCGGGCCGTTTGTTCCGTATGACACGCATAACGTCACTTCGAAGAAGCTGTATTAAATGCAACAGAAGAACGTCGATGATAAAGTGAAAATATTATATTCTTTTAATTTGTGGATTATTCTTTTCAGTTAATTGGTAGTTCAGTTTTTGTATAAATATTACCAAAACTCATAATATAACAAGCTGCTTATTTACTATATTTCAATACAATCATATAAGCTGGTTATACAACATGAATGGCAATCATTTAAAATAAGTATTAAAAGAATACCTTTGAATAATAGTTAGCATTGAAGGTAGATCGATTAGGTATTGGGTGGCAAAGTATCATTCCTCTCCTATTACAAAACATCGCATGCATCTGTTTCCCAGCGGATATTGATACTCTTGACTTTTACGTTGCAGTGTGAGCCGGAGCGTTATCCTGGTGGAGTAGAAATTTATCTTATTCTATTTCGGGCGTTAAGTCAGGTGAAACCTAACGTTTCCCCGGATTTTTAAGTGTTTCTAAGTGTTTATAAAAAAGGGTTGTTTCTTTATGCGCTTAATAATAAGTTCATTATGAAAATTTGGACTGAGGCGCGTTACCATGGTTATGAAAATGGTTGTCAGTCTTAAAGTTGCGTTATTACCAATTTGAATTCTCATTGTTTTGAAAAGGAATAAAAACACAATCAAATGATACAATTTCAATAACAATTGCTTCTGAAATGTAAAAATGAGGATATTACGAATATATTGAACGCAATTCGTACATCGTACATATTTATATATCGCATGTAAGCACTTTCACAGCAATTTCAATTAACGATGTTTTGTATGTACCTTAATTAAACGAACTAATGTATTGCCATTATAACGAAGTACAAAAATAAGCCCATGTCAGTATTCTTTAAAACAACTGACTTCTTTTTTAACAAATACTGACTCCCTCTGAAAGAAATGAATTTCATCGTAAACTGTACTATGTCCCACCTCGCTCCCATTGTTTCTATCTCAAACAGATTATTAACTTTTATTGTTGTTGCAACATTAGTGGTACATTTTCTTTTCTGTGACATTTACCACACCTTGACATGTTCATCCTATTCTTTGGTTTCAAATCTTTAATCCAAGTTGAAGTATAAACATAAGCTTACACATTATATTTTTATCATTAAGACTATTTAAGAAATATAATTAAAAGACACAGCATTTCGCATCATCCTCTCTCTATAAACTGAAGTTAAGACATAATGTGTCTCCATCTTATCTGAAACCTTATTATATCGACGCGGTCAGATTTCAAGAGAAACAGGTGTTGACTATAAAACAATCTGTCTGTAACATGTATCTGTTTTATTTCAATAAATGCCATAAGAAATGTGATTTATAAATTTTCAAATATCATTCTCTAAATATTATTGAAATATCTCTGCCTTTACAAAAAAATAAGGAAGAAGTGATGTATAGATTATACAGCGAATTGTCCGTGACAATATCTCGATACGTTTTGTCCTTACCATTGATTACATATAATAAACATATTTCAAAATATTTTAAGATATGTTATGCCTTCCTGTGTTGTTAACCGAATAATTTACTTATCATGAATTATCCTATATAAAGATATGCATATCATTTTTAGGGAACTAAAATGTGAAATAAAAACTGTTAAAACTTTACAAACTTGGTTTAGATTTTAAACTGAAAATGTTAAAACATAAAACCGAAGTTGAATTTGTAAAATGAAGAACATACACAGTTTTAAATGGTTTATTAAATGATTGAGGCCTAGTAGATCGAATATCTTCGAGTCAGACATATAATTAAATTAACTTACCGTTCACTTTTCTATGTAGATGTTATCCGAAAAAGTTGAAGTTGCTTAAAGCTTTTGTCTTAGAATCATGCTATATTTTGTTTGATAATAACAGATATACGAGTGTATATTTAATTAAGCAAATTGATATTGTGTCTAGATGTAAGGGTTAACACAATTTAACAACTTAAGCGAAGACGAAAACAATAGTATGTATGATTAATTATATATGACCAATAAAAGGAAGAAAAAAATGAAGACATTTACATATATATAAGAATGACACTTGTATCTATAGTACACTGTTTAGAATTAAAATTTCGTAACTGCCTCACTGGTTTTTTTTTATCTACTACGTTATTATAATAAAACTGAAAGCCATTGATGCATCTTTACATTAAGCAGTTAATTTTGCTATAATAGGTCAATCAATAAATAGTGGCTGATTTTGTGCAGATTAACAGACTTTTTAAACTAGTTAATTATGCAATTTATTTCATATCCTTATCTACTTTCGTAATTCTTTTCATTGTGTGTCAAATTGTGCATGAAACTTGCATTGCGGTATGAAAGGTCGTATATTGACAATAACGCCTCATATTTAGCAGATCTATGGTTCACAAACACTCTTACTGACTAAAGGAATATATTACCTATATAACTTTCATTGCAAGGAATAATTCATTTTGATAATCAAAAAAAGAATAAAGGATGGCTTCTTATTATTAGACAACAAACCTAAGAAAAGCCAATTCGGGTAACATTAATCATTGTGAAAGCAACATTGTCGTGTTAGGCGGTTCAGAAAGCTAAAT